CGAGGAAATTTCAAAGTTTTGTTTTTATCCGTTAAAAAAAAACCGCGAAATTTCAAATTTTTATTTTTATCGGGCTCTTCTCGTCGAAGTCAAACAAGATGCAGTTGCTGCAACCCAGCACGGAGCTACTAGCCGAAGCCGGCCACCATTGATTGCAGCCACCACCACCCACATCAGCCACCACCACCCACTGCTGAACAAGCCACGACCAGCCACTCACAGCGGAAGCCAGCGAGGCTAGTGATCCACCACCCCACCCACAGCGGAACCCACCATCACCCACACACGGTGGTGCTGGTGGTGGTGGCCTCACCAGCTGAGCTTGTGTACCACTGCCCCACCAAGACTCTTGGTGGGGCGTTGGTGCAGATGCTCTTAGTAGCATCTAATATTTTTTGATCTCTAGACACCAAAGTAGCGCTTCACTTTTATCTCTAGACACCAAAGTAGCGCGCTCACCTAAGTAGACAATGTAGCGAGCCACCTTCCTGGTGTTTCAGATGCAAACTCTCGGACCAGATCTCGGCGCCACTGCCCCGCCTCGCCCACTTCGAGGTGGGCGGGCGGTGACACACGTCCCGGGCCAGACCTCGCTGTCACCGCCCCGCCCACTTCGAGGTGGGCGGGGCGGTGACGCACGCCCTTGACCAGACCTCGCTGTCACCGCCCCGCCCACTTCGAGGTGGGCGGGGCGGTGACGCACGCCCTTGACCAGACCTCGCTGTCACCGCCCCGCCCACTTCGAGGTGGGCGGGGCGGTGACGCACGCCCTTGACCAGACCTCGCTGTCACCGCCCCGCCCACTTCGAGGTGGGCGGGGCGGTGACGCACGCCCTTGACCAGACCTCGCTGTCACCGCCCCGCCCACTTCGAGGTGGGCGGGGAGGTGGCGCACGCCCTTGACCAGACCTCGCTGGCACCGCCCCGCCCACTTCCGGGTGGGCGGGGCGGGCGGTGGCGCACGTCCTCGACCAGACCTCGCTGTCACCACCCCGCCCACTAAAGTGGGCCGGGCGGTGACATACGTCTGCGCTTAGACGGCCTCAACACTGACACCCAGTCACAACGAGAGCACCAAGGAGTGCTCACGGCACCACCACCTGCCGATTGGCGGCGGGGCTGGGAAGGTTGTCACGGCCTCACCATCGGCCCAGGCAAAGCGACGTTGGCAGAGGGTGCCACTGGCCCCATTGATCATCTGCAGAATGGTGGTTGGGCTAGCAACGTTGCCCACGGACCCACTGATTCTTTCAGCACCATTCAGGCAGAACGAGGGCGCCAAGGGCGGCCAATGGCCCCACCGCCGGCAGATTGCTGGTTGAGCTAGCACGGGTGCCCACGGCCTCAACTCTCAGTCAGAGTAAGTGCGCCAAAGGTTGCCCTCGGCCCCACCACCTGGGAGACCCGGGGCCAGGTCTTCGCGGGCTTTCCAATTTCGCCAATCTCGCCTAAGCTTGCGGGGGATGGCACTCACGGGGCCCCCACAATGCTAGACCCTTGGCCGGGTCTTCGCGGGCTTTCCAGTTTCGCCCATCTCGCTTAAGTCTGCGGGGGATGGCACGCACGAGGCAAGACCCGGGGCCAGGTCTTCGCGGGCTTTCCAGTTTCGCCGATCCCGCTTGAGTTTGCGGGGGATGGCACTCACGAGGCAAGACCCGGGGCCAGGTCTTCGCGGGCTTTCAATTTCGCCAATCTCACCTAAGCTTGCGGGGGATGGCACTCACGGGGAACCCACAATGCTAGACCCTTGGCCGGGTCTTCGCGGGCTTTCCAGTTTCGCCAATCTCGCTTAAGTTTGCGGGGGATGGCACTCACGAGGCAAGACCCGGGGCCAGGTCTTCGCGGGCTTTCCAGTTTCGCCAATCCCGCTTAAGTTTGCGGGGGATGGCACTCACGAGGCAAGACCCGGGGCCAGGTCTTCGCGGGCTTTCCAATTTCGCCAATCTCGCCTAAGCTTGCGGGGGATGGCACTCACGGGGCCCCCACAATGCTAGACCCTTGGCCGGGTCTTCGCGGGCTTTCCAGTTTCGCCAATCTCGCTTAAGTTTGCGGGGGATGGCACTCACGAGGCAAGACCCGGGGCCAGGTCTTCGCGGGCTTTCCAGTTTCGCCAATCCCGCTGAAGTTTGCGGGGGATGGCACTCACGAGGCAAGACCCGGGGCCAGGTCTTCGCGGGCTTTTCAATTTCGCCAATCTCGCCTAAGCTTGCGGGGGATGGCACTCACGGGGCCCCCACAATGCTAGACCCTTGGCCGGGTCTTCGCGGGCTTTCCAGTTTCGCCAATCTCGCTTAAGTTTGCGGGGGATGGCACTCACGAGGCAAGACCCGGGGCCAGGTCTTCGCGGGCTTTCCAGTTTCGCCAATCCCGCTGAAGTTTGCGGGGGATGGCACTCACGAGGCAAGACCCGGGGCCAGGTCTTCGCGGGCTTTTCAATTTCGCCAATCTCGCCTAAGCTTGCGGGGGATGGCACTCACGGGGCCCCCACAATGCTAGACCCTTGGCCGGGTCTTCGCGGGCTTTCCAGTTTCGCCAATCTCGCTTAAGTTTGCGGGGGATGGCACTCACGAGGCCCCCACAATGCTAGACCCTGGGCCGGGTCTTCGCGGGCTTTCCAGTTTCGCCAGTCTCGCTGAAGTTTGCAGGGGGTGGCACTCACGAGGCAAGACCCGGGGCCAGGTCTTCGCGGGCTTTCCAATTTCGCCAATCTCGACTAAGCTTGCGGGTGCTAGACCAGAAGGCCCTGCCCCAAGCTCCGTCGCTAGACCAGAAGGCCCTGCCCCAACAAAGGAAATCTGGCGAGACTGGCAAAGCCAGAACGCCCAAGAAGATCTGGCCTTCCGCAAACTCGGGGAGACCGGCGAAGCGAGCAAGTCCGAAAAGATCAGGGCCCAGACGGGCATTTGCTGGGCAAATACGCACTTCAGGGCGCCCACTGAAAACGCGTGATGCAATCGAAAGAAATGCGAACGTGCACAACTGACGAGAGTCACTATTTCCGGATCTTAATCAAAGTAAAACTAAAACAGGACAGACCTTTCAGGTGAAATAATATGGAACTTCACATCTTCTTCATCCTACGTAGTACGTGAGCCTTCCCTACGAGTAGATCGCACGTTGCGTGTAGAGCGGAAAGAACGAAAACAAAATAAGTTGTACATTTAAGAGACTAAGACCAGCGCTGGGAGTGTGAGTCAAATTCCTGTGAATCGAGTCCGAACGGGTTCTGGGGATCGGGATTTTCCTCGCTTCGCCAATAGAGATGATGAAGCAGATAACTGCGGCGCAGCGAGTCTTCGCTCGATCCTTCTTCGAAAACACTTTGAATAGAGTTAGAGAAGGTTTGACAAGAAACTCGCATTAAAACAAAAGGCGTTCGCGGGTTTCAGACTGTAGCTGTACATAAGCTGCAACATTAAGTAATCTTTCTCTATCCCACCATATTGACGTGACACGAGCGAAATTATGCGCCTCGCGGTGAATACTTTCTTCTGTCATTCAAGAACCACTCTACTAAATTCATTGGGCAGTGGGTTTTTTTTTGCTTTGCACTCTATCACAAAGAACACAGAAGCAAAAAGTGTAGGCGAAACATTCGTCGTTGTTCGTACATTCAGAACTCAAATAATAGGTAAAGGCTCAGCAGGGTAGCTATTACAACGTCACCGTAGCTCTTATAACTTCCGTAGGTAGGTAAAGATCTCTTACAGGGTCGCTCTTACAACTGCATCGCGACTGCCGGTTTCTGTTTTTCTTTTCTTGTTTCGAGGCTTTACTGTGTGATACACAAAAGATCGGCTACCTCTCGGGCGGCTTGCAGTCAGGTTAGTTCATTTATGGGGTTACTTTGATCAAGCAGCGGGTAAAAGTTTTGCTTGTTCGTACGAGTGGAAACGTGGTTTTCCGGGTGAAGGTTTTGCCTTCTTCTCACGTTCTAGCGCTACTAAATAAAAACACTCGGCTGCGACAAGTGACTTTGCACTAACGCCTGAAAAAAGAAGGAAGGCCTGGCGCTCTGCGATAAAGATTTGTATATGAAAGACTTGCATTTATACGAATGCGATACTTTTGCACAGGATAAAATACCCACTTCGCCCATTCTCCCTGCTCCCACTCTTCCCGACGGCCGAACAGCTTTTGGCCGACGTGGTAACCTCGTGGCGGCGCGGATGAACTTGAGGCTGCAGTGTCCCTTTACTGCTGTCAGCAGCACCTCCAGCTCCCAGGCCCGCCATGCTGGCGGCTGCGGAAGCGGGTAAAGGAAGTAGTTGTTTTCTTGCTGAAGGAGTCTTCCTTCAGGTCAGGACGCAACACGAACCCGACCTGTTCTAGAAGGCCGAATCAGGGGTTGTGCTGCTCTGATCTGACACTCGCCCGCGTGGGGTTCACCGGTATATGATAACAGGAACGTGGGAGTGGAAGAAAATCAACTTGCTTGTACGGGGGCAGAGCTTCAGGGGCAGCACACTGGATACAATTTTTACAAGTTTAAAAATTTATCAGGCGCTACTTGCTGTATGGCTCAGCGACGCGCTGCTTGCACGGCGCAAGTGCATTAGTGCAGCGATGCGTAATAAACTAAAGGAGTCGCTACAAATGGCGGAGAGAGTTATTTACGGCTGCAAGGGCTTTCTTGTTTAGGATTAGGTCCTCGCACACTGCGACGCACAAAAATACACTAGCTAGCACTGTCATGTGGGGTGGAGAATGGCCAATTGCAAATTGAGTCAAGTTAAAGCAAGATCAGCGCAACCGCCCGCCAACGTCGAGAAAAAGAGCAAAAAAACAACAACAAAAAATCGACTCGAGTGTTCACCTGCGTCGAAAAAACGGATCTCGCGCACTTCCTTGCGAAATGTATTCCCTCGCTTTCAATCGATCGCAAAACCGTAAGAACAAGGCTTTTTTGCACGAACACAGAGCGCAAGAAAGACAATCTAGCAAGCGAAGCGGTGGTGGACGGAAGTACGCGCCACCAACACGTGCTCGCCTTATCAAGAATAGCTGCGATGCACACTAGCTACTGAGTCATTGGTTTCTGATGCCCTTGCTTGGTGTTGTTGCCGCGAAGAAAAACATCGAGATGGACTCTTTTGCAGAGCCGAGCGACTTGAGGTTGCCTCTGTAACATTCAGATTGACTGATGCCATAGTGGTAGTGCGGCAGCGGTGTCAGATGGATATATATACTGGCATCGGAAGAAGTAGAGTGAGTTGCGGCACCCGAAGTTATTGTTATTGCACTCAAGAGTTGTACGATGAAAATAACCAAAAGTTCTTTTATCAAAGTAAAAGCTTCGTCTATCATTCTGGGTAGTTCATCCCCCCCCGACTTCCCTCGCCGTAACTTGTGCGAAGTTTCCAAGCTGCTCTCCACCCCCGATCGGTATATTGTTCTTCCGTTGCAAAGTTTCCCACAACTGTCGCGCTTCTATCAAATGTAAAAATGTCTGGGTATGGAAGAATGCAACTTGTCATGCTAAATCTCAAGCATGCAAAAATCTGTGTTGCATGATTACCAAAAGTCGTCCGGTTCGACCAAGTCGGGAGGGAGTTTGTCATGCAGTATAGGCATTAGAAAGGTCTCTCAGAATCTGTCATGCTATGTCCTACATACCAGACCTCGTCGGTCATGGAAAACCTACATGACAAGTCTGGCAATCTTCCAGACCCAGACATTTTTGCAATCCATAGCTTCCTGGGGTGTACAGTAGCCATGACGTTCGTGTTGCTGGGAGAATCAATGGTTGCAACGACTACAACGTTCTACCTGCAGCTCCCACTTCTTCTATAATTGCTACTGTATTGCAGAACCAGAAGAAAAGCGAAGAGAGCCGACAAAATGAACATTGGTCAGGAGATCGTGCCCTCAGGCTGCACCGCTTCGTTCTACATCTACAAAGCATTTGCATAGTTCTAATCAAATTTCAAAGCGAGCCTGCACGTGTGCCATTCCGAGGAATGGAACAGCGTCGGGGGAGACTGCGCCTCCGTTAAGAACTAATTCCTCGATGACGTCCATACGAGCGACGCGGATGGTCTGTTTTTTTGGCATGTTTTTTCGAATATCGGAAGGAAAAAGATACAAACACGATCTGGAGGCAATCACATTTAACTAAAGTGCCGGAGGAAAAAAGTCCGTTCGTTTCTTCTTGAGAATTTGCAGATGCAGATGCAGACAGTCGAAAACATAAAAATAATATATTCTAATTCGTCCCTTTCCCATAGTTCTGCTGCATCAAAATTACCTTGATGATGATGTCGCTCATTGCCATCTCGAACTCAATACCAAACAGGTTCGGGTCGACCAGGGGACGAGCCTGCGGACCGAAGGCGGCACTGAAGTATAATAGGGCTTCAAAAAAATAAAACCAGGCCAGCAACGAGTCTGCTTGATCTAAACGTCAGCGATGGTCATAATGTTGCCAATACGTCAGATATGCATTTATGTATTGGGGAGAAAGATCCAAACTTTTTTTCGAGCCGTTGCAGGAAAAACTTTTTTAGAGCATATGCGTATGCACAATTCTAAGCTTTGCAATTCGATCCACAAACACGAATATACAAAAAAAAAGCAATACCACAGCTGATCATAGTGATAGATCGCAGTATCGACAACAAAAATCATCAGCTTCACACTGTGTCCCGCTGAAAGGCCTTGTCCTGCAAACTACAATAGTCTTGGTCTTGTCATGCCACATGCGTGCCGCTGCAAAAATCTGGAACACAGTGCGAGCTGTCGTCCATTTTTTCAGAATGATATTCGCCGCAGAGTGGAGGGGTCACTTAAGTTAAAATATTCAAGAACTTCTAAAAGAACCTCTATTGATAGAGGTTCTCGACCATTTTCTAACTTCTCCATAGATGTTCTAGGTTTTCTAGATTTCTAAGCTTTTTCTAGATTTTCTACAGTCTTTCTTTTTTCTTCTTTTCTTTATTTTTCTTACTGATTTCGTTGCTCTTTGATTTTTTTGTTTTTTTTCTAATCTTTTCACTGTTTCTTGACATTTTCTAGCTTGAGAAGCTCTATCTCGTACCTTCTGGACCCAGAACCTCTATCACAATAGAGGTTCTGGAGTCAGAACGTCTATTGCAATAGAGCTTCTGACCCCAGAACGTCTCCTGGGATAGCGGTTCTGGGTTCCGTAGCCTCTAGATTTGTTTCTAGACTTTGGCGGCCAAGAATCTAGAAACTAGATTTCTAGAAATCTAGAAATCTAGAAATCTAGAAATCTAGAAATCTAGAAGTCTGGAAGTCTAGATTTCTAGGTTCTAGAAATCTAGAAATCTAGCTTCTAGATTCTGGCAGCCAGAACGCCAGCACTCCTGCTCCGAGCAGCTAACAGTCCAGCTTCCCTGGTTGCGAGAAGCCGGCAGCTCAGCCTCCCCGGCTCTACGAGAAGCTGGAAGTCCAGCTTCCCCGGCTCTACGAGAAGCTGGAAGTCCAGCTGCCCCGGCTCTACGAGAAGCTGGGCGTCCAGCTTCCCCGGCTCTACGAGACGCTGGAAGTCCAGCTTCCCCGGCTCTACAAGAAGCTGAAAGCCCAGCTTCCCCGGCTCTACGACAAGCTGAAAGTCCAGCTTCCCCGGCTCTACGAGAAGCTGAAAGTCCATCTTCCCCGGCTCTACGAGAAGCTGACAGTCCAGCTTCCCCGGGCGGCTCTACGAGAAGCTGGAAGGCCAGCTTCTCCGGCTACGAGAAGCTGGAAGTCCAGCTTCTCCGGCTACGAGAAGCCGGACGCTTAGGCCCCCCGAGGAGCTGGGCGCTCACCTACAGTGAAAAGATGCGAAAAAAGGACGGCGAGGCCCTTGCTCTTTGCAGGTAAGGCATAAGGGTCAGTCTGCCTGCGTGCGCGCCCCCGGGCCAGTCTGCCTGCGTGCGCGCAGTGCGCGATCTTTTTTTCCGACCGGCAAGCCAGCAACGGCCGGACGCGAAAAAAACGCCCCGCGCCCCCGGGGCAATGTGCCTGCGTGCGCGCAGCGCGCAAAATTTTTTTTCCCCTGCGGGCCTCCAAGGAAAGGCTGGACGCGGAAAAAACACTCCGGCCGGGCCCGCAGGCCAAGGAAGTTACGCACAAAAAGTTTTTCCAGGCCGGCCGCAGGCTGCTAGGCGCGAAAAAAACGCCCCGGGCCCGGAGGCCAAGGAGGTTGCGTGCGCGCAGCGCGCGAACAATTTACTTTATTCTTTCTTTCAGCCGGGCCGGCCCCGGAAGGGGGGCGGGTCCGCAAAAAGTCCCCAACCGCGCCCCCGGGCCAACATGTGCGCGCGCGCGCGCGAAAAATTTTCGCCAGCCCGCCCCCGAATGCCGGGCGGAGAGAAAGGCTCCGCACAAAGGCTTGCGCGCGCGGAGCGCGCGGAATTTTTTTTCCGGCAAACCCCCAATCGTGGACAAGAAAGAAGCGGCCCCGCCCACCCTCTAACGCCACGGCCACTATGCGCACGCAGCGCGCGGTAAGTTTTTTTCCGGCCAACACCCGGTAGCCGCGCGCGATTCATCACCATCGTCATCACCTTGCTAGCAGGCGAACAGCTTTCCTCATATTGAAGAAAAACTTTCTGCGCCCATCTCAAGCTAAGGCGGCTGCGCGCGCGCGGCGCGCGAAAGTCGTTTCCGGGACTGCCCGGACGCCGGACGCAAGCAAAAGCGCGCCAGAACAAGGCGCCTGCGCGCCGCGAATATTTTCCCGGCAAGACCCCGAGGGGGCGGCGCGAAAAAAACCTCCGCGCCCGCCCGCAGACCAAGGCCGGCGCCTGCGGGCGGGCAGGGGGCGGTGGCGAAAATTTGCTCTATTTCTTCCGGCAGCCCCGGTTGCCGGGTGCAAGCAACACCTCGCCGCGCCCCCTGGCCAACATGTGTGCGCGCACAGCGCGCGATATTTTTTTTCCAGCAAGCCCCCGGCCGCCGGGCGTGAAAAAAAGTCTCAAGCCACTGACTCACCCACGCAAAGAAAGGCGCGCGCGCGCACGCAGCGCGCTAAAGTTTTTTTTCAGCCGGCCCCCGGTTGCGGAAAAAAATTTCTTACGGAAAAAAATTTCCTCGCCTACGGGCCGGAAGAAAACTAATGCGCCCGCGCGCGCGCAGCGCGCGAAAATATTTTCTCGACAAGCCCCCGACCTCCGGGTGAGAGGAAAACCTTCCAAGCACGCCCTCAGGCCAAGGAAGGCGCGCGAGCGCTGTGCGCGCGCGCGAAAATTTTTTCTCAGCTGGTCCCCGGTTGCGGAAACAAAATTTCTTGCGGAAAAAAATTTCCTCGCCTACGGGCCAAAAGAAAACTAACGCGTCCGCGCGCGCGCAGCGCGCGGGAATTTTTTCTCGACAAGCCCCCGACCTCCGGGTGAGAAGAAAACCTTCCACGCAGGCACGCCCTCGGGCCAAGGAAGGCGCGCGCGCGCAGCGCGCGCGCGCTAAAGTTTTTTTTCAGCTGGCCCCCGGTTGCGGAAAAAAATTTCTTCGCCTACGGGCCAAAAGAAAACTAATGCGTCCGCGCGCGCGCAGCGCGCGAAAATTTTTTCTCGACAAGCCCCCGACCTCCGGGTGAGAAGAAAACCTTCCACGCACGCCCGCGGGCCAAGGAAGGCGCGCGCGCGCGCTAAAGTCTTTTTTCAGCTTGCCCCCGGTTGCGGAAAAAAAATTCCTCGTCTACGGGCCAAAAGAAAACTAATGTGCCCGCGCGCGCGCAACGCGCGAAAATATTTTCTCGACAGGCCCCCGGCCGCCGGGCGTGAAGAAGAGCGCCCAGGCACGCCCTCAGGCCAAGGAAGACGCGCGCGCTCCGCGCGCGCGCGCGAAAATTTTTTTTCAGCTGGCCCCCGGTTGCGAGAAAAAATTTCATCGCCTACGGGCCAAAAGAAAACTAATGTGCCCGCGCGCGCGCAACGCGCGATAATTTTTTCTCGACAGGCCCCCGACCCCCGCCGGGCGTGAAAAAGAGCGTCTACGCACGCCCTCAGGCCAAGGAAGACGCGCGCGCAGGCGCGCGCGCGCGAAAATTTGTTTTCAACTGGCGCCCGGTTGCGGAAAAGACTTTCCTCGCCTGTGGGCCAAAAGAAAACTACTGTGCGCGCGCGGCTCGCGAAAAATTTTTCTCGACAAGCCCCCGACCACCGGGCGAGCAAAAGATCTTCTACACCCTCGGGCCAAGGCGTGCGCGCGCTGTGCGCGCGGAAAATTTTTTACCGGCCGGCCCCCGATCGCGGGGCGCGAAAAAAATAAAACAGCCCACACCCTGACGCCGTACATGGTGAGGATGCGCGCGGCGCACCCACGCGAGGTTTTTTCCGGTCAACGCCTTTTAGCCGGCCATGGAGAGGCACCTCCCACGCTCACCCAAGGCCAGGGCGGTCTGCGTGCGCGCAACACGCGCAAACTTTTTCCCGGACGGCCCCCGACTGCCGAACGCACCGAAAACCTTCCGCGCCCCGAGGCCGAGGCGCCTGCGCGCGCGCAGCGAGCGCACGACAAATATTTGCCGCCGAGGCCCCACCTGGAGGACGCGAAAAAAACCCAACCGCCCTCAGACAGGCAAAGGCGTCTGCGGGCGCGCAACGGGCGAAAGACTTTTTTCGATCGGGCGGCCCTCGATAGCTGGGAACGACCAAAGGCTTCCGCGCCTTCAGGTCGGGGCGCATGCGCATGCGCGCGCGCGCAACTTTTTTTTTTCCGGCGCGCCGCCCTCGCTGCTGGACGCGCAAAAAACATTCGCTCCGCGCCCCCCCGCCAAGGCGTCTGCGCACACGCAGCGCGCTCGCAGAATATTTTTCCGGCCCGCCCCGGGTTTCCGGACGCGAAAGAATACCTTCCACGCCCTCAGGCCAAAGCGCTTGCGCATGCGCTGTGCACGAAAAAAAATTATCGGCAAGCGCGCGGCTACCGGGCACGCATAGGGAAGGGCCTCTACGCCTGCCCGGTCATGGCGCGCGCCTGAGTGGGCGCGGCGCGCGCGAAAATTTTTTTTCGGCCGGCCCCTGATAGCAAAAGGAAATAAGGAAGCATCCGCCCCCTGCTCGGGCCAGGGTGTCTGCGTGCGCGCGGCGCTCCAAATTTTTCTCCCGGCCACAGAGCAATACAGAATGGGCACGCGCATACCATCACCACTGTCAGCGACGGCGCCTAGGGAAGCGCGCGCGGTAGGCGCAATGCCATTTTCCCGGCGCCGAGCGCAGGCAGAATACGAGAGGACGCCCGCGCCCCTCCAAAACAAAAATCCGAAGCGCGCACCGTGTGCCAATTATTGTTTTCAACAAAGAGCAGCGAGAACATCTATGAGAGTCAGAATGTCTATGCGTGAGAATCTCTATAGCGTTTTTAGAAGTTCTATAATATTTTTTTTTTCTAGACATTTCTTCGGATGTTTCGGAAAAAAATATCGTCGGGGCGTTCTCTTCCGGGAATCGGGTCCTGTAGTTGAGGTGTTCTTGTGTACCGAGTTGCTGTTCGATCTGATTCTGAACGCAAAGAAGTGTAGATCGCCTGCAAACGCTGTCCCTATTGCATCTGTGCACCGTGACTCCTGCGACCAATCATCTAGAACAATTTCTGCTAGCACAAAACCATACTACAGAGAAGATTGGCGAATGAACAAGATCATTCTTTCAGGAATACCTACTCCCTAGAAATACTTACTCCGAGGATCTGCGAAACTGGAATTCCGTCGACTGTGTTCGCCAAATAAAAGCGCTCGCGAAACAGGTCGACGGGCACCTCGACATTCTCCTCCATGACATCCTGAAACGTTTGCGGTACTGGGACGCCACCTAATGTAACGTTTTATATTCGAAGAAGACAACGCTATATCCCAAAAGCAGTCAACATCGCCGAAATTCGGTTTAGCGATGAAGACCTTTCAAAATATCGCCTTACTTTCACACGTCTCGTCTATCTCAGCAGCAGAATCAAAACAATGAAGCTCAGAGGACTGGTGTCTGAAGTGTGGAATAAATAGTATGTCCGCACACCTCGCTCGATGGCCACTTCGGTGCCGAGACCCCGGATTAAGACGCTGACTAGCGGCACGACTTCCTGCATTGTCAAGTTTCGTGTGGCGTTGGGCGTTGTAGGATTGAAAAATGCCCCAACACCCGATAGAAAAAAGTACTCAAATCTGCTGCTTGCCGTCTTGGTGAATCAAGTTCCTACACAGATGGCGTGTCGTTGATGCTATGTCGGCACAAAGCCTCAGACTTCCACAGCAAGCAAGGTCGCGCAAGATGACCAGTCCGACTCGTATTATAGATTGTTCCCACAACTCGCAGTACATCCTCTTCTATGTTATATGCTTTGTTCTGCATCTCCATCTGCGGGAGAGCGCTGGCAGCAGTCAAAACAAGCGCACGGAAAGCATTCTTGACTGGGCGGGGTACTTTTGGAATGCCGTATCCCCTAGAATTGGAATGTGCATTGAAGCTGCTCGGTCAACATATTGTCTTGTGTTGTGGACCGCAAGCCGCTGTGCGTCTCGGTGCTGCACGTCCCGGAACCGTAGAACATTAGCCATTTTTCTCTTTGCTGCCGTGGCTAGCCAGGATACCTGCGACAAAAAAAATAGCAAGGTGGAAGGATCTCAGGTTGTCACTCATGGACCTCTAGGACTTTTCTTTATCAAGAGAGAGGGGCAATTCGTTACGGCTCTAAGGTCCCTGTTGTTTAGGATTAGGTCGCACACTGCGGCGCAGAAAAAAACGCTCGCTGTCACTATCACATCGGCGGGAGAATCGACAATTGCAGATTGACTCAAGTTGAAGTTGCAAGAGCAGCGCAACTCCTTGCCAACGTCGAGAAAAAACACAGACAAAAAAAGAGAAAAAGACCAACAAAAAATCGATTCGCGCGTTCACGTGCGTCAAAAAAACGGATCATCTCGCGCACTTCTTGCTTGCGAAATGTATTCACTGGCTTTCAATCAATAGCAAAACCGTGAGCAGAACTACAAGGCTTTTTTTCATTTACCGTTAAGAAGACCGCGCCCGGAGGGCGATATTGGTAACCAAATGCGTGCGCGAAAATCGTGACGTTCCGTATGGATTGCAAAAGTGTCTAGGTCTGGATGATTGCTACTCGTCATGGTAAATCTGAACCAGACAAAAATCTGTGTTGCATGATTGCCAAAAGTTGCGCACTTTTGACCTAACCGAGACGCAGTTTTTCACGGAGGAAAGGCCTTGAAAGGTCCTATAGAATCGATCCTGCTATGTCCTGCATACCAGACAGCATGGGTCATGCAAAACCAGCATGACAAGTCTGGGAATCTTCCAGATCCAGACACTTTTGCAGTCCATATTCGCGATCGTAAAAACGGCTGTTTGCCGCGGCCTCTTCCATTGCGACAGTTCGCGCTCTACCATTTCGTGCATGGTGCGAATATTTGGCGCGACGCAGTCTCTCGGGTCTGGCACTGGACCCTGCCACGGCGTGTCGGTCAGCTTAACGCTGTGGTCGCGATAAATGGTGCACCTGTTCCCTTCGTTAATGATCCTGTACGCATCATTGCCCGCCATGATTACTGTCAAAACCAACTGCCAACTATCCGAAGTAGAAAGAAACAACTGCAACTAACACAGCCAGCACGTATTTCTTTTCCGAAGTGAGCACAAGGAAAACGAAGTAGATGAAAGGTCGAAGTAATATAGTGGGGCGAGGCACCCTTGCTTCTTTTTGTTACGAACTGTGAAGCGGACGACGCTCCACTGCACTCGCCATAGCAAAACCGTGAGCAGAACTACAAGGCTTTTTTTCATATTTACATTTGACATTTACCGTTAGGCAGACCAAGACATATTTGCATTTGATATGATTGCGGCGAAATCGGTGATGTTCACACCCCCTTCCGCCATCACCGACGAGGTCGCGAACGGACGGGAAAAAAAAAAAGATACCGAATTATCAAAAGTAGCACCGGTGAAGCGAGACAAGCTGATCGGGTTGAGCTGCTTTCCCTCGAACATGCGCATCGCACTGCCGCCGCAGTAGCACACGCGCCGGTGGGCTGGGACGGTGCTCTTCGCGCTGCAGCTACTGTAAATCCCGGCCTGTCTTGCGGTCGCGTTGAAGGCGGAACACCGCTGGCCCCCGGCGGCCTTGCTCGCTGCTTCTGCGAGAGAGCTTCTTCTTATTGCACTCGTAGTTGATGTTTTCCGTCTTATTTTTCCCGCGTCCGCACCTGATTTTTCTTCATGATGTTGTTGTTGATGTAGTTGCATAGTGCCTTCTTCTTCTTGTTTTTCTTCTCTCCCTATCAAATGTAAAAATGTCTGGGTCTGGAAGATTGCCAGGTTTGTCATGCACATTTTACATGACTCCTGATGTCTGTGATGCATGCCCTAGCATCACAGATTTTGTGAGGGCTTCCTGATGCCTATACCGCATGACAAATGCTCTTTCCGTGTAGCAAAACTTGGACTCTCTTTGCTGCTCGTGAATCGGGCAAAACCGTGAGCAGAACTACAAGGCTTTTTTTCAAGCCCACGTCCCCGTGGGCTTGATCTCTATGCATTGCAAAAATGTCTTGGTCTGGAAGGATGCAACTTGTCATGCTAAGTCTGGATAGTACAGAAATTTGTGTTGCATGATTACCAAAAGGCGTCCACGTTTGAACAAGTGTAGCGGCAGTTTGTCATGCGGGATAGACATGATAGAGACTTCGCAGAAGCTGTCATGCTAGGTCCTGCATTGCAGACCTCTTGGGGCATACAGAATATGCATGACAAATTCGCATTAACAGTGTAACTGTCTTGCGTCGCCCGCCGCACAAATGAAACCATACACAGTTACACAGTTTTTTTTCTTGGATATTTTCCGAGCGCAAGAAAAACAATCTAGCCAGCGAATCGGTGGTGGACCGAAGTACGCGCCACCAACACGTGCCCGATGATCAAAAATACCTGCGATGTTGCACACTACTGAGTCATTGGTTTCTGATGCCCTTGCTTGGTATCGGTGCCGCGAAGAAAAGCATCGAGATGGACTCTTCCGTAGACGAGACAAGCGAGCTGAGGTTGCCTTGTTTGCAACATTGAGATTGACTGATGCCACACTGCGGCAGCGGCGTCAGATGGATATATATATACTGGCACCGGAAAAAGTAGAGTGAGTTGCGGCACCCGAAGTTATTGTTATTGGCTTGCACTCAAGGTCAAGACCAAGAGTTGTACGATGAAAACCAAAAGTTCTTTTATCACAGTAAAAGCTTCGTCTATCATCCTGGGTGGTTCATCCCCATATTTCATTGAAATCGATCGGGCACTTGCATCCCGCCTGCTCTTGCGTCGTCTCACATTCTGCCGCTGCTATCGGTACGCCAGAAGTCTCACCAGATGTACTCGTCCGACTATAATTAAAGTTCGCCTTGCACGAAAAGCTTCTAGGTTTCTCTTCGTAGTACAGGTAGAGCTACGCCGCGCACGACCTATTCTGAAGCCGCCGAACGGCAGGGTAATTCCTTTCGTGATCACGTACGCAACGGAGGATGGCAGGGAGATCATGATCACGTACACAACACCCGTAAAAGTAATATGTCCTTGCTGGAAAAAAATTTTCGCCTTTCTACTCGTCCTGTTTTTCCGTCTATGCCGGTTCCTTTTCCTCCTTGCGCGGCTTCACGTAGTCGGCGGAAAGTTCCGACACCTCCTTGCTGTGGCTCCACCTGACCCGGACGCGCTCTTCTCCATCTTCCCCTACCACCAGCCCAAGGTGGACGCACTTCTTCCATTCCTTTTCTTCCTGACAGTACCCCCAGAGCTTTGTGGCTTTGTGTCGGATCGTTACGTTTTCGGCAGCGAGGAATTCTGTGGCGTTGTCGCACTCCCAGCGGACCAGGATCATCCCCGTATCTTCCGGCAGCGGGGGTCGCCCCTCTGTGCCCACAAATACGCAGTTCGCCCATTCTCTCTGCTCCCACTCTTCCCGACGGCCGAACAGCTTTTGGCCGGCGTGGTAAACTCGTGGCGGCGCGGATGAACTTGAGGCTGCAGTGTCATTGGCTATCCTGAGGAAAAATGTCCCCAGATCTGCATGCCAAAAAGAAACGTTTCTCATGCGAAGCCTCATGAGAGCCATTTTCTAAAAATACTAATCCTGGTTTTGTGTGTAACTTGTAATGCTAAAACAACCGCGCCGACAGTGCCATTGTCCATTATCGCTGGGGAGGCAAGCCTCCGCAGGCGCTGGAGCGGCATGTGTAATTTGTGATGCTAGAATCAGCACGATATGCCATATCTGATGTGATGCTTCGGAACTAGCTAAACAGGACACTACTACGAGGATAACAGGCTTGTCATGCGGAACAACTAGAGGTTGAGGTGGCTCAACTGTCTGGCGGATTTCCAAAAATCTTGACTCTGGTGTGGGGACATTTTTACTCAGGATATTGGCCGGCGGTGCTTCTTTCGCAGCGGCGCCTTTGGCAGGCTTGCATCCGTATACCTCCTGGACTATCTGGTCAGCGATCTTCTGCGCTAGGCGGTCGTCTTCGTCGCTCTGATGGTCGCTCTTGCTCGGCCCAGCAGCAGCGGCCCCCGTTGGTGGTTGAATACTGTTACTGGTAGTTCCACCCTTGTTTATCTCGTCACGGTTGCAGGAAGATGAAGATGAAGTCGACACTCCCTTCGATTGAGTACTATTCGCTTTCTGCTTCGGCCCAACAGCTGGCAATGTCTTTGGTGGGTTTTCCTTTTTCTCCCGATTTGCCGTTTTTTTCACTGGCGGAGGTGTCGCTTTCGACTTTGCTCCCGCTAGTGCCGACTCGTTGTTTTTCTTCCCAGTGGAACTAGGAGGTACTGCTTCTGCTGCTTTACTCTTCTTTTCGTTCTCGTTCTTCTTTTTTGCTTCTGGAACACCACCTGAGAAAGACGAAGAAGAGGCCGCTGTAGCAGCACCAGCTGCAGCTTCTGTCTTCATCGCTTTCGCCTTCGGGACAGAAGCGGTTGGCTTGACCTTCGCTTTTGGAGCCTTGTTTGATCTTTTCGCGCTATTTATTCCTGAAGACCCTTTCTCTAGCTTCGGAACTTTTGCCTGCTTTCCGATTTTCTCCTCGCTAGCAGGGTTCTGGTCTTCATAGTCGCGGTTTAGATTTAGTCGTTCACGGCCGTCGCTTTTTGTTGACAAAAACCCAATGAAATTTTCATCCCGCTTTGAAGATGATGATGTTTCGGGTGGTTGTACCTGCACCTCTGCGCCGGCCAACAAATCAGGCACAGCTCCTTCTTGGCTGTAGCCGCTGACGCCGCTTCTTTTCCCCAAATTGCGCTTTCGCGAAGTAGATCCAGTGTCTTGCAAAGTTGCCTTTTCCTGCAGGTCGTCTAGTCCATCCTGTTCATGGCCTGTATTTTCATTCCCGCTGCCCGAGCAGTGGTACGAAGGTGTCTCGCGCACGGGCACGGTGAAATTGTCCGCGGTTTTTGCCAGAAAATGTTCGGTGCGTACTTCTTCAGCGGCTGCTTCCTCGTTGAAGGTATTCATTTCCAACGCGTCGAAAAACTGACTTTGGTCGTTCACGTTCTTACTGTTCGGGTGAAGTTTATTCGATGCGCCAGCTGGTGGAAAAACTCCTGCAGCAGGTAGAAGCGCCAATTGTTGTGCTGGTGCTTCTTCGACAATCAACTGACCACGACCAGCACCCATCATACTCACATCGTCTACTGGGGAGAATGCGACGGCGCAGATACTCGATGGGACAAAATCGTCGTCCTCTTGCTCATCAACATCCATGGGGTCTACATTTTTAGTCCCGTTTGTGAAAAATCCCAAACTCGCCCCTTTATCTGGGAGATCGTCTGTGAGAAGCGGAACTTTTGGAAATGCGCGGTAATCTCGGGCTGGTGCTGCACCATAGTGCTGTTCTGCGTCCACATCCGGCAAGATCTCTGCGTCATGCCGATCGTCTTTATTGCTTGGCACAAGTTGATGTCCGAAGCCGGAACTTGTTCCGGCAGTGTTGTCGCCTGCGACGTTCGCGGCGCTCGAGCTACTGGACGAAGAAGACAGCGTGGTCTCCAGTACCTTCGGTTGCAAAATCTCGATTCCGGAATGGTTCGGATCCACATGATCCGGGTTTGCGCCAGACCTATGTGCTGGATACCGGAACACCCGGTCACTGTTATCATACGGGTTATAGCCCGTGCTCCAGTCGTCCTTTAAACAAATCGACGGTCGGCCTTGAGGCTGCTGATCTTCTGGATTGCAGCTCATCTTGTTCCCGCCTATATTGCCCTGGTGCTCAACACCAGCTCCAACCCTTCCCCCAGCAAGAACAGGTCGCCTATCATTCTGGTTCCCATCCTGTTCATGGCCTGTACTTTCATTCCCGCTGCCCGAGCAGGATCGGCTAGCCTTGCTCCCAGAAGGAGCTCCCTCTCGCTGCTGCTGCTGCTCACGCTCAAGTCCTGCAGCTGCTGCACTCAATCCTGATGAGGACACGATTGGCGGATTCGGCTTCGGCAGGCTGTTATTGTTGCTAGAAAGAGCTTCCTGGTTTGCCCGCGGCGGCAGGTCACCGGGTGCCGAACTCCCAGGGCTCGAATCACCTTTGCTCTCGTAGAGGCAGGAGCCCCGGGGTGCTAAGCCAGAGTAGCTCTGATGTCGCTCGTTTTCGCTTTCGGCTTCTTGGTCCTCTACTATCTTCTCATCGCAAGGTGGATCTTCATGCGGCTTGCTCGTTCTCTTTTCGACCACCAAAAAATCATCTTTCGAAGATGCAACAGATGCGGCCGGAGGTCCTGGTACCCTCGCACCTGCCGACGAAGCTGCATTCTCGTCCGCTGGTAATAAGAGGCCATTTGTAAAGATATCGTGGCTCTGCTCTTCTTGTTGGTCCTGCGTGTCCAATACCTCCTCGCTAGCTCGACTTTCCTCCTTGGCCGGACTTGACGAAGGGCTGCTGGAGCTGCTCGGAAGCACCTTGATGCCCAAACAGTCCGAGGACAATCCTTGGCCACCGGCCTTCGTCTGCGCGGCGCGCAGCATCTTGTTCGCGAGCATTTCCGTCACCCGAATCGCGTCCGGCAACGTCGTATGCATTGCAAATGCGTCTGGGTTTATTGGCAGGTTGCAATTTGTGCTGCTGTCTTTCTCTTTGATTTTTCCAAAAAATTCTGTACTGTATCTACGCGGAGTACTAGAGGGCATTTCTCATGCGGAATACCGATCAGCAGAATGGATCAGGAAGCCCTAAAAAAAAAATCTGTGAGGACACTAGTTGACGCGTTGCAGGCTCACGCACCATTATCGGCCAGGCAAAGCATGCGCGAGGTAGCTATAGCCTTGCAACCTGTTAGACCCAGACATTGCGGGCGGTAAGTTGTAGCCCCACATGGCGCCAGCGGGAACGCAGGGACCGGGCCCGACTTCGGGAGGGGTGCTTTGCCCCCCTGCCCTCGCACAACCTCGAAGAGCGCCCACATGAGGGTCTTCAGGTGCACAGGCGGCATTGATGAAACGAGCGGAGAATGGGTCGCGGCAGACGAGGAGGAGGCTGAGCTCCCAGGACGAGGCTCTTCGCTTTTGACGATCTGGCCCGCCAAAGTTTCGAAAAATTCCAGACGCGAGCTGTGTCCACTTTTCGCCAAGGCCCAAGCAGTATGCACTGCAAATATGTCTGGGTCTGGAAACTTGTGATGCAAGGGAGGAAGTAATGAGAATACTGTAATGCGCTGCCAAGCATGACAAGTTTTTCTGGAACTTTGGGTTGCGTACTCTAGTGCATGAGAAGCTGTGTTTTTGCATGACAAGCAGGATGAGCTCTTCGCGGCCACGCAATACAGTTACAGAGCTGCTCATAGTCATGCCAGTGCCAGAGTAGTAGCATGACAAACCTGGCATTGGCAACGTTCCAGACCCAGACACTTTTGCAGTTGATAAGCAGTGTTGGCCAGGTCCTGCGCGTTGAATTCGTGGATCCGATGCACGGCGCAGCGCGCAATCAGCCACCACAACCCGGCGTCTTTCGTGTGGCCGGCTCTCGCAAAACCGTAGGCAGCGTTCGCCAGGTCCCGCGGGCAATACTTCGAATATTCCGCATGCTGCCCAGGGTGCAGCAGCAGCTTCCATCGTGTGGCCAGCTTTTCGCACGCCTCTGCGTCGAGATGCCCGGCCTTCGCGAGGGCGCAGATGACGTTGCTCAGGGATTGGACCGGGAAGGTCTCTGAGCGCAGACTCACCTGCTGCGCCAACTCGGCCACCAGCGCCCGGACCTCGCTGCGCGCCAGCTGGCCCAGCTTCGGCAAAGCTTGGGCGAAAGGCAGCGGGCCCAGCATCGCTAGCTGGCCAGTGGTCGACGCAGCGGAGGTGGCGCTGGTGCTCTTACTGCCTTCGCCCTTCGTGCCGGAAGCGCCGGTGGAGGCTTGCTTCATCGCCGCCGCCTGTGACGATTTCGAGTTCGAAATCACCTCCAGTTCTTCTGGTTCTTCCTGAAGATCTAGTACCTTCACCTGCTCATTCCTGTGGGTCATGATCTTCTTCGTCGAAATTACACTCGAGGAGGAGGACACCGTGGAGGCTTTGCTTGCTCCTTTGTTCGCGACTACTAATTATCCACTGCAAATATGTCTGTGTCGGGAAGAATGCAGTGCTCGTCATGCACATTTTGCATGACCACCCATGGCGTCTGTGATTCATCTCCTAGCATTACAGATGTTTTGAGGGCTTTCTGATGCAGCCTATAGTGCATGCGAAATTCAAATCCCCTCTCTGCGTAGCAAGAGCTAATCTCTTCATGTTCTGCTGTTCATGCAATACAATTCATGTGTAGAATCCTGAGGCAGCATCACAAGTTGGTATCCTTCCAGACCCAGACCTATTTGCATTTGATACGACTGCATCAGCAGACTGGTCCTCGCTCTTCGATGCCCCGACTTTGGACGACGTCGCAGCTACGCTTTCCTCCGGTTTACGTCCTTGCGCCGCACTGACGTGCACCTTCGCCGATTGATTTGCCGCTTGCTTGCTCCCCTTTCCACCCGCTCCACCCAAGGAGGTCCTCATGGCAGAACCTTTTATTTTTGGATCTGGGCTATCAAATGTAAAAATGTCTGGGTCTGGAAGAGTGCTAGACTTGTCATGCAGATTTTACGATGACATATCACGTCTGTAATGCATAACCTGGCATCAAAGATTTCTAGTCGGCTTTCTGATGCCTATCCCGCATGAGAAATACCCTTTCCATGTAGCACAAATTGGACCCCTCTTGCTGTTCATGCAATACAGATTTTTTTAGAATGCAGAGACAGCATCACAAGTTGCAATCTTCCAGACCCAGACACTTTTGCATTTGATATAGGCTGGGGGTTGTCATCTTCGGCTTCTTCGACGCCGGCTCAGAGTTGGCAGTGGAGTTCCTTTATGCATTGCAAAAGTAGTGTACTCGTATAAGGTTAAGGGCATTAGCATTACAACTTTCCTCAGGATGAGAAATAAAATTTGTAATGCGGAGTTGACTTAACAAAAAGATTTATTGTAATGCATGATTGCAATACTAATACGATACTTTTGCACAGGATATCCTTTGGTCATCAACATCTTCCTGCTTGCTGTTTTCGGCCGCAACAGACGCTTCGACCTTGTTCGCGTGGGTGGATTGCGATTCAGATTGCACAGCTTGCTTCAACGTGTCAGCATGCTTTGTTTTCCGATCTTCCGCGATGAAAATCAGCTCACTGCCATCCTCTTCCACCTTGCTCGTGTTGTTCGTGTTGTCGTTCATTGTGCTTTTCATCGTATCGCCCGAGGAGGCCGGAATGTCTTCACCAGCGAGCGCTGCCCTGGCGGCGTTGAGCGCCGTGTGCCTTTCGTTGACCCCGACAGGAGCGGGAACTGAGGTCTGTGACTCCCTCATTCCACTGGCCGTTTTTTTCAGGTCGAGATGCTGCCTGTCGTTATGATAAAGGGCGCTGATCGAACAGGCTTGAGAAGATGACGCTGTGGCTTTTGTACTAGAGGTTGCAAAAATGCAAAATCCAAGAATAGCTAAAACTCTGAGCAGATCTCCCTGCACAAGCAAACGTTCCAAGCAACTGTAAGTACGAACAAGAAGAATGGAAAGACAAATATGTCCGCTACTGGTTTTGGTTCAGATCAACACATCAAGACAGCAGCTGAGAGATAAAAAATCGAAAGAAAATATAACGAAGAAAACAATACCTCTTCGCGGCGTCTGCGGCTTTGTCGCTCTCCTTGTCCTTGTCCGCCATTTTTTTCTTCACGTCCTTTTCTTTCTGCTCCTGCAACCAGTTCTCGAATACGCTGCCCTTCCTGACAGCTGTTGCAGGTTTTTTACGTCATCCATGGCAAACATGTCAGGGCCAGAAGTAAAAGGCCAAGCATCGCTGCCGGACTGCGCGCCGGTGATAGCACCGCACGCGCCGCCTTATCGCGGGCCCGCTTCCGTATTGCTTCTTGCACACATATCACACGTAGTAGTTTTCAAAACAAATCGCATTACCAATCCACCCAGGATATCACAGACTGCGCGACTCAATTCGCTCAGCAGGGCGAATGGAATCGAATTCGTCACCCATGGTTGAATTACGGGAGACCAGTGTACATGATTTGCAATCACTACAAGCGCGATACTTGCGTAGAGGATGTTCCGGCACTGACATGGTCGCAATGGATACGCGCTCGTGCTCCCTAACCGCCTGTCTGAGCTCTCTTACTTTTCTTAGTGTGGAGGTGGACATCTTGATCTGCTCGCGAAAAGTCTTTCAAGGTTCAAAATGGAATTTTCCATGCTAGAGCAGGAAGAACTCAACGAATGAAATTTCCATTTATAATGCGTTGTTCTTTCTCACATCATGTCTTGCTCTTGCGTTGTCGTTGATCAGAGTTAATAAAAGATAGGCCTAGCACGGTAACACTATAGAAAGTTTGTTTCATTCGCTACGTTTTGCTTTTCACCCGCGGGCTCAACTGTGTTAGCTGGGATTGGGAAAAGCCTATTGCTGCACGGATAGCTATACCAGTGCAGGTCTTTTATTTCCCTTACCTTCGCGATGCTTGGGCTTTGGCGCAGCCTCCGTGATCCCTGATTCGAAAAAAGCAAAAAGTTGGAACTCGAAAGAAAGATAGATGCGACAGCTGCATGTCTTGCGTGGTGCGATCTTCGACACAATCCTGGGAGTGATCTTGTTGTCCCCGTGCCTTTCTCTTGGTTCTTTTCTGTGACGCGTGCTTAAAAATAGACACCTGTCACAGACACGAGCTGTCTCCCTTGACTATATCGTTACAGGCCGTAGATGAATTTCTGGGTGTCGGGATTCAGAAAACACTGCAAGAACATTCTGTGGGGCGACCGAGGATGTTAAGACAACCTCATTTTCGCTAACTTCGTTTAGAAGATCATGCAATGGTGCTTTGGCTCCTGTACATCATGTTCATGCACATTCTTACGGGGAAGCTTTTGCAAGATAGGCCTTTTTCCCTTGGGTCTGATCCACGCTCCTGCATGCGCTTCTGTATGATCGTGTAAACTTTCACTAGCTATTCAAGGAAAATGGCAAGGCCACCTCATGATCCTTTGCCTTTGTTAGAATCCATGAAGCTTGCTAGAAGATCAAAGGCTTTCTCATTTCTGACCAGGCCGACCTGGGCAGTGCTTCAGCTAAGGAGCGATGGATGCGCCATCGTTTGCGACAAAATTATCCCGCACGTCGGTTGGCGCGTTGGCGCTCGCCGATACCTATACCGAAAATCACGGAACACGAAATTTGTCTGCATGAGCGGGATTTTGTTTTCATCTTCATTCATTTTTATCCTGTGCAAAAGTATCGTACTCGTATAAATGCAAGTCTTGCAGCATTACAAATCTTCTTCTTATCGTAAATCCGCAATACAAATTTTATTTCTCACACAGAGGAAATTTGTAATGCATTGATACGAGTAGGATGCTTTTGCATTTGATAATTTAAATTTTATATTTCGTACAAGAGACAGACCCCACTCGGTAGCACTGAAGCTGGCGAAAGCATGTACTATGTCAAAGAACCAAGAAGCAATCTGCTCGAAAAGTTTTGTGTCGTCCATAACTCGTCTCATCTTTTTTTCACTTCATCATTGAATACGGGTTCATACCTATCGTAGAAAAGGTGGCTTTAGGTCTTCTGCTTCATTTTTTTCTTTAGAGAATAGACCAGCCACCCCCCGGCGGAGGCCGCCGGGGAGGGGGCTGTTCGGTGGAGGTGTTCCGGTGGGGAAGGTGGCGCCAGCAATGAATCGCTGCGCGCCGCTACACAACCACATAAAAAGAACCCGGCCCATGTTCCGGCATGGATAGGCACCATGCCCGGCCTTAGTAGCTGCGCGCCGTGGGAAAATGCGCACAGGAAACTACTTCCGGGCGCCAGCGTTCAAGACGCCACAAGGGCGGCGCACCTGCCAGCGCGCGCGGGCGCTGTGGGAAAGAAGTAGCGGCCACCCTAGGTGGCCGACCAGGTTAAGGCGTGGCGCCGCGCCCCCTCTGGGGGACGCAGAGCGGCGCACGCACTTTGAACGGCCGCTCTGATCTGAAAGCGAAAACAATCCCAGCCGGTCGCTGCGCCCTAGCGAGCTTTTTTAGGGGGCGCCGCGCGCAGACAAGTGCGCAGGTTGTGGTCCTGGAGGTGGCCCGCGAGAGGGTCCGCGAGAGGGTCCGCGAGAGGGTCCGGGAGAGGGTCCGGGAGAGGGTCCGGGAGAGGGTCCGGGAGAGGTTCGGAGAGGGTCCCGGAGAGGGTCCCGGAGAGGTCCCGAGAGGGTCCGCCGAGAGGTAAAATAGAGGTTCCCGGAGGGGGTCGCGGTAGAGGGTCACATAGAGGGTCGCCCTATACTACGCACCCTCTCTGACCCTCTCGACCCTCTCCCCCTGCCCTCTATTTGACCTCTGTCCACCCTCTACCTACCCTCTTCGGGCGTATAGCGCCGCTATACGGGCCGACATACTACCCACCCTCTCCCTACCCTCTCCTTTACCTCTCGTTTTACCTCTCCCCGACCCTCTATTTTTTCCCGACCCTCTACTTTACCTCTCCCAACCTCTATTTTACCTCTACGACACCTCTCCCCACCCTCTACCGGAACCTCTCCGGCCCCGTTTTCTTCCATATATAATTATAATAATACAAAATCTGGTCCGGGCCTCCGTATAAATATAATCTATAGGAGGCCTCTACTAAAATAATTCTAAACGAATGTGCTTAGAAGGTCTCGTCTAGAAGCTTCGCGTAACAGATTCAACGCTTCCCCTGTATCTCTACGCCATACCGTCGCGCAGAATGTTATGCTGCACGCCCTGGCGAGCAGCAGAACAAAGCCGCGCATCAACTTCAGTGCGATTCTGATACAGAAAGCGTCGACAAGCTCGACTGCCCCTGTTTTCACGCCCGAAAACAGGGATCAACTCCTCGGCCATCACTTTCCGGCATGGCAAAAGTGATGGCAAAAAGCTTCCTGGCCATCCCTTTGCCTTCGCTCGGGCAAAAGTGATGGCCGGGAGCTCCTTGGCCATCACTTTTTGCCCTTGCTTTTCGCTCGGGCAAAAGTGGTGGCCAGAAGCTCCTCGGCCATCACTTTTTACTCGGGCATGGGGCACGGGCTCCTTGGCCGTCACTTTCGTTCCGGCCGGGCCAAAGTGGTGGCCAAGAGCGCCTCCTGGGTGGGCCATCGTTTCCGGTCGCCGGGCAAAGCGATGGCCCAGGGGTCCTTGGCCATCACTTCGCGGACGGGCGGCGCAAAAGTGACGGCCGCGAGCCCCTTGACCATCATTTTTGGCCATCACTTTGCCGGTCGGGTCCAGCAAAAGTAATAGGCAGGCGCTCCTCCTGGGCCACCATTTTCCGGCCCGCCGGGCCAAAGCGATGGCCAAAAGCCTCCCCTGGGCCATCACTTCCCGATCGGGCAAATGTGATGGCTGGCCAAGAGTTCCATGGCCATCAATTTTCGCTCGCTCAGGCAAAATTGGTGGCCAAGAAGAGCTCCTTGGATGGGCGCCGCTTTTGGACATCACTCTCCGGTCGGGCAAAAGTAACGGCAGGGAGCCCCTTGGCCATCAATTTCCCTTCGGGCAACCAAAAGTGACGGCGCGGCCAGGAGCCCCTTGGCCGCCACTTTTCTTTCGGGCAAAAGTGAGGGCTGCGAGCTCCTTGGTTGCTTGGCCATCATCTTCCGGCCGGGCAAGAGTGAGGGCCAGGAGCCCCCTGGCCATCGCTTTCCGGTCGAGCAAACGTTACTTCCTGTCCCCCCCGGCAAAAATGGCGGCCAGGAGTTCCTTGGCCATCCATGACCTTCCGCCCGGGCGAGCAAGGTGATGGCCACCCAACAGCAGCTCCTCGGCCACTACTTTTGGCGGCCATCGCTTTGCTTCCGGTCGGGCAAAAGTGAGGGGCGAAAGCTCCTTGGCCATCACTTTCCGATCGGGCAAAAGTGGTGGCCGAGAGCTGCTTGGCCATCACTTTTGGCCATCGCTTTTCGCCCGGGCAAAAGTGATGGACAAGAGCTCCCCGGCCATCATTTTCCGGCCGAGCAAAAGTTGCGGCCAAGAACTTCGCAGCGATCACGTTTGGCCACCACTTTCCGGGCGGGCAAAAGCGATGGTCAGAAGCTCCTAGCCCAGCCGGGCGGGGCAAAAGTGACGGCGAAGGGCTCCTTGGCCATCACCTCCGGTCGAGCAAAGTTGAAACTAACTTTTGGCCATCACTTTCCGGCCGCCCGGGCAAAAGTGGTGGCCAAGAGCTTGGCCCCCACTTTCCGGTGGGCCCGCCGAGCAAAACAAAGTGGAGGCCAAGAGCACTTTCGGGACGGACAAAAGTGATGGCCCGGGGCTCCTTGGCAATAACTTTTGGCCATCGCTTTCCGGCCGGGGCGGGCAAAAATGGTGGCCAAGAACTCCGCGGCGATCATTTTTTGCCACCAGTTTCCGGGCGGCCAAAAGTGATGGCCAAAAGCTCCGTACCTTGCCCGGCCGGGCTGGGCTGGCAAAAGTGACGGGCGGCGACGGGCTCCTTGGCCACCACCTCCGGTCGGGCAAAAGTGAAACTTTTGGCCATCACTTTCCGGCCGGGCAAAAGTGGTGGCCAGGAGTCGGGCGAAAATGATGGCCAGGAGCTGCTGGGGCATGCATCGCTTTCCGTTCGGGCAAAAGTGGCCACTTTTCGCTCGGGCCAAAGTAATGGCCAAGACCTCCCTGGCCACCGATCACTTTTGGCTGGCAATCGCTTTCCTGTCGGGCAAAAGGGATGGCCAAGAGCTCCCTGGCCACCCATCGCTTTCCGGCCTGGCAAAAGTGATGGCGAAGAACTCCTCGGGCGTCGCCTTTCGGCCGGGCACACATGATGGCCAAGAGCTCCCTGGCCGTCAAAGTGGCCATCGATCGCCTCTCGGCCGGGCAAAGGTGATGGCTGGCCAAGAGCCTCGCGGCCATCGCTTTTGTTTCGCTCGAGCGAAAGCGATTGTGGCTATCGCTTTCCGGTCGGGCAAGGGTGGTGGCCAAGAACTCCGCGGCCACCACTTTTTGCCATCGCTTTCCGGTCGGGCAAAAGTGATGGCCAGAAGCTCCCTGGCCATCACTTTTCGGCCGGGCAAAGAAAAACAATGGCGACAACTCCTTGGCCATCGCTTTAACTTTTGCCCATCACTTTCCGGATGGGCAAAAGTGGTGGCCAAGGGCTCTTTCCTTGGCCATTACTTTTGCCCAGCGCTTCCTTTCCTGTCGGGCAAAAGTGTTGGCCAGTAGTTCCGCTGCCACCGCTTTTCGCCCGGGCATGCGAAAGTCCTCGGCCATCACTTCCGGCCATCGCTTTCCGGTCGGGCAAAAATGATGACCATGAGCTCCCTGCTCATCCATTTCCGGTCGGGCAAAAATGATGGCCGAGAGCTCCGTGGCCAGCCATCGACTTTCGCTCGTTGGCCATCACTTTCGTTCCGGGCGGGCAAAAGTGGTGGCCAAGAGCTCCCTGCGCGGGCCATCGCTTTTGGCCATCGCCTTCCGGCACGGTCGGGCGAAAGTGATGGCCAAGAGCTCCCTGGCCGTCATTTTCGGCCATCACTCAGCCACTTTCTTTCTTCCCGCGCGGGCAAAAGTGTTGGCCAAGAGCTCCGCGGCCACCACTTTCGGGTCGGGTCGCGCAAAAGTATTTGCCAAGTGCTCCATGGCCATCACTTTTGCTCATCACTTTCCGGTCGGGCAACCGAGCAAGAGTGATGGCCAAGAGCTTCCAGGCAGTCACCTTTTGCCACCTCTTTCGTTCCGGCCGGGCACGCTTTTGCCTCTCGGCTTCTGGTGCATGGCATGGGCGGGGGGGCGCGAGGCAAAACCGCGCGAACAAGCCCCCGGAAGCGTGAGTCTCATCCCCATCCAGGGGCGGGGGCTTTCTTTGCGCCGGCCGCCGAAGCCGCCCCAGAATAAGCTTCGCAACCGGCCCCCTTCGCTTTGCTTGCCGCGTGCGGCTAAAGGGCTGACGGCGGGCCGGCGTCCTGGACGCCGGACCGCAAAAGGCGTTAAAGCGGCGAGGCCGCTAGGGCAAGCGCAGGCGCGGCAACGATCTTCCTCGGGACAGGCAGCGTTATATATATTTTTCAACCTTCTAGCCGCATTCTACTCGACCCCACGCCAAACCTTCTAAACACATAACCACCTTTAAAATTATTTTTAAATCTACTAGCCCAGCGGGCGTCCTGGACGCCCGCGTCAAGAGGCTAGTAAATATATTAATCTTAATCCGCTGGCCAAATCATTCGTTATGGTCCTACCTCATTTAAATTTGCTTGGGCTTTCGAAAATCATATCCGCAGAGGCGGGGAGCTTTATCGCCTATTGTGAGTTATTTTCAACACTAGCTACGCAAGATGGGAGTAAAACAGTACTTCCGTGGTTTTTACAAATTTTGACTTTGGGCATGGGTAATGAAATAGAAAAACTTATAACTAAACTCTAGTTGAAAGCTCCTTTCTGTAAATGACAATCTTATTCAACATCAGAATTCGCCCCGAAACACTTCCAAAACTTTGAATCTCTATAGAAGTTCTTGCAAAAACTCAAACTGACTGTCCTTATTTTTTCATTCTCTTAAAATCTGGAAAAAGCTGTATCAGGAGGATCGTCCCTGTGCCTACAACATCTTCAAAGGCTAGAAGTATTAGCTATCATTATATGTGGAAAAAAACGTCTCAACACGTAAGAAATCTCGTATTCTTTTTGTCTGAATAATCGCAATCGAAAATACTATCATCCGAAGCACTGTCATCAAGGCTGGCGTCGTTGCCATCATCATTTTGCAAATGCTGTTGCCTCGTCTCGTTCCCCTCTGAGACGAGTTCATTACTGCGGCCCTCGGAAGATGAATTATTTCCAAACGTGAGCGCTGCCTCTGCTCGGTGGCTGGAGAGGGGGGCTGCTAGACGACCTATTTCTGCTAGCGATTGCTCGAGTGTGGAGGCCTTGTCATTTTCTCCAAATACTTCGCGCTCGATCTCATGGGCTGCGGCTGCTGGTGCACTTTCAACACTATTTCTAGATGCGCCAACATCAATATAAGGGACTGGATGTTGTGCTACGGTTTCGACGTGTAACAGCGAACCAGGGGAAGGCACTGCAAGGGCCTCCGTTGCGTCATGCTCCGACAAACCCCACACCGCCGCGGCCGCCCCAGCGATTCCGTATTTCACTTGCTGCGGGAACGTTGTCTCCTTTCGCTTCTGCTGCATCTCCTGGTCCAAGAAATCGGGGTGTGTGGTTTCCATCTTTTCCAAACCGACGCTCTGCGGACGCAGACTCGACGAATGCTCCTCCTGGTGGCCAAAAAAGTTGGGGAGCTGGTCATTGAAGTTACAAGTGCTACCAACACGGCGGTGATGCGTAGTGTACGGAGTTTGCACCTGCTGCGCCGGCGAAGCAGCCGAGAAGGGAAAGAAGCCCGCCGCGCCGTAGTCACATGCGGAAAAGTTGTTCTGCATTCGACAAGGATAGGAAGGGTGTCGCGCGTAGTAAAATGAGTGGTCTGGTTGTAGTTGGTTCTGGTGCCATTGCGGAACTACAGGATTAGTACCCTCAGGTCGGTGTTGTTGGTGGGCGAGAGGACTGCCAGCAAATAAACAAGCCGCACTCCTCGCCTCCGCTGCCGACCATGCCTCCGCTGCCGAGAATGAACAGGCTCCAAACGTAGGTATCGAGTGCAAAAGCATCACGCTCTTCGTAGTGGCAACTAGGCATGACAAGCTTTGTGTTTCAAGTATAATCAACATGACGAATTCAACTTTTCCTCTGAGAAAATTTGTAATTGCAACTTGTACTAGAACTAGTGCGGGACGCTTTTGCAATGCATAGTGGGACAACTCCAACTGGTGCAATTCCAACCATCATTCGGACTCACGTGCTGGTGGTGGTTGCCAGATGCGGATTGTTGACTTTGATACTGCTGAGCATTTCGCGCTCCGTAAAAGCCTGGGACGCTGCCGGCTCCTTCTCCAAAGCTTGCACTGGCGATGTCGTGGCAGGGTTTGACATTTCTGCGAGACCACTGTTGCTGCCCCTGGTCGAACGAAGCATAGCTGCCACTCGCACCATGATCATTTCCAGCACTGTCCGGATAGCACGGAGAGGACGGCCACGGCGTGGCTGCAGTTGCTGCGAAAGTGAAAGCGCCCCCCTGGTGGTAGAGTGCGCCAGCTGTAGAAGTTGCTTCCAGGTTTTTATGGGCCTGTGTCAGTTGGGAGATTGTGCCATCAGGTGGAGCAGGACAGCGGGGAACAGCACGCTGTTCTTGTGAAACAGATGGTCGGCGCGCTGGAGCCGGAGCAAAGGTCGTCCCTGATGATTTCTGCAAGTAGCCAGCTCCACTTTCCCGGCCGTGGAAAACAGGGAAACTTCCGTTTGAATGTAGCCCCCCGGTTTGGTGGTCGTGAAGCAGCGACACAACACGGGGCGGCACCGCGACGGGTATGAAAGCTGTTTGCGCCGCTTGTACAAACCCTCCAAAAACTGGAGCTGCTCTGGCGCCCCCTAGTTCATCTGGAGAGAACGACGATAAGCCGTTCCGTACGCTCGTGCTTTCGGTCGCGCTGGTGTGCATTCGCCCCCCGATTCCTCCATCTGTAGGAGAGACAGCAGCTCTACTTCCATGTAGTACCCCTGTGGCAAATGAAGCTGCAAAAGGTATCATCGACGTGGCTGATGGTTGTGCGTGTGCCGGAGCCACCAGTGGTGGAGGTTTATTTGGACGATCGCCGACTTGCTGTGCACCTGCACACTGTCGTAACTGCTGCGAGCAGAGTCGGAGTTGCTGTTGGAAAATACAGGCGCAAGCTCTGCGAAGGCACTCCTCCTGCTTTTGCAGCAGATCATGTTGTTGTGTCAGCAATACGCACGCCAACTCGTCGACGCGTGCATTCTGTGCGTGCTGCTCTGGCGCGTTTGCGAAACTCAAGCCAAGTAGCCCGGGGCCGGCATCAGAAGCGGATCCGTGCGCGCGATTCCGGTACCCAGGTCCTGGATCCGACGGGGGGAGCTCCGCTGTTGATTGGGCGCTGGACTGCGGACCAGAGTTGAGCTCCTCCGGCTCAATGTCCGGACTGATCGAACGGGGAAACGGTACCGAGGGAAGCGAGGACGGAGCGTCAGCACCAGAAAAAGCATACGACTCTTCTGTAGGAGGGGTTGCCGGCTCACAGTGCTTTGCGCTGAGGAGGTGCAAGGCGGGCTCCAATCCTTCACGGAGGTGGTCATGCACTGCCGTCGACGATGTCGATGATGATGATAATTCAATAGACCTCAACGGGCCTGTGCCACCGCAATTGCCATCACTTGCAGTTGCGGAAGTTTCTGTTTATGTCATTTTTCTGATTTCTTGGTCCTATTCCAAGCAAAAATAGTAGCTGCGGCGAGCAAGCACAAGCAGGAGCTACATGCGATCTAGATCGTCACTATCATGAAGCATACTTCTTTCGCACGATGAACGGCTGTGCTAGTCGTAGCGACGCAACGTGGACGTCTTCGATCACATATTATTTCTATTCACACCCCACTCATACTTAACTCCGACACAACAGTATACTTATCATTACTATTCATTTTGATGTTGCTGCACCAGAAGGACTATCGGGAGTGAGATTAAGCGAGTCCCTAGTGACACAAGTAGAACTCCGGCACAACGCGGAGGATTGATCCTATAATAGAAATACATCTTCGTTTTACACATACCAGTGTTCGCTTCGGCGTCCACCTCGCTGCTCCAAGCGGACGTCGAACCTCGCTCGCAGTTCGTCGGGGGACCTCTCGCAGGGGTCCGGCCGCAGTCCCGCGGTGCTACCGGCTCGGGGGGCGGGTACACGCCTGCGTGATGCTCATCGGCGACCCGGGCTCCCTGCGTCTCTGACCACGGTCCGCCGACTGAGTGTTCAGAGCGCTTCGAAAAACCGTGGTGGCGCCCTTGCCGGAGAATCTCCGTGTCCAGCTGCACCCCAGCAGCACTAAGTAGGGGCTTCATGGTGTTCTTTTTTTTTGTTCGCGGCGCGTCGTCTTTCGGCGACAGAAAGCGCGCGGGTGGAGTAGCGTGGCGACGCAGCACCTGAAGATCCTGCGCAGTATCAGTAGTGGCCGAAACGACGCCGCCGGAGCCACTGGAGTTGCCAAGAACGCTGTCGTCCCCGACTCCGCTTGCCCCTGTCTGGCAGAGAGGTACCCAGCGTGTGGCATGTACAACTTGCAAACCGAACCCCGATTGCGGATCATTTTTGCTCTCCTCCACAACGTTTATTGGTTTCATCCACAGTTGCGCGCATTGTGCCAGTCGTTCGGATGGAACCATGGGGACCATAGTAGTACTCTGCCCAGACAAGGGCCTCCACCAGAGCGGCATCAAATGCAAAAATGTCTAGGTCTGGAACAGTGGACCTTGTGATGCGTGTCTTGCATTCCTAGAAAATCTGTATAGTTGCATGAGTAGCAAAAGAGGAGCTTGCTTTGTTCTGCAAAAACGCAATTTGTGATGCGTGGTGAACATCAGCAGGCGTCTCCAAAACTTGTCATGCCTGGCCGCCATTGCAAGCGCTTCACTCATGCTCAATTCAGCATCACAGATTTCGAGACCCAGACGCATCTGCAGTGCGTATGCGGAACAGTGTCACTATGCGAGATCTTTACCGGCTCTGCGTCGTTTCCGTCACCAGCCCCGATGGTCGCGGAGCCCCTGTTCTTCTGCAGAAGGAGCGCCGCGTTCAGGTCGTGTTCGTGCGCAACAAGGGTCCAGCGTGGTCGTATTAACGGCAAATGTTGAGTGCGTGACTGTCTTCATGGGTTTGCAAATGCACGAGTAGATAGGATTATCTTCAAGCGGTGGCACGCATACCAGCTACCCATGAAAATGTTGAAGATCAGCGACTAGCAATTTTTCATGTCATATGCATAGACGAGCACCACGATGATGGATCTGCCTGCTGACGCACGCGTACGGCACAGACAGTTGCAGGGAAAAAATACAGAGACCTTCCATCGTCGTTAATATGCAAACCGCACGGACTTTTTCTGCTTCTGAATGTTGGTCGCCATCACCTCATTATTGCATAAAAAATAGTTCTAAGTACTCTTTTCTTGTTGAGTCACACTCAAGATGGGCTGCTCCTTATTTCCACCATAGTTGTCGGGCTGACGCGAAAAAGCTCCGGTTTCCGATGCTCGACGTCCTTGAAGGGCCGCACTCCTGTCTTGAGTTTCTTGGTGCTCGCGTAGTCGAAAATTGGAATCCAGGGCTGTCTATCAACTGTAAAAATGTCCACGTCTGGAAGATTCTGACAGTTGTCATGCACGTTTTCCGTGAGCCATGATGTCTGTGATGCATACCCTAGCAGTACAGATTTTTTGAGGGCTTCTTGATGCGTATTCCGTATGACAAATGCCTTCTCAGCGTAGCAAAAGTTGCGTTCCCTTTGCTACTCATGCAATACAGATTTTTTCCGAAATCCAAAGACAGCATTACAAGTTCCACTCTTTCTCTTTCAGACCCAGACATTTTTGCATTTGATACTGTCGACGCTCCCTCGGACACCACCACACTTGTTCGCTTGAATCGGGTTGAAGCTGAAAGTTACTAGACGAGCACGACCATGACCTGACTTCTGGCGATCCTGAGGCTCCTGCTTTCGGCCCGACGACGCGCGCTGGCGCAGCAAGTCGTTGGATTTTCTCCAGCACGGCGGGTCCTGTGGTCGCTGGCGTGCGCGCCGACCGCTGGGCTAGAAGTGCAGGACCACCTTGACGTGCTCGTACTGTTTCTGCAAGCGATATGGGAGTGTCAAGATCGAAATCGTCAAAGTTGAAATAATCTGTAAAGCAAAAAAGCGATACCAGCTGGAGCCCAGTTTGCAAGTGGCCAATGACAAATTTTGACAGCATGGAAATCCAATTTGTCATGCTGTTTGAGCAGAGAATACTGCTTTTGTCATGCTATTTTAGCAGCTCTATCTCACACCCCAAACAGGCTTACAATCGGCCTCAGTTGGCTGCTCTGCAAGACAGGCACTTTGCGTCTACCATTTTATGCATCACAAACTATTTCAACCTTGAGTTTAATGATTTCAATCCTGACGCTTCCATAAGCGAATGAACGTTCTTGCTCTCATTCGCCTCCGGCGCTTGTCCTCTTGAAAGCAAGCTAGTGGCGCCGCGATGTTCTTTTTTGATCTTTCTTGCGCCCCGACGCTCGGCGATAAACTGCTCCGTGATTCGTACCTCCGTGCGCTTATGCATCGCGAATATGTCTGAATCTGGAAAGGTTGAACCTGTATTGCGTCTACTCCAGCAATTTAACTATAATTTTTTCTGGAGAATCTGCATTGCATAAAAGCAACCAAAGTTCCACAGTTTCGCCATGAAAAATCGCAGTTTGTAATGCGTACTAAACATCATCATCATCAGAAGGCATTTGAAAAAATTGTCATGCCGCACTGCACTCAGACGCGCGCTCAATCATAACGATTCAGCTTTACAGGTTTATTTCAGACCCAGACATATTTAAGTACATTTGATAGCGCAAGCGCTCCATCAGTTCTGAGAATGTTCGCGCACAACTGGCCGCATTGGCGACAGTAAGAGCAACCTCCTCTGCAGCTACTGTGGCTTCTTGCATGCTCATCAGCAGACAGGCATCCGCCGAAGTTCTGGGAGGCAACGTCATACCCGAGACAGAGGCGGAAGACGCCGCCGTTGGCACCGAGCCACACGTCGAGGCCACGTAGTTCTCAATTTGTGGCATGACGTGTTTCGACACCGCATCGCACCACCGCTGACCGGAAGACGCAAGCGCGTGCACAGCCGTTTCTTGAAAATTCCGCAAGAGACAGATAAGTGCTTCCTCGACCTGGTCCGAGCCTCCGAGTCCGGACTCGGGGGGCTGGCCCTGCTGCAGCGGCTGGCGTGTCGCGAAAGCGTCTTTGTCACTTTCCCGTGGGTCGTGCGCCTTCTGTGCCAGCGGCTGCGACACTGTGGACCGGGAATCAGCTTGCAGCTCTTCTTGCGTGGACAGTTGTTCTGCAGCCTTCGGGAGAGGGTCGTCCGTCGCATCTTCCGTCGAGCACGCGACGTGATCCGCCTCCGAAGTTTGTCCGCTAGTATAATCCTCGTTCTGGTCTTGCTGAAGACGGCAAAACTGTTTCATCGAGTAGTAGCTGTTAGTACCATCAACGTGCTGAGTGGTGTAACTGCTATCATGGGCGTCCTGCTGGCGTAGTTTCTGGAGTTTGTCGCGCCGAGCTTTCCGACTCCTCGTCGGCTTAGTGGTCTGGCTATTGCCTGGCGTTTCTACTTCTTGATTTTGCGTCGAGGCATCACAATTCAAGTCGGTGCGCTCTTTGTTGTGTCGTTCTTGCGGCGGTTCCCTGGCCGAATACAGGGATGATTTCGCCTGTGTGCTCGTGTCGACGGATAAAAGAAACCAGGTAAAAATCCGACCCAGTGCGATTCCTCGACAGAGCAAAAGGCGTTTCCTCCGCGCAGCTGTTTTTCGAGAAACGGCCGACTGCAAATAAGTATCAACTGTAAAAGTGTCTGGGTCTGGAAGAATTCATGTTTGTCATGCTTGTCTGGCATGACTCTTAAGTCTGTCATGCACGTTACCCAAGAGCTCCGTTTTTCTGTGATGCAGAAGCGCAGTTTGTCATGCAGAATAGGCAACACCTAGGAGCTCAGAAACTTGTCATGCTGAGCCAGCATCTGTAGCCTCATCATGAGACGCCACCCAGCATCACAAGTTTGCAGACCCAGACATTTTTACATTTGATAATAAGAAGAATTGCGCATTTTTCTCCTGAAATTCCTCGATGGACAAGGAGTCAAGCGCCAACTCTTCTTCTGGAACTAGGCGTCCTTTTGGTCCTTTCCGTGTTGTCGTGCAAATACACGAGCGCCGATTTTCTGCTCGGCTTTGTTTCCTGGTTGTGCCCCGTTTTTTTCTAGTACAACTAGATGAGATTTCTATAAATTGTAAAGCAGATAGGCTCATACTATTTTCTTATTCCTAGTGAAGATAAAGATACGCATCGCGGAGAGGATTTTTTCTTGTACCAAGCCGCGAGATGTTTATGTTTTACGTAAGTTCGTGTTCGTTTTCTTTACATTCAGTAGAGATCTTCAACAAGGACAAGGGGCAACAGCTCTCCTGTATCTAGCTGTTGTAGACGAGTATTATTCTGTACGAGCAAATTGTTTACTAAAAAGAGAAAAGTGGCATAGCTTTGCGTAGTAGGCCTTGCTGTGACGTTGAAAAAAATAAAAAGATAATAACAAATACGATAAGAATACATTTCACTGTTAGAAAACGCGCCTAGCGGTTGTTGCAGGCTAATTGCATTCGTTATTTTACAATGATGAAAGCCCATGGCCATAGAGTTCCTGTTCTGTGCGTTGTTGGATGATGTCGTCATCGGATTGAAAACTCCTCGGTACTTTTCTGTGCAACTACTTTCGGATTGAAAACTCCTCGAACCTCTTCTACGCTGCGCAACGACTGCAAATGATAAATAAGATCACGGTAGTTCCTGGTTGCAGAGCAGTTCGCGCTCGCATTGCTGTTGCTCCCAACGCAACACATTGATCAGTTCGGTCTCAGTGGGGTCCCCCCTCAGCCAGCGGATCATCAAAAAAAATGAACAATCCAGGATGGATCATCAACATCAACTTCAGCAAACAAAAGACGAGAATCAGTGTCAGGACAACTGCCTCGTCTCCCATTTTCTATATACGCTCGCTTTATTGCAAGACAAAGAAATATCCCTTGTGCAAGATCATGGAGCTGCTTCAGCTCTAGACCTTCTGTACCTATTCGGGTCTACTTTTGGTTTTGACGTGTACAACATCTTACAGGAACTAAGTTGGCCGGAGCTCATTTCTCTACGGAGCACTGCAGCGGAAGCTACTTTTTCTGCAAAAAAATTTGCAGTGTTGAAAACAAGTTCCAGCGCTATCTCTGGTAGCGACGCTCAACAGATTAATTTGTGCTGTCATCTGTATGTATGCCTGCACAGAATCGCTATGGCGCATTTCAATTTATTCTGTAGCGCTCGGAGCCAGTGTTAAAGCGGGCAACGCGCTTTCAGGAATTAATGGCCCGCGGTCACCTACACCGTCTTGCTGCCCGCTCCTACCTCGCAATCATCGATAAAAATCTGGAGCAGCAGCAGCTTTTCTCCTCACCCAAGATCTTCGTTGCTGTCGGATTCTGGAAGTTTTGCACCTGCGGCTGTCAGAGCACTTCTCAGCGGTTCTACCGGCGACGAGCTCCGCTTTATCGTACCCTGCGCAGCGGCTTTTTCGCAAGAGAACTCCGCGTCTAGTTTTGCAAGCACATCCACAGAATACCCGAGAACCGCTGCTGGTCCGCCCTAGACGCTGACTGAATTTCCTATTCTTGTGCCGTGGCATGTGGCTCCGAAGACAAGACTTCTGTGCCTGAGAAGTCGGTCATACGCTCTGTTGTGGTGTCGTCAGACAGCGCTCCGATAGAGGCAGTAAGCCTGTGTCGTATGTTTTCGTCGTTTTGTCCACCGGATGCCCCACTCCTTCTCCCTCTGCCCCGACTCTGCTGGGGAATGAGGTCGCATTAGCGGCGGTTGCCCGGACTGTCGCTGCCGTCCTGAATGACCGCGCACACTCCGACTCGACCAAAATGGCGCTGCCGTCGTCGCACTTTTTGATGCGCAGAAACTCGCGGACCTCCTCGTCGCGTCAAAAGCGCCGTCCACAAGTCGCCCGAAGCACCCAGGAGGTGTGTCTCGCGCCGAGAAGGACTGCCTCGGGGAAGCGGGACTACGAGTATCTCGCAGCAGCCTCATGTGCTGCAGTATTCCATGCTGCGCCTATTGCAGCTTGCGGTCGGTCTGAGATCGTGATCGCGCGAAGTGCATATCTTCCTCTAGCGCCTTTGGTTCAGCAGGTTCGCCTGCGCCTTCTCGCGCGGGCCGGTCGGGGACGCGAGACCACGGCTTGCAGCAGCCTAGCCCCTTGCTGCGGTCCTCCGTAGCGCAGCGTCTGTTCCTCGCTGAGCCTTCGATCTCGCGAGAGGTACATCTTTGGCGGCGCCATCTTTGGCCGAGGTGGCATCCGGAACCACGCGCGGGTCGGGTTGAAGCCCGAGGCTAGTAGCGCTCGCGGCAGCGCGTTATGCTGCAGCATTCTACTCTGCGCCTGTTGGAGCGTCCATACCGAGAGGCGCTTGTTCATCGGTGACACCTTTTCGGAGCGCGAACTCACCGACCGTCTGTGCCGGGGTCGGAGCTTGCAGCAGCTCCGACCGTCTTGCGGCTGCTGCCGCCCATTCCACATGATGCAGCACGTTCCGACCAGCATCCTCTTCGGCAGCATTTTCCGATGCGGTGCCAAACTTCCGCTTTAGGGGTCTTCCAGATATTACAGTGTCTCTCGCTCGCTTCGGCTCACTTCGATGACCGGCATCACTTCCTAGAGGCAGCTTGTCTGCACTGTAATTTGCGCTGTGCTCACCTTATTCGGAAGGCGCACGCCGACGATGCGCGGCAGCGCCCGGGGGCTTGGTTCTACTATATTACCTCTGTGTAGCAGCGCATGCCGGTAGATGCCGTCCCGGTCGTACCAACAGCGCCCTTCGCCGACGTCGTTTTGGTGAGCAAGCGACGGCGTGCTATCAACACTGCCTCGCCCAGTTGAAGACGAATCTCCGTACCGGGGGTGAGGGAGGCCGGCAACGTGATTCTGTCCCTGAGGCTGGAGTCGTCGGAAGGAGGCTCAGGAGGTAGCACCACCACGACCGTGCGTTGATGAAAAAAATTCGTATACAAGTCAGCACATAGTACTACCCGTCTCATCATAGAAGAAATTGCGTCTTTTTTGAGCGAGCGGGCAGGGAGTACTGCTGTAACTGTGTTGTGCAGTGGTACGGTAGCCGTATTAACTTGTTCATGTTCATGTTCTGTATCTGTAGCTGTACAGCAGTATGCATGACAAAAAAGATATCCGCGTCTGCTAGTATGAAAGGCGTATGCCAAATGATTTGCATCCATCGGGATCGGTGCTGTATTGCATTTCATCTTTTCTGTCTGATAAACCGGCAGGGTGCCACGGAGACTCCAATAGCAGTCTCCTTCTGGCGATCAACCCGCGCATAGCCGAAGACCTCCGTATTCAGTTGCGTGAGAGACGTCTCCGACTGGAGCTGCAGACGCTCCGGATCGTAGTGGCCACACGGAATCAGCTGATCTTTCGGCGATCGGAAATAGATTAGTTTGAGCGCGTCGCTTGATCCAGCAGGGCCTGCGCTGTCTCCGGCCTCAGCGGTGAATTCCTTTTTGTTCCACACAGCCGCTCCGCAAAAGGCAATGCGGGCGCTTCAGGCAGATGCGGGCGGAGAACGGGCGCGGAAGGGAGACGTCGAACCCCGCTTCAGTGCCCCCGTTGCCGACAGGTGGTTTCCGCAGCTTCAGCATTGCTTGCCCCCGTTGCCGACAGGTGGTTTCCGCAGCTAAATTTTCGTACGAGGCAACCACTGCAACTGTAGGTCGCTGCCCTCGTGCGCGGGATCGTTGCACGTGCGACCGGAACATGACGGTGAAAACGCGCCGCATACAAAAGCTCCTGATGATGATGATGGGCAGGAGGAAAAGTGTCGCCCTGCTTGTTGCGCACAAACCGAATGATACCGCATATACCACCACGACACCGAGGGCACGCTCACGAATTTGTGGCTCCAAGACGAAGTGAGTCTATCACGTCAACATGCTGGTCGCAGAAATCCCGGATTGCCCAGATAAATTCGAGCGCGCCGTGGTCGACAGAGGCCGACGACGGTCCATGCACAGCAACTGCAGCACCAAGATATCCTCCGGTGAAACCACAGCCCCTTGCTTATCGAAGGCGATAGCTCTGTGTCTGTGCCTGAGAAGTCGATCAACATACGCTCTGCCATAGTACAGCGCTCCGATAGAGGCAGTAGGCCTGTGCTGTACATTCTCGTCGCTTTGTGCGCAGGAGGCCGCGCTCTCTGTGCCTCTGTCCTCCGCGAGGACGTCGCAGGACTGAGTGAGGTAACATTGGCGACGGCCGCCTGGGCTGTCGTAGAGTCCTAAGCACCCTGGCGTACTCCGATTTTTCTCGATGGCGCGATCGTACCCGAGTTTGAGTCGTTTTACGAGCTGGCTCCTCCTCCGTTGCCAGCATCAGAACCTCCACGAGGACTCCTCGAAGGTGTTTTGAAGAATTGGAAAATGTCGTCGCCTTCGCACATTGAGCTAGATGATCCCCGCTCGACACCGCAGCGCCAGTAAAGGAGGCATCACTCCTTTTTGTCACCGACCCGACCTGGCTTTCGCCGTCGAACACAAAGACCAGTACTGGTAGTGGTCGGAATTGAGAATGAGAAAATTCGTGGCTCAGGATCGGCCTAGCATCTTCATGTGTGGTAGTAGCTGCAGTATGGCGACCTGCTTTCTCGTGCCTCGCCCGCCATCCGACGACGAAATTGCGTAATTTCCGCAAATCTGGACGACCTCTCTTGCCCCCGTGTTGCACGACCACTCGGCACAGGGCGTAGCTCGCCAGCCTTTTACGGAGAGAAGCCCGGCGCTGAGAGATGGATCGGCTGCACTAAAGTAGCTTCTTTATCATCGGCGGAGAAACGTTTACTAGCAGAGGGACGTCGCAGCAATTTCATTCTCGACCTCAGCTGGTGAATGGGCGCTTTTTCACTTCGACGTGTCGTTGTGTAGTAGCTCTTGCCCTCCACCGCAATAGCGGGTGCGCCACGCGCTTCTACTTTTCTTGTCGGCAATAGAAATCCACCGTCGGATGGCAAAATCATGCCGGCCTCTTTCAGCATCTCGCGAGGGACCTCGTGCACACCGACATCAATGTGATCGCTGACGAAAGCCGGTTTGTGTAAAACTAAAAGTTGCTTCGTCCCCCGTTGGGGTAACGCTACTAGTGCTGCTAATGTGGTCCCTGGCTGTGCCACTTCTGGCCGCCGCCCGCTGGGAAAAACCTGTGTTATTTCATGATGATGACCACGCTGCGCTCGAGTTACAACACACGAGCACGCTCCTTGTGCCACGCAGGACAGCTCTCGTTTCGCGCGACACTAGGTAGAGGCACACCGACTTTCAGAAGCTCCTGCTTCCGCATTCAGATGCGGGCTCAATTTCTTCGGATAAAAGTGCAGCAAAGACCGAACTTGAAAGACGTCGCCGGTCTTCTCAACCGGTTGGAGATCGATATACGCGAGCGCCGTCTGCCGACATTTGCGCGGCGCGCCCAACTTTGTGACAGCGCTGCACTGCGCACCCTGCACCTGTTCACACTTGTTCACACTTCGCACTTGTTCACACTTCACACACGACCACACTTCACACATGATCACGCTTCACACATGTTTACACTTCGCACTTGTTCACACACACTTCACATCCGTTCGCACTGTGCACTTGCCGGTTCAGAAAATCTTGTCCGACCAAAAAGTCGATAAAATCGTGGCTGTGCGTGTCTTAGCATCATCGCTGGTGGTGTCGATGAAGATGATATCGATGATGATGCCGACGATGATACCGATGATAATACCGATGATGAAGATCAAGATGTCGCCACAAAACATGCGACATATGGAAACAGCAAAAAAACAAAAACACTACGCCCACAACTGTGCGCCGCTGCCGCCGACCTGTAAATGTCGCCGACCTGGAAATGTCGTCGACCTGTAAATGTCGCCGACCTGTAAACGTTTTTTCTTCGTGTCTTTTCGGAGCTGTTTTTTCCGAGTGAGGAGGTGATTGAAAAAGAACAACTTATTATGCGGAATCGAAATAAAAAGTGATCACTTCAAAAACAGGCTTTTGCGCGAGCCTCAGTCAAGAACTTGACAAATATACCTTCGCCCTGGCATCCGCGTCCGCAATTCCATCGCCTTCGATCATGTGTGGCCATTTTTGTTTTGCTTTGATGATGGGCCCAACTGTGAGGTCTGGGCTGTAGATGAGTCGATTAGCTTTCCTGTCCTGCTTTGGGTTTGGGAAATGAAAAAAAAACGGCTCGCGTGGTGGATGAAAGTCGTATAGTGAAAAAATGGATCTGGATGCATTTGAAGGCGATGCTGATCTTCATCTTTTGCGCCGAATCGATCTGATGCGAGTTGTACTCTGGATCTGTGTCATATTGGCAAAAGTAGCTGATCTTCTGTGGAAGGTTGGGATCGTTGTGCTTCTGCACACTGCACAAAGCCGAGCAGTAAACTGTGATCCGCCAAAATAATGCCTCTCTCTCAGTATTTTGTTCTACGGCATTGTTCAAATCGGGGCAGCCTGATCATTTCTCTTCGTAAAAATCGTAGTAAAGCTCACAGAGTGCTGGCTTTGCTGGAGAAGGATCCTGATACTCGACAAGAACAGAAGAATACATCCTCGGAAGGCAAATTGTCGATGGCCTGGCTTTGCTAACTCTAGAGATCGGATCTCGTCCTTTATGCTGTGTGATCTGTTTCTGATTTTGGACTTGATTCATCGGGATCATCAAAGCTGTGAAGATTAAGGAGTCATTTTTAAATTTCCAGATCTGCTCATTCGAGAAAGATCTCAGAACCGACACTATTGACGTTGATTTCTTTCTGTCTTTCTTGTCGTGCCTGGGCATGGCGTCAAATGTTCCAGGCCTTGAAAACGCCGAGTATATGTATATCTTCGTCGCGGAGTTGTAACGATGTACTTTGACTGTGGCAAAATTTTTGTTTGCACCATTTTCGCAATTACGACTTGGATTTTTTAGGCCGGGGAAAAATGAATCGATGATCCGCCATTGCCATCGCGATATCCTACGCAGTCTGGCTTTACAATTACATTTCCATAGCAAAGTCTTCCTCCTCTTCCATGTTTAAAAACTCCTCCGCCTCATCGTCATAGTTTTCCGACTCCTCATATTCGTACTCCATTTCGACGTCCTCTTCCAGAACCTCCCCATCCTCCTCGTACTCGTCGTCGGCATCGACATGCTCACCCACCTCCTCGTGATACTGCTCGCCCCCTTCTACATCGACATTCTCCTCCACCAGTTGCCTCTCGTCAAAACCGGACGAGACCTCCGCAGCAAGAGCTTCCGGAGCATCGGCGAAGTTGTTGCCATTGCCACCACCGCCTATCGAAAAGTTGTCCGTGTTGAAGGTACCGGAAGTGCTTGGGCTTGTAGAGGCGGTGGTCGCCGGGGTTTGGGGCGCGAACATCTGCTGGTCCAGCATTCCCTCTTTCGAGCGGAACACCTGGTTCGGGAAAATCACACCTTCATCCAACCACTTGTGCAAGCACGGACGGCAGTGCAAGTCCTTAAAAATGACCTCCGAGCAGTAGCGGGCCTGCAACACATCCTCGTCATCGGATTCCTCTTCGGAGGACATTTTTTCCTCGTTTTCCGCAGACAGTTCCCCGTCGGTGTCGTTTTCGGAACGGTTGTCGCCATTGTTCTGTTGATCGTCGTTTGCATCATCCGCATTTTGTTGTACCTGTTGCTGATGTCCACGTCCAGCAGCAGCAACGCCCAGGTCAATATCATTTTGTGCTCCATAATTGTCGTTTCTTCTTCTTCTTCTTCTTTCGATTCCCTCCTCCATCATCCGCACAACCCGCACCAGCGTGGGTCGCCTTTGCATTGCAAAAGTATCGTACTAGTATAAATTGCATTACAAATTTTTCCAAAAGGAAAAAGGGAATTTGTAATGCTGATTCAGCTAAAAAGAGAGATTTGTGATGCATGACTGCAATTACTACGAGTGCGATACTTTTGCACAGGATATCGACCGTGCTCCAGCAAGCCGAATTGTATCAGACATCTCTTCCGCCAGTCTGGGGGGGTATACGGTGCAAAAGTATCGTTATCGTATTCGTTTTCGTACAAGAAGTAGAAACCGCATGACAAATTTCCTCAGCATGAGAAATGGAATTTGTAATGCGGATTTACATTGAGAAAGAAATCTGTAATGCATGACTGCGATAGTACAACTTTTGCAATGCATAACGGTTCAGCTTCAGCAAAACGTCGTACTCCTCGACCTCGTCCAACCGTCCCAGTCTCCGGTTCCTCCCCGAACAAATCGTCACTGTGCATCGCGTTTTTATTCGGTTGAGTCGCCTTTGCTCCTCTTCCCTTCTCTTTTGTCGCTCTTCTGCTTCCCGTTCTTGCCGCATCATATCCGAACAACCGTACCGCTGCTCTTCCGGGGACAGTTTGAGCCAATCTTCGTGAAATCGTCCTCTTCCCTTTTCACACAGCACAGGATGTGATGATAAATAATTTATGTCACAGCTGACATCCCGCCTCACAGCTGACATCCCGCCCTCCTCCTTCGCGCGGAAATTCCTCAAGCACCACGGCCTCCTGACGGTGAACGCGGTTGCGTCAGCAAATTTCGACAAAAGTAAGTTGTTCCAGGCGCTGACCCCGTTGGCGCAGAGTGAGGTGAGGCAGTTGATCCTAGCCTATTATATATTTTGTTACTATTCTCGTGTACAACTACAACGCTAGATATTGATATTTCTTGTTATGCTGATCGATAGTTGATCCGTATCCAACTAGCGCTTATGCTGAGTACGCCTCTGCGCAGAATCTGGGTGCTGCTTGCTGCAGCAGAAATTTATTACAAGTAGTAACGCGCTGATGAATATGAGTTGTGTTATCTTTGAAGTTAAGTGCCTATCTGTAAAATTATGTGGACCTAACAAGACCAAGACCCAACAAAGAATACGATCCAGGTAGAACAAAATACAAAATGTTTACTGACCTACTCAAGGTCGTACGTGGTTAGCTTGGGGGTATCTTTATCTTCTTATTCTTTAGCCATTGAGGCTACTCCTGTTCGTGTCATGAGGTGCATGCCATGCATCTTATCCTCATCATCATCTCCATCTTCAGTATGTGACCACCATCACATTTCCATCTTTCACTATCGTGCTATCTACTTTGGATCGTTCGTATTGGATCTTGGGGCATGTGCTGAGTGCATTGCAATAAATTAGTAAGTTGCCTGAGTGAGAAGTGAAAGTAAACTGCACGCGCATCCACATAAAGTGCTACGCATAAGAGTAACATACATCATGGACGATATCACATGACAAAGCCATTGACTGGGAACATAATCGTGTGAGATTCTGAGTGACCAAATGCGCAGACCTAGCGCTGCCACCTTTGGTGAGACCAGCACGAAGCAGCGTGTAGCGAAACTCACTGTTTTCAAAGCTCTGGTCGGTGCGGTTAAATGCTCTGCCACACAAGTCGCAGTTGTCTCGCGCTAAGAATTCAAGGTCTTGTTTTTTTTTTAGTTTATTCTCTCTCATGTCGCTGTCGGTGTCCGCATGCACATGGATATTTAGCGCGCGCGTAGCTCTCGGTCCATCGTTACATCGCGTCCTTCCGGCACGTGACCAAGCTGAAGATGCAAATCGGTGGCGGACTTCGGTCGATGTGTGATTCGGTGTTTCTCCTTTCGTTTCTTGGGGTTTGGACTTGTGTCACTGTTGTTTTTTCCTGGGGTACTGTTTGCATCTTCGCCTCCGGATATATGACTGGGATTAATTAGACACTCACGTAAGTAGCACTCCCTTACTTGTAGCCACTAATTATTACATTGATTCCTAGTCTCGTCCTGTAATGAGACTCCGCTGAGCCAATCTTCGTGAAATCGTCCTCTTCCCTTTAAATGCACAGATGAATGAATAAAGAGGCTAGAATGCGAATGAGATGAAATGAAGCCTAATAAGTACTAGATGAATGCGTGGAGACAAAAAACGTAAGAAATAGTAGGACTGAGTGAGAATCTGAAACGTAGGATCTGTCTTACAGTAAGAGAGTGAGCTTCGATCTTGTCGCAGAGTGTTACAAGCATCGCTGGTCATCTCTTGCCTCGACACAAAACTTCTGAAACACAAAGTCGAACTTGTAAAGTACTACTAAATCTAAATCCAGACTACGAAATAAGCATGACAAATTGATTGCGAGTGAAACTTACTGAGAAAGAACCTAATACGACGTCTATCTAGCATGATAAATTTTGTGTGCTTAAAACGCGCTCTGTTTCTGAATTTAAATCCAGTGGTCTAACCTACATCTACGAGCACATCCTGACAACAGAAGTCAGCTCTTCTTCCCAGAACGCTTCTCCTCTTCTCGTTGTGGGCTGCCCGCAACCGCTGCGGAGCTCTCGGTCTCGTACTACTCCTGGCGTCTACGCACTCGATCCCGAGTGTGCGCAACTTCTGCTGGCGATTTCTACTTTTGCTGCGCCGTCTTCCCCGCCTGCCCGATGGCAAGCGCCTAGCACTACTGCTGGGCCTCTTTCTTCGTCTTCTTCGCCGGTTTCCGCGGTGGTGCTTGCTGCCTTGCTGGTCTGGTCTGCTTCCGGTGCTGGTGGCCATATGTTTTCATGCTTCTACTACAAAAACATATCTAGCGCGGCCCTTGTTCCTCTGCCTTCTTTTCTTTGTTCGCGTAGCTTTTCCCAGTCTTTGGGCGTAGTCCTGCTGTCAGCAAATTCGACGGGTTGCGCTTTAGTCCGGCGCGGTCCTCGAATCTTGCAACAATCTGGGCACTATCTTTCGCTTCGCTTTTCGTCCTTTCCTAGCCTAGTAGTGCGACCCAGTCCCTTTGTAGTTGCTTCTTGCCGAGCATCTACACAAGGCGTCTAGTTCTAGCACTACTGCAAGCTTGTCGGTTTCCTGCGTAAAACCTTCTTTGTGACGTAGAAAGTTTTCACGCCAGGCAACCTAGACAATTTCTAAACGATCCAACTGCTGAGGATTCAGATTTTACGACCCAACTACGCGGCAGTTGGGCTCATAACTCTGTTGGGAAATAGTCCCAATCCTGTTTGGCAGTGGTCGTTGGATCCAGTTGGAGTGAACACAGGGCGTGTTCCAAGTCTAATCTCCATGAGCGGAGAGTATCTATCTACGATGGCACGGCGTCAATTTCTAGTCTCTATTCAGTAACAAGTAGCCATCTTGGCCCTGTCTAGTGTGTTCGTGTGTTCATGTGAGTGCTGTGCATCTATTTCCCTATCTAGTGACCTAAGCATTTTTGATTTTCCATGAACCTAGCTACTTGGCACGATTTTCCTACCTATTTTGTAGGCCTATGATCATTATGAGTTCTTGTACGATTTGGATCCACGACATCAGTAGGATTGGGGATTTTACCGATCCAAACACGCTGCTCTTCCGGGGACAGGTAATCTTCGTGAAATCGTCCTCTTCCCTTTTACGCAACACAGAATGTGATGATAAATAATTTGCCTCGAAATCCTATGGCACCCGATGCAAGTTGTAGCTGTAGCTGACTGATGTTGATAGTGTGTGTTGCCCGCTGCTGATGCTTGGGCCAGGAGTGCAGAGACCCTTAAGCTCCTGATGGTGCTGAAGCTTGTTCTTTTCTCTCGTGAGTCGTATTTTCGTCGATGAAGCATGACGAATGATAGTCTGCTTCTATCGTACATCGCTCGACTGATGTCGTCAAATCGTTATTGCCATCGTTGAAATGAAACTACACTCGCTGGTCGTTGTCGTTGCTTGAGTGAGCCGATGTGTAAAGCATACTTGGGTTGCAAAAGATGAGCGCTGACAGAAATTACATCAGAAATAGTTGCTATCTGTTACAGTTGCTGATAGTTTAAAGCTACTAGTACGCATTCTCCTTTTGAAGTTGGTTTTGAATCTGTACGTGCTGAGCAAAAGCAAGATGTCCTCCTCCGCACCGTTTAAAGGCGTGATAAAGTCCGTTTCTTTGAAGAAGGACTACACCACGAACTGCAACGTCAAGCTGTGGCAGCAGTACAAGCAGGGGAGTGGTTTGATGGATGCAGTGATCACGGTGGACGCGCTGACTGACTACGCTGAGTTCCTCGTTAGCAAACCGTATGCGTCAGCACTGAACTACCTCAGTGCGGCGGTAGGTTACGAGGCTAGCAGATCCCGACTTGAAGAATCGGTGCACTTCGAGCGCCGATTCAAACAGCTGAAAAACTCCGTCGTGAAGGAGTTGAGTGGAGTTTTGCCCACGCAGGCGCGCGTCTTCTGTGTGAGGGAGCTGGTGCGGCTCCCGCAGCCGATGCGTACGATTCTGGTGCTCCCGATCTACCTGGGGTGGCGTGATGCATCACTGCGCGAGGCCACCAATGCTGATGTCGAGCTGGTTGGTGGCCAGCTCTTAGTCCATTGCGGGAAGGACAAGGTGAAGAAAAGCGCAGGAAGAACGGTAGCCGTCCCCTGCTGCTGCTCCCCGGCGTTCAAAAACGTCCTTTGCCCGATACATGGGCCTAGCTGGAACCTGAGCGTGGACGATGCAGACAGGGCGGAAGCGTTGCGGTCTTGCAATGCCCAGCTCTCCCGCCACTCCTTTAGGAGGACGCTGGCAGTGCATGTCCGCCTGCACCTACATGATTCCGGGCTGGAATGGGATTCCCTTCCGGCGGTGCAAAAGGCGAAAATAAATCGCCACTTCGGTTGGGGCCAAGGCAGCGTGATGTTCTGCCGGTACTCTGGCGACTACCTGAACTACGAGCAGGACCTGCGGCTCCCATTGGGCCGCATGATGGAAAGCTTCAGCCAATGACGCAGGAGGTGTGTTGCGTGCAGATGGTTCGTCCGGGGTGGCCGGGTTGTGCAGTTGGTGGCGTGCTGCTATGCGCTGGCGAGGTCACGGGACCCACAGCGTGTAGATTGGATGTGACGCTACCGAGGGCACAGCCCCCCCCATGTTGAACGATGATGGTGATCTGATTCCTACAGTGTTGAAAGAAAGTTTTTCTTGTGTAAGTACGATGCTGCTGTGTGCCTCTGTCGCTTCGCTTTCGGTTGCTAGTTCTACTGACACACCAACGCTGACTGCGCTATACCTTAAAAGTCTGTCATGAAAGTTGCTTTGTTCGACTACATTTTTCGGTTGCCTTGTGTATACGCTGTTTTTTTTGGGAAGCGGGACGCATCGGATAAGTCATGCGAAGGAGCGCCTCCTCTGGTAAGGGCGGCGGGAAAGCCTCCCGCCAATCTTCGTGAAATCGTCCTCTTCCCTTTAAGTGCAACACAGAATGTGATGATAAATAATTTGCCTCGAAATCCTATGGCACCCGATGCGTGATGCTAGTGCCGTGCTGTCTTGCTGCTCTGTGTGGGCCAGGAGTGAAGAAGACCCTAAAGCTCCCGCTGGTGCTGGTGCAAAATTTTTGATTTGTTCCTACTAAAAATCCGTTGTCACTGTCGTTGAAGCCTGTTGATCGTTTGTTGTCGTATGCCATGCTGTCGTTGCCATCGCAGTCGTGTCACACTTCGCATTATCGTCGTCTAAGTAAGAGAGATGATGAGGCTGAGTGATGAGTAGTTGTCCGTGCAAATCGTGAAGTGTCGATGTTTCACTAGTTATGGACATAGTTACTGATGCTACCTGAATCTGTGGTCTAAAAGTCTTCTACTAGAGTTGAGAAAAGGATGTCGTTTAAAGGCGTCCAAAAGTCTGTGTCCTTGCGAAAGGACTACAGCAGCAACTGCAACGTGAAGCTGTGGCTGCAGTTCAAGACCGATTTTGGGATCACTGACGGTGCCACCATTACGGTGGATGAGCTGACGGACTTTGCTGAATTCTTGGTTTCCAAGCCCTACGCATCCGCTGCGAACTACCTCGGCGCCGCTGTTGGCTACGAGGCAAGCAGGAGCAAGCTGCAGGAATCGGTGCACTTCGAGCGGAGCTGAGCGGCTTGTTGTCGCGGAACGAGTGCGAGAAGTTCCTGAACCACGTGCGGCTGTATGACTCCTCGGACTGCATTTGGTGCCTGCAGACGATGTTCCAGGTGTTTTTCAAGCAGTACTCTGCGACCTGCGACAAGTCTCCGGAGTATTTCATGGCGATGTTCAACAACCAGATGCAGCAGCGGTTGTTGAAAAAGATGAACGCTGGGACTTCCACCACCCCCGGTGCCGGTGCTGGCTCGAAGAACCAGAATCGTGGAAACCACGTTTCTGGTTCCAGGGATTTGGTGCCCCGTTCGGATACGGCCAGCAGGTGCAGGCCCCGACTGCCAGCGCCGCCCAGATGCAGTCCCCGCAGCCGTTTAGCGGTGCCCCGACCGGACCGAAGACCTACCTCTTCTTGCCCAAGGGCATCTGCCACAAGGAGGTGAAGGTATTACCCCCTCCCCTGTGTTGCTGATGAATGAAGATGTTGATAAAGATGTTTGTAGATGATTATCAGGTGACGCAGCGATGAGATTCTTTAGTTGACCATGCAGATGTATGATGTTGCTGCTACTTCTTCTTGCTTAAAAGACTGACCTCTGTGACCTAGTGCGATCATCTACCAATTACAATCCCAGGATGGCCAGTGCCCGGACCGCCAGAACTGCAAGCACAAGCACAAGGGTGATGACGGGTACCCAGATGCTGAAGTCGCCGCTGCACTGGCGCGGCGATCTTCGTGAAATCGTCCTCTTCCCTTTAAATGCAAATTCCTCGCTTTTTCCTCCATCCGCAGCCGTCGCTGGTAGGCACGCTCATCCTCGGACTGATCACAGTCGGAGGTGTCAGAGACCGCCGGGCCGCCGCGGGGCAGATCGAAATCTCTGCTTGGTGAAGACGACATGATCTTGTTAGGGGTAAGAAAATGATCTACGACCCTTTTTCAAACGGTATTGGAACGGTTTAGGTAACAAGAGCGCGCCTTGAAGAAGAGACGAAATCTTATTATTAAAGTTGATTTCTTCCGAGGTGATCTTCTGCTAGTACCGTAGCATTGGCATTGCAGATCTTCAAAAATGACATTCAAGAACGCTCTTTCTTGACTGCTACTACTGTTGCGGCACTGGTTTTTTCAAGAAGAATGGTGTTGCTCGATATTAGGATGATGCTGATGATCTGATTATGATTTCGTAGTGATGGATCCTCAGCGTCAGCGGGGCGTAAAAGGTGGGTAGGAATTCGAATTGTCAGTCGTGGTTTTTCAACAAGTTCACCCCTGTTGATCGGTGTTCCAAAAGTTGAAATAGCGTCTCCGTCTCAGGATAGAAAAAGTGTTCCGAAGATGATATCAGAATGGTTTTCTACGACACACGTACGATCTACACAAATCTGGAAGCGGTCAACGGCAGCATGATGAACATGGTGCACGTGTTCCAGCTTCTTTCTTATCTGCATGCATCTGTGGTATTGAATAGTGTCGGTTTATTTTGGACGAACACGAAGAGCTTCATCGGGATCCTGTCAAGCTGCAGACGAAATGGCAACAATAGCAAAGCTTCATACAACAAGGAGCTGCAGTTACGAGAATGATTTCTATCTAGCATGATCGTATACCTGCGTAGAAGGTAAATGGATCGATCTGTCTCGTCGTACTTGCTTTGTTGACTTCTACCTCCGTCGTGTGATCTTCTACCAGTATCGTAGCCTGGATCATCTTGGAGGACGACCTTCAGAGGCACATGTAGCAGAACCACGGATGAAGCAACAATCAACTGACGGATCTCATTCTCACGTGCGAAACTGCATAACGACATTGCGATTGGAGATGACGTCGAAATTCAAGAGTTTGCGTCGAATTCGAAAAACGTAAAGGTTGGTTAATTTAAATTCAAAAGCTCTCTCGCTCTCTCGCGACTCTCCCGACCTCGCGACTCTCCTGAGCCAATCTTCGTGAAATCGTCCTCTTCCCTTTAAGTGGACGTGTCAACGTCAAGGACTGTCGCATGAGCGATTACATGCCGTCCTACCAGAGAGAACACTACTAAGCTAACTAGGTACCCTCATGGTACTACGGAGTTATGGATGTGATTCATACTACGGGCTTCATACCTGAAGCCATTCTGGCACTGTGTTCCATTGGTATCCATTGCCATGGTTGTAGTGTGTCCCTGTGTGTGGATCCTAGTGGTGTGATCCTACTCATGATCCTACTGCTGATCCTCTAGACCCATCTATATTCTAGGTTTGTCATGCGCAAAATCGAGAAAGAACCTCGACCAACTGCCTCTGGTGCCCTTTTTCAAAATAGTCGCATGCTGATACTAGCACTCGCGAACCGAATTTCTAGGGATAAGGCTACCAGGCTACTCGAGGAAATGCACCCCAGCGCAGAAGACAAATCAGAAAGGAGGAAATATAGCCTCTAATACTCCCAATGTCTGAAAATAAATCTGAGTCCTTCGCTTCAAAGCGGAATGCAACCTCTACCCAGAAACTGCTAGAACCTGCAAAGGGGTTCATCAGCATCGCGCGAAAATTTCCGGTAAGGTCCTGAGCAGACATCCTCCAATAAAACCCAGCAAATGCAACAAATCTCCTCCGTGGTTCAAGCGACTACGCGCAGCTTCCACATCGGAAAAGTTACCACATTGGCCCCAAGGACAAAAGCATACGGACTGGGGGGTCTTCCTGTATTGACCTGGTCCAAGTTCCAAAGCTAATGTCTGCCTGCATTTTCAGCTGCTGATAAACAAATCAGAGCGGCGGCGGATAGATCAAAACAACAGAAGAACTGCAATGCTTTCCGCGTCCAGAAAGCTTTGCGATTCCTGTGCGGCTTTCCTAGCGAGGTCAACAGCCTCGCCGGCTTTCAGACTCGTACAAGCTCAAAGCTTTCAGTCGACCACTGGTCCCAGTCTCGGTCTAATTCGACTTCTTTTCTAAGTACATTCGACACACGCACGCGGCGTTTCCTGCTACCACGCAAGATTTCTTTGAGGAGGCATTAGATAGCGAGAGCACAAAACCGCTCCACTTGTCTCAGCACGACTTACACCCGAGAAGTTTCTTCACTTTCATTATTCTAGCGACCGCAGGGAGGGATTGGCGTTCGATAGTGGCAACACTATCTTCACAAGCCATTTCTTTCCTTATCCTCGCCAACAGCAACCGCTCCCAAGCCTAGGCTTGGCGCGCTGCGTGGCGCCTTCGCCTTAGCCAAAAGCCGTAGGAACTTCCAACCAGCAACAGACTCAGTTGCGGTGTAGTTCTGGCCTAAAGAAGCCTCTTCTTCTATCGACAAAAGCAGTTGATCCCAAATGGTCGACCGACCTCTTTTTCTACACAATTACAGCAGACAGCTGCCAATGAGGAAGCTAGTCCTTCTGTCTCAACCTCAAAACCTCAGTCGCCTTTTTCCTGAAAGGCGTTCTCGTGGACCCCGACTGCATTCCCGGGAGCTGCTCCTTCGGGCAATCGAGCCAATCTTCGTGAAATCGTCCTCTTCCCTTTTACGCAACACAGAATGTGATGATAAATAATTTCCTCGTATCCTTTGGTTCCCGATGCAAGTTGTAGCTGTAGCTGACTGATGTTGATAGTGTGTGTTGCCCGCTGCTGATGCTTGGGCCAGGAGTGCAGAGACCCTTAAGCTCCTGATGGTGCTGAAGCTTGTTCTTTTCTCTCGTGAGTCGTATTTTCGTCGATGAAGCATGACGAATGATAGTCTGCTTCTATCGTACATCGCTCGACTGATGTCGTCAAATCGTTATTGCCATCGTTGAAATGAAACTACACTCGCTGGTCGTTGTCGTTGCTTGAGTGAGCCGATGTGTAAAGCATACTTGGGTTGCAAAAGATGAGCGCTGACAGAAATTACATCAGAAATAGTTGCTATCTGTTACAGTTGCTGATAGTTTAAAGCTACTAGTACGCATTCTCCTTTTGAAGTTGGTTTTGAATCTGTACGTGCTGAGCAAAAGCAAGATGTCCTCCTCCGCACCGTTTAAAGGCGTGATAAAGTCCGTTTCTTTGAAGAAGGACTACACCACGAACTGCAACGTCAAGCTGTGGCAGCAGTACAAGCAGGGGAGTGGTTTGATGGATGCAGTGATCACGGTGGACGCGCTGACTGACTACGCTGAGTTCCTCGTTAGCAAACCGTATGCGTCAGCACTGAACTACCTCAGTGCGGCGGTAGGTTACGAGGCTAGCAGATCCCGACTTGAAGAATCGGTGCACTTCGAGCGCCGATTCAAACAGCTGAAAAACTCCGTCGTGAAGGAGTTGAGTGGAGTTTTGCCCACGCAGGCGCGCGTCTTCTGTGTGAGGGAGCTGGTGCGGCTCCCGCAGCCGATGCGTACGATTCTGGTGCTCCCGATCTACCTGGGGTGGCGTGATGCATCACTGCGCGAGGCCACCAATGCTGATGTCGAGCTGGTTGGTGGCCAGCTCTTAGTCCATTGCGGGAAGGACAAGGTGAAGAAAAGCGCAGGAAGAACGGTAGCCGTCCCCTGCTGCTGCTCCCCGGCGTTCAAAAACGTCCTTTGCCCGATACATGGGCCTAGCTGGAACCTGAGCGTGGACGATGCAGACAGGGCGGAAGCGTTGCGGTCTTGCAATGCCCAGCTCTCCCGCCACTCCTTTAGGAGGACGCTGGCAGTGCATGTCCGCCTGCACCTACATGATTCCGGGCTGGAATGGGATTCCCTTCCGGCGGTGCAAAAGGCGAAAATAAATCGCCACTTCGGTTGGGGCCAAGGCAGCGTGATGTTCTGCCGGTACTCTGGCGACTACCTGAACTACGAGCAGGACCTGCGGCTCCCATTGGGCCGCATGATGGAAAGCTTCAGCCAATGACGCAGGAGGTGTGTTGCGTGCAGATGGTTCGTCCGGGGTGGCCGGGTTGTGCAGTTGGTGGCGTGCTGCTATGCGCTGGCGAGGTCACGGGACCCACAGCGTGTAGATTGGATGTGACGCTACCGAGGGCACAGCCCCCCCCATGTTGAACGATGATGGTGATCTGATTCCTACAGTGTTGAAAGAAAGTTTTTCTTGTGTAAGTACGATGCTGCTGTGTGCCTCTGTCGCTTCGCTTTCGGTTGCTAGTTCTACTGACACACCAACGCTGACTGCGCTATACCTTAAAAGTCTGTCATGAAAGTTGCTTTGTTCGACTACATTTTTCGGTTGCCTTGTGTATACGCTGTTTTTTTTGGGAAGCGGGACGCATCGGATAAGTCATGCGAAGGAGCGCCTCCTCTGGTAAGGGCGGCGGGAAAGCCTCCCGCCAATCTTCGTGAAATCGTCCTCTTCCCTTTAAGTGCAACACAGAATGTGATGATAAATAATTTGCCTCGAAATCCTATGGCACCCGATGCGTGATGCTAGTGCCGTGCTGTCTTGCTGCTCTGTGTGGGCCAGGAGTGAAGAAGACCCTAAAGCTCCCGCTGGTGCTGGTGCAAAATTTTTGATTTGTTCCTACTAAAAATCCGTTGTCACTGTCGTTGAAGCCTGTTGATCGTTTGTTGTCGTATGCCATGCTGTCGTTGCCATCGCAGTCGTGTCACACTTCGCATTATCGTCGTCTAAGTAAGAGAGATGATGAGGCTGAGTGATGAGTAGTTGTCCGTGCAAATCGTGAAGTGTCGATGTTTCACTAGTTATGGACATAGTTACTGATGCTACCTGAATCTGTGGTCTAAAAGTCTTCTACTAGAGTTGAGAAAAGGATGTCGTTTAAAGGCGTCCAAAAGTCTGTGTCCTTGCGAAAGGACTACAGCAGCAACTGCAACGTGAAGCTGTGGCTGCAGTTCAAGACCGATTTTGGGATCACTGACGGTGCCACCATTACGGTGGATGAGCTGACGGACTTTGCTGAATTCTTGGTTTCCAAGCCCTACGCATCCGCTGCGAACTACCTCGGCGCCGCTGTTGGCTACGAGGCAAGCAGGAGCAAGCTGCAGGAATCGGTGCACTTCGAGCGGAGCTGAGCGGCTTGTTGTCGCGGAACGAGTGCGAGAAGTTCCTGAACCACGTGCGGCTGTATGACTCCTCGGACTGCATTTGGTGCCTGCAGACGATGTTCCAGGTGTTTTTCAAGCAGTACTCTGCGACCTGCGACAAGTCTCCGGAGTATTTCATGGCGATGTTCAACAACCAGATGCAGCAGCGGTTGTTGAAAAAGATGAACGCTGGGACTTCCACCACCCCCGGTGCCGGTGCTGGCTCGAAGAACCAGAATCGTGGAAACCACGTTTCTGGTTCCAGGGATTTGGTGCCCCGTTCGGATACGGCCAGCAGGTGCAGGCCCCGACTGCCAGCGCCGCCCAGATGCAGTCCCCGCAGCCGTTTAGCGGTGCCCCGACCGGACCGAAGACCTACCTCTTCTTGCCCAAGGGCATCTGCCACAAGGAGGTGAAGGTATTACCCCCTCCCCTGTGTTGCTGATGAATGAAAATGTTGATAAAGATGTTTGTAGATGATTATCAGGTGACGCAGCGATGAGATTCTTTAGTTGACCATGCAGATGTATGATGTTGCTGCTACTTCTTCTTGCTTAAAAGACTGACCTCTGTGACCTAGTGCGATCATCTACCAATTACAATCCCAGGATGGCCAGTGCCCGGACCGCCAGAACTGCAAGCACAAGCACAAGGGTGATGACGGGTACCCAGATGCTGAAGTCGCCGCTGCACTGGCGCGGCGATCTTCGTGAAATCGTCCTCTTCCCTTTAAATGCAAATTCCTCGCTTTTTCCTCCATCCGCAGCCGTCGCTGGTAGGCACGCTCATCCTCGGACTGATCACAGTCGGAGGTGTCAGAGACCGCCGGGCCGCCGCGTGGCAGATCGAGATCCCTGCTTGGTGAAGACGACATGATCTTGTTAGGGGTAAGAAAATGATCTTTTACGACCCTTTTTTAAACGGTATTGGAATGGTTTAGGTAACAAGAGCGCGCCTTGAAGAAGAGACGAAATCTTATTATTAAAGTTGATATTTTCCGAGGTGATCTTCTGCTAGTACCGTAGCATTGGCATTGCAGATCTTCAAAAATGACACTCAAGAACGCTTTTTCTTGACTGCTACTACTGTTGCGGCACTGGTTTTTTCAAGAAGAATGGTGTTGCTCGATATCGGGATGATGCTGATGATCTGATTATGATTTCGTAGTGATGGATCCTCAGCGTCAGCGGGGCGTAAAAGGTGGGTAGGAATTCGAATTGTCAGTCGTGGTTTTTCAACAAGTTCACCCCTGTTGATCGGTGTTCCAAAAGTTGAAATAGCGTCTCCGTCTCAGGATAGAAAAAGTGTTCCGAAGATGATATCAGAATGGTTTTCTACGACACACGTACGATCTACACAAATCTGGAAGCGGTCAACGGCAGCATGATGAACATGGTGCACGTGTTCCAGCTTCTTTCTTATCTGCATGCATCTGTGGTATTGAATAGTGTCGGTTTATTTTGGACGAACACGAAGAGCTTCATCGGGATCCTGTCAAGCTGCAGACGAAATGGCAACAAGAGCAAAGCTTCATACAACAAGGAGCTGCAATTACAAGAATGATTTCTATCTAGCATGTGCATGATCGTGCAACTGCGTTGTAGAAGGTATAGTGGATCGATCTGTCTCGTATTTCTTTTGTTGACTTCTACTTCCGTCGCGTGATCTTCTACCAGTATCGTAGCCTGGAACATCTTGGAGGGCGACCTTCAGAGGCACATGTAGCACAACCACGGATGAAGCAACAATCAACTGACGGATCTCACGTGCAAAAAAACTGCATAACGACATTGCGATTGGAGATGATGTCGAAATTCAAGAGCTTGCGTCGAATTCGAAACACGTAAAAGTTGGTTAATTTAAATTCAAAAGCTCGTTCACCAAGTCATTCAGGATGTGCTTGTGTATGAAACGCAACATGATCTCGCTGACTTTTTCGTTATTCTGCAAACTATCCATCGCGCTGCCTCCTACTCCGGTCAGTTTTACGGTCAATTCGACAGGATTCTCGTCCGGCTGCTGCACATCGCTCCTGTCGGTCACTGTGATTCGAGGAGCGTTCGGACCCGTCTCGTTCTCCCCGGTTAACGAATTCTTGTTGTCGACCCTGCTTGATGTCGCTGCAAAAGATAAGGACTCGACGTTCTCATGTCCACCAGCACCAGCTGCTGGTGACCAGCATCAGCATCGTCCTCTTTCCTTACCAGCTGCAGCTGTAGTGTGGAGGACACGTCAGCAGCACCAGTGGCAGAGGTAGCAGCATGATCCTCGCCATCAGTAGTTGTACCAGGATCACTTTCATCCGTGGTCTCTTGTAGTCCTCCCGGAGGATGCGGTGCGTGTTTATTGAGACTGGTTTGAATCGCCCGGCGGAGCTGCTGATCCGAGCTATAACCTGGCGTGTCGTTGCCTGCGGTTTCCAAAAATATTCTCGATAGTGACGCCACAACCGGGACATGATCAGATGCTCGTCCTGCTGTAGAAGTCTTCGTGTTCTTGGTGTGCCCGCTTATGATTTCTGATTCTGGGTCTTCTCGTTCATAGAACATGATTTCGCAGACCGGATAGGAGGAAGGCGCCTTTGTGTTAGCTGGTTCGCCCGCGCGTTCTCGTGCGCGTCGGTCAGGGACAGACTACGGCTCGCAGCAGCCACCTTTACTGCACTATCCCGTGGCGGAGCCTCCGTTCCTCGCTGACACGTCGGCGTCGCGAGGGGTGAATTTTTCTCGGTAGCACCTTCGCCCGATAAGGCCTCCGGGGTCGCGCGCAGGTCGGCTCCAAGTTCGAGGCTAGTAGCGCTCGCGGCAGTGGCGCTCTATGCTGCAGTATCCCACTCTGCGCCTCTTGCAGCGTCCATACCGAGAGGTGCGTGTTCATCGGTGACGCCCGGTCGCAGCGCGAACTCACCGACCGTCTCCGCCACCGCCGAGCAAGTCGGAATAGCTGTTTTACTGATTGCAGCAGCTCTGCCGCGGCTACTCCTGCCCGCCGATTCCACATGCTGCAGTACGTTCCGAGCAGCATCTTCTTCGGCAGCATTTTCCGATGGTGTGCCGTAGTTCCATTTTAGATTTAGGGGCCTTCCAGATATTACGTAGGCCTCTCGTTCCTTTAGGCTCACGTCGATGACCGGGTCCGCCGCGACGCCTGCAAGCAGAGACAGCTTCTGCTGCTCTATCTGCTCTTTTGTCTTCATTTTGTGCAGCAGCTGTACGCGACGATGTTGCGCGGCTTGGTTCTACTACCACTACTTCTGTGTAGCAGCGCATGTCGGCAGATGCCGCCCCCGTCGTACCACCAGCTCCCTTCGCCGACGTCTTTTTTGATGTGGGCAAACGACGGCGCTCTACCGACCGCGACCGTAATCTCGAGCTTCCCCCCAGACGACGATGAGGCAGCACTCCAGTGCCGACTACTGATGCGCTGCTGTATCCCCCGGCAGCGTCAGCGGGACGCAAGACGGCGTGTTGGCAGACCCGTGCTGCACTTTCGAAGAAGTGTTCACCCATACAGAGCTCCCCTGCAACACAGGACTATCGCGGCGCGCTACCCGTTCAGGGACAGGAATTTCGCCGTTGTTAGATCACCGTGAGCTGGAAAAAATCATGCTGATTCCACCTTTCAGCACCTCCCGAGGGACTTCGTGCAGAACGACATGCACCACTACTAAGAAGTGGACCATGATTTCGCAGACCGTAGTGCTCTATAAGAAGTGGAACATGATTTCGCAGACCGGATAGGAGGCACCGCTCTCAGGAGAAGCACCTATTCGTCCAGCGCTGTCTCCCGTTCCTTGTACTAGACAAGCCATGATGCAACTACAGCTCTTCGAGTTGCGGGCAGTGGGGTACACTGTTGCGGCTTCTACCGTTCGAGCCGCGGCCGGGTGCGGTCCGTCTGCTCAGAAGCTTGCCCTTTGTGGTGCGGCTGTCTACTCTGGGACGGTCTGGGAGTTTCGGGTCATATCGGGCAGACGCCACATTCTTGCCGAACTGTACGTGAAGACTTCATTCTGGTATATAGTCTGGAAGTTAGAATGGTCTTTCTACAACATGTGCGGGAAACAGGCCTTTGTTCTCTGTGGGCGTGGTCACGTAGATTTCAATCTTCAATGTGCGAAAAACGTCACTGACGAAAAAAAATCGAGAAACAACGAAAGTGCAGCAGCAGTTGTTTATGCACCAGAAGCTACAGCTTTGTGGCTGTATCCCATACTACGGAAGGACTTTTGATCTTCCCCCAGACCTCTCTTCGCCTCTCGCCTCCAGAAGCGTCGCCTTCTCTCTGTGTAGATAAACACTCGATGAGGACATCTCCATCGCTCACAGGTCCTGCCTTTTACCAGCTGGAAAGAAAGGTGGAACGACAAATGACGCGTCGTGCTATCAAGAAGTACTATGAGCGTGGACTCTGCTCCACACGAACACGTGGAAATACTGAAGAAGTCGCTCTATTTCAAGAAGAAGAACAAGAGGAAAGTCGTGCTTTCAGTTTCTTACACGTCCTTCTTTCAACATCAAAGTTTCCGTCTGTGCTTAAATTTAGTGCACCCGTCAGCCGAGTAATGAAGAGGAGTAGGAACATTCCTCGTCCTACCAAGACAAGACGATTTTGCATGAGGTAATTCCATTCAAGATTGAATGATGCTGCTACTCGCGCCGGACAGAGTGAGAGTGTGTGTCTTTTGTGTATTCTTTGCCATCATGAATAGGATACTTAGCACGCTCGCAAATTTGAAGTTTGATTATGGTCAAACAAGGTTGTCATAGAGTTAGCATTCTCGCAGACGCAGGATGAGCAGGTCCAGGTCACCAATAAGCTGGTGAAACTATAAGTTGGACTAGGATAGCTCACTTCTTCTGCGCCATCGCTGCGCTTTGGTTTTCCAGTTCAGTCACTTCCAGGGTAGCTTGTGACTTCAACTTCTTAGTCGTAAACTGAGGAAAGCCGCTGCTGAGGTACATCTCGCTGTCTAGGATTGAAAGCTGTTGGGCACCAGGTTGTAGCTATTCTCCGAGAATGAGTAGCTCATCACGACTGAGCTGACGACACCAGAACAAGCAGCAGAAGGCTAGCTTACTCCCTCTGCACCATCACTGCGCTTTGATTTTGCAGTTTGGTCGTTTCCAGGGTAGCTTCAGACTTCTCGATCGTGAACTTAGGAAAGCCGCTGCTGAGGTATGAACTGCAAAAGTATCGTACTCGTAGCAATTGCTGTTATGCATGACAAATCTCTTTCCTAAGGTAAAACAGCATTACAAATTTCATTTGTAATGCTGCGCTAATTTGTAATGCGAATCATACTACCTAGTACGATACTTTTGCATTGCATATGAGGGTGTAGTTGTCGATGATTTCCGTTTCTCCGGTATCAAGCAACTCTCCGTCCACGAAGTCGTACAGGTGACGCACCTTGTGCCGGGACTTTGAGAATACGTATTTCACTGGCCTCCCGTCTGGCGGGAGCTTGAAGACAAGTCTCAGCTCGTTCATCTCCGGGTCGCCGTCATCTTCCGTGGCGGTTACTTCTCGACTGATTTGCTCCAATATCAACTGCAAATATGTCTGGGTCTGGAAGATTGTCATGCATCTTTTGGATCACCATCGCACCGAAGCGGAAGCTCTGAAGAGCGCCAATGCGCATCACAGATTATGCAAGAGCTTCGGAATCATCCCTATCGCACATGAGTAGAAATGCGTTTTTTACAAATCAAGAAAAGGAGGAGTTTTCGTGTTCCCGCAACATAGATTTTCTGTACGATCCAGTCTTAGCATGACAAGTTCCGGACCCAGACATATTTGCAATGCATAGCCAACTCGGCGACGCGATTTTTCACGCCCTTGCGCAGTTCCTCCTCCGCCGCAAGTCTCCGCTCTTCCTCCTCTGCAACAGCTTTTTGTCGGGCAGCGGCTTCTCTGTCGCGCTTCTGGTCCGCCCGTAGTGATTCCTCGTACTCCGCGTTCTGTTGCTGGATTATGTCCCCGCTGGTTTGTTCCGCCACGGGCAGCACGTCATGTGCGTCGGGAGCACCCTGCAACCCTTCCTCGTCGCCCGACTCACTAACCAAATCAATCACCTCGACCTCTCCAACGACTTCCGGCGAAGAAGATTCCGCGTCGGCCTGCCCTTGTCTTTTGCCGCCGCCACTTCCGGCCCTCGAACTTCGTTTGCCCACCTGGCCACGACCCGCGCTCGGACTTTCTTCGCCCATCCCATTTCGGCCGTTCTCGACGAGTGCGCGGTCCTGTCGTGGTACCAGCTGCGGTGGCGGCTCGAGTTCATGGAGGTCCTCCGGCTGCTGGTGTTTTGCTTCTTCGCCCTGACCCGCTGCGAGCTGTGCACAAGCCGGACCCCCTGAGGCGGCGGCCTCTTGCTTTTCGACTGTTCCTGCGGCGAACGCCTGGGATGAAGCACGCGCCAGCCCCGATGCGATTTCCGCGAAGACCTCGGGAGCGGACTGGTGGAAACCCAAGTCGACGGCGGCGGCCAAAAACATCACGAGAAACTCGGCGTCGTACTTCTCGCAGTGGCGTCGCACGGGCTCAACAAGCACTGCCATTAGCTGCGTCGCGCTCGCTAAAGTCGTCCTCTCGTCGAAGGGGTCGCCTCTCTCTTGGCCGAGTGCGGCCCGCACAGCGCCCGCTACGCCCCGCGCGGTCAGCACAAGAGACACATGGTCGACATCTGTCAGGGCCCGCGGCGAGGAAATAACGGCGGACATCCGCTTCCTGGTGCAATCCATCACCCCCCGCAGGAGCCGCGACCCTGTCCTTGGACTGGTGCGAGCCGACAAGCAACCAGACGCGGACGCGGTCGAAAAATGCTCCCACCATTTGTTCATCAGGAAAATGCTGCTGAAGAGTGGCTGCGTCTCGTATTTTCCATCGCGAAGGATCTGGCACAAAGCCTCGGCGGAGTGCTCGCAAGCAATTGCATCCAGTGCTTTCGCCTGGTGGCGTAATGAGTCGGCGGCACTGTAGTCGTTGGACTTGGATCCCGAGCCCAACTCGGCATCGGCAGCGGCACCAGGTACAGGAGAGGGCTCGTCGGGCTGGTGTCTTCGGGCTGGAGAGACGGCTGGAGACCGGGCGGAGGAATCGGACGGGGAGCTGGCGGAGGAACCGGACAGGGGAGGTTTCTTCTCCGTCGCATTGTAGTGGGCACCATTGTAGGTCAAAGTAATGGCTTATGGGGGCCTCAAAGTGGAAATCTCAAATAAAATCAAAAAAAACACATAGTTGGGACCGATGCGTAAGCCCATGCTGTCTTCATCGAGTAGCTATCTTCGCACTCCTTGGTCTAAAGCGGAGCGGTGTGGTCATCTTAGACTCACCTGAAGTCATCAAACGAGCGCTAGTCAGCTAGCAGAAAACCAGACAAAACCATGGCGATGCCTCAGCCTTGCCTCTTCTTTTTTGGAAAAGCTGGAGCCTTCCACTTTGAGGCCCGCATACCTTTTTGGTGGGAACGAACTGGACGAACATCGGGGCCTCCTGATAATCGTCGTCGTATGTGGTCAGCACCTTGATGGACGCCGAGTGCTCCGCACCACACGCCGAGAGGAACATATAGTCCACCTTTTCTCTATCCGCAGCCATCTTCGCGATATATCGGCCCCACTCGCTGTCATCCTTGATCCCCCCGAACATGTTGCGCTCGTATTCCTCCCGATGTCTTTCATATCGTACGAAAAAAATGCTTCACTGTAACGGTCTTGCAACTCGTTGCACCACAGGCGCAAGCCTTCCCAACATCATAAAGGAAGTTCGTCGGGCGAGATTCCGAAAGGGCGACACAGCTGAAGCAAGCGCCTCTGCCTTCCTTGCATGTGCAAAAATGCAAGCCCTTCAGCTCTACAATACATTTCCCGCGGCAGGGGCAGGGATTCCGCGCCACAAGTTTACAGCGAAGCAGTACCTTCCTGCGATATCTGCAGGTGCTGGATGGTGCGCGCGCGGACGTCCGGATGCCGGCTCTCGTCGCCATGCACTGCAGCGGCGATGGCCCGCGGGCCGCAATTTCCGTCGTCGCCCACCACAACGACGCGAAGGCCCCCGGCCTGCAGCTTTGCCTCGAGACGCCGCGCGCCCTTCATACGCTCCTGGTGCTCCATTTGCGAAAGCTCCTGCGCGCGCTTCAGCTGCGCCTCGGTATCACGTTCCCCCTGTGCGCGTCGTTCGTTGTCGTTTTCGTTATCAGACGCAACAGAACATGTTTAGGTCGGGAAGAGTTCGGAAGTTTTTTGTTTTTGCATGAAGACCTAGAAGCTGCCTTCTACTTGGCATGCAAGCAATAGCATCACAGATTTGCAGAAATTGAAATTTTCCCGATGCCTATCTTGCATGAGAAGTTCCGTACTGTGGTGAACAGAAGTTACCACACGACACCTGCTTCTGCTGTCCATGCATGACAGATTTTCGTCTAATCCAAAATGCGCATCACAAGTTCCATCCCTCCAGACCCAGATCGATATTTGCACTTGATACTCATACGTCTTTCGCGACTCCTCCATCGCGCGCTGCAGCTGGCTCGCCTCAGAGGTGTCATCTTCTGCTCCCCGCTCCGGCTTGCTGGGCTCTTGCCGACCACGACCCTGAGTGCTGGGTTTACCTTTGCCAGAGGAACTGGAACTGGTGGAGGGATTAGAGGACGGGACCGATCTTGGCTGGTGTGCCGCAATAGCGTTCGACGAAGCGGCAGCGGACGAGGACGCCGCACTAGCTCCAGGAGGTACTACATCATCAATGCGCCGCAGTTTCGCCGCAGGTGACATTCTTGCTCCGTCTATCCGGTGAAAAAGCGTGCCGACCCCGACGTCAACATCCTGCAAACCCAAATCTGCATCCCTAAAGCAAAAATGTTTCTCATCGTGCACCACACGAGCAAGGATAAGGAAAACGTTTATTTCTGCTAGTGATGGCTCCGAATCTGTCATGCACATGCTGGAAGCAAGATAAGAAGATTTCATCGACTGGTGATGCGGAAGCACTAGCTCTGGGTCCAGACGATTACACTGGGCAGTGCAGACGAAATAAATTGTGTGTCACGCCCAACTACCAAAAATTCCTCATTTGACTTTGGGATTGGGACGCTTTTACCATGCGAAATACTTTCTGGCACCTCCTCGTCACCGCTCGCTCGGTGTCGGTCCATTTTTCGGGCAAGCCCTCTTGCGTACTAGCCAAGTGGTCAAATATAATACGGCTTGTTTGCAATGAAACAGAGTGAAGTAGTAGTAAAAGTTTGAAGCTCTAACGATTCCGTTTCTTCGAAATACTACTTCTTACGAGTATGCACCTAAAGCATACTACGGGAGTATGTACATCCGGATAAGTAAGGAATTCCGAACAAGAGAATACTCGAAAACGGAAACGGATACACATGCGCTGAATGAATCAATAAGTGTCATCACTGTGCTAGATGCTCAACCGCCTTAAAACCCGGCTCGTCAACATGCATCATTTCTGATAGTTCTGCACTGAGCTACTTCTTCAAAACGAAAACCTGGGGACCCGAACGAAAATTGACCGCTCTGAAGGACAATCTACTTCAGGAAAAGGAATGAATCTATCAATACAATAAATGGGATCTCTCATCGATGTCACAAAACAAGGATGAAGAGCCGCGCTGTCAGTGATCTGTTTCTTGCGCACAAGGATCTTCAATGTCATCTTCCTAGCTTGCGTATGTGGATGTAGCCTCCAGAGCTTTTACTTACTACAGCTGTTGAAAATGCTCTTCAGTGCTAAGATGCTGGACCCAAAAGGACGGATGGAGAACACGAGACGCGAGCAATTGCTTCCTTTACATCTAGATCCGCCTGTCGTGCACATGTTGATCAGCGAATCATCCCCGAGATCGACAAGAAAAAAGGCCAACGCATCTCCTCGAGTCCAACTGAGTTATGTCACAGCTTCTTGCTTTTCTTTTTTTGGGAGCTCTCCCGCTCGATCGCATCATAATAATCATCCACCAGGTCCAGACCCAAATCATACTTCGGGGGCCCCTTCTTCTTCTCCTCGTCTTTTTGCTTTTTGTCCTTCTTGTCGTTCCGTTTCCGGGCCACGGGTTGAGCCTGTTTTTGTATTTTCGGCTCCTTCTTGTTATTCTTCATCTTCTCTTTGTGTTTTTTGTCTTTCTTGTCGTTGGATTTCAAGACCACGTCCACGGCTTGAGCCTGTTTTTGTTTGATGGAGGGAATTTGGGTCGGAGATTCAAAATCACGAAAGGCAAGAAACAGAAAGCATTAGGACACCATAGCCGCACAAAAGCATGAGTGAGAAGAAGGCCAGTGGTTGTGGTAAGTAGCTGGCGCAGAAGTCACGAACCTGCGAGACAAAGAAGGAAAAAAAAAACCAAGCGGGGAGCACCTTGCTAGCCGAAGCACGCGCGCCGGGCTGGGTCTTGCCGCCTTTTTTTGTTTCCGCGGCGGATGCTTTCCGCAGAAGCTTGGCAGCTCCGCCAGGCGCGGCAGCAAGCACGGCCGCGGAGTTGCTCCGGGGCGCCCCCTTCGCAAACTCCGCGAGCCCCGCGGCCCGCTGGCGAACTTCGCGCCCCTCCTTCGTGCGAAAGTCCAGCGCGGCCGGTCCCGGGGCGGGCCGACGGGTCGCCGGAACGAAGACGGGCGGCGGCAAGCGGGACCGCTTCGGCTTGATTTTCCAGTTTTGAGCCCCGTGCGTTGATGACATGGCCGTCCTTACCTAGAAGCTAGAAAAGTAATATGCGATTGGATTTGGAAATATGATGTCTGGGTGTGAAATAAACACGTAGAGGACTTCTGATGCGTGCTGTGTGTATCACAAAAATCTGCGTTCTTGCGTAATTTGGGATCAAAGTTGCGGATTTATTTGAGTCATGTTGCGATGACTTCTTTCGTGCGAGCAGAGGGCGTTGAGAAGGACGCCAATAATATATCATACAATAGTTTGCAATCTACTTACTTCCAAACCAAGAGCCAGACAGACACATAAGCATAACCATATTTATTTTTCACCGTGGATATACAAATGCAACGTGAGGGATTTTTTATCGAAGCGACCAAAAGAACTACAAACTACAGATCGTGCGAGGGACAGAGCCTAAACTCATCTGATCTTCTTGATCATATTTTTATGGAACGACCTCCACGAGATGAGAAAAAATCTGTCTAACTGTTGAAAATACAGAGCTGGTTTTGAGCTCCTCGGGATCTACTTCGCTGCTGTCGAAACACGAGCAAATAAAGTGCTGGCGTCACTGAAATGAGAAAGTTGAACGGGCTCGACAACCAAATAGATCTTGATCATCCGTGATCGCTTTCTTTTCCTCACTTTTGCGATGGTGACTGACAAGAGCCACTTCTGAACTCCTGTCCAAGATCTATCTTTCATTTTCTGACTGCCAGAACAGCTGCTCGTGGACCATAAACATAAACGCCGGGGAAAATAACGGTGGCTTGGTTTAATGCTATCGTGATCTGTTCGTTCACATTTTTTCATGGAACTCGGACATAAGCTCACGAAGCGTTTCTTCACTTCACCACTTGGATTTTACAAAATCAAAACCAACGCGATCTTCACAGCCAGTTCCTGTCCAAGAAATACATCGGCAAGTGGGAGCTCACACCGACAAGTGCGGAGTATTTGAGTCGCATCACCTATAACAGGCTCAGCACGCATCCGCAAAGGACCTACCGGAACCTGAACTAACTAGTTTAGAATGCATAAGTAGCTACTTAAAGTTTAACTATTTAGGCGCTTTAGCAACCTAAAAAAATTTTTTCAAAATTCGTTGAATTCGACATCTGAGCCTGTTATATCACCGAAGAAGGATAATCTTCAACCAAACGAACAGACCCGCACGCTTGCACGATAAAGACCAGGAGACCACATGATTTTTTCATGATGATTTTTTTGCGTTTTTTCTTCGTTTTCGACATTATGAAGTGTTGGAGCAAGCGAGAGCATTCGGAGCGGTTCGAATCTTTTGCGTCGCCTACCGCGAGCTACTTTGAGCGCGACAACTCCAACAACATTCTGATTCTGTTCCTGGTGGTTTGAACCCCAATTTTTGTTTTTCACAAACAGCATCGCGCTTTCAACCTGAAAAGTATCACAAATTCCAAAAAAGCCAAGCGTTAGTGCAAGCAGCAAATTATATAATTCTATATTTTGTTTTTCGGCAAACCTCAGTATTATATTTCTTATATCTAGCATACGTGTTACCAAAATTATTGATCTTCTAGCCAGTATTCTTCGGTACCCGCGTAGGTGGTCGACTACGAAACTTCTAAAAGAACTCGCAGTCACTGTTGAACAACTGCAAACAATCCTACTTGATGAAAATCATTTGATTCGGAGTAGCTGCTACTGCAAAATCATGTTCACCATCTTCCGCTACTTGTAGTATTCTTCTGAATCAAAAAATCTCGTAAAATTTCTTTGTTGTTTGTTCTGGTGGATTCGTGGCGATCCGCACGTATGAAGGGCAACCCTCCTCGTCTTCTACTCACGATTCTAGTGCGATTTGAAGAAAAAATAAAGCAATTCCTTGGGTTCTTTAGCGTACTAACTTGATGGCTTAATCTGCCAAAAAAAAGAGCACAGAAGATTGATCGACTTCGGCCTAGTCAGTGAATCCTGGCGATAAAATTATTTACTGAAGGCCCACCTCAGCTTTTTCTTTTTGTAGAAGTAGTTATTCTTATCTCTTATAGAGCGGGATTGATTAGAAATCCCTTTGTTTGTAGAGAAAGCTTCTGTGGATCATTACTCGTGGCGATTTCGATCGCCCGGGTCGACGTGAATGAAAAAGGTAGTCCCGAAACTTCAAGAAAAACGAAAAGCTGGTACTACTTGAAGAAAAACGACAAGGTGGCTAGGCATTCATATTAGGCTTCTTTGGCTTAATATGCTCCCTTTGTCAAAAATCAAAGAAAAGTCTGGTGAGTTAGAAGCTCAATTTCAATTATGTTGCAACAGCCTCGCGATCCGTCCATTTGCACTTCTGATGGCGCATCATGTGGATACCGATTGGCATATTATAACCACACTTTTGAGTTTGATGGCGGGTGCAGGTGCAGCTGAGCAACCAACAGAAACAGCGAATGCTGGGAACTTTAAAAATAGAAAGCGTTTCGCTTCAACTATCTAATACAAACTCAAGAAGCAGCTCCGGAGAAAGTTCTATACAGTTTTTCTTGCATAAGGAATTAAGATGATGATAAACGTCGACGTACTCGCCGTCGAATTCGTTCCTATTTCTCGCATTAGTTTGATTTTGAATGTGATTTATGTTTGCTAGAAATCTGGGTACCACTTGAACGTTTCAAAAAAAAAAAAAGTATACTGGCAGTGTCTACTTCCTTACACAGAGATAAGCGAGAAATGCAAAGTTGTAGTGGACCAGAAAAACACAACTAGGCTGATTCTATTTCTAAAAAAACCGAGAAAAAAAAGTGTTTCCCTATGGTTCTACTTATCACAGTCGCCGTATTTACTTTGCTGGTGCGGCTTGCGATCCCGCGGCAAAGGCAACGGACCCCTGCAGCGCCGACGAAGCTTTTCCACCAAAGGCACTGCTCGACCCGGGCTTGACCGCAAAGGCAGACGACCCGCCGCCAAAGGCCCCGGCGTTCGCACTCTTCCCCATCCCGGCAAACGCCTCTGCTTGTTGACTTCCGCCACCGGAAAGAGGTGGCCCGAACCCGGAGCTTGCGGCACCTGCTTTGTTCTTACCAGCAGCAGCTGCACTAGTGGCACCGCCGAACGCACTGCTGCCAGCGGCAAACGCCGTACTACCGCCAGCCGCTTTGCTGCCAACCGCGGCACTCCCGCTACCAAACGCGGTACTACCGCCCCTCGCTTTGCTGGCAACCGCGGCACTCCCGCTCCCAAACGCCGCACTGCCGCCTTGAAACGCGCTGCTGCTGCCTTGAAACGCGCTACTGCCCCCACCCCCGAAGTTGCGGCTTCCACCCGGGGCTGAAGGAGGTGCGGTAGCGCTCGAACTGCCGAAGCTGGCGGAGCTTTTACCTTGAAACGTTGCGCTACTGCTCAAAATGTCTTCGCCCCCACCACTTTCCAAAGAGTCGCGACCCTCTCCTGCTAGCGGTTCATACTCATCCTCTTTTTCTTTTTCTTTCGCTTGCTGCAGTTCTTTTTGGTGTTGTCTTCTGTACTTCTCGAGCTGCTCCTGGTCGGGTCCGTATATGCACCGCTTTATCCGGTGCCGAAGCACGAAGAGCCACGAGAAGACATGAATGGCAAGCAGCACATACAAGCCGCCGTACGTATTCAGCACTGCGTTCACCGGGTTCCAAACCTTCAACTTTTCCAGCGCAATCGGCTCCAGCACGCAATGGCTGAAAATAGGCCCACTTGGACTTGCTTCATTTTCATCTTCATCTGTAGAATTTGTTGCGTTTCTTCTCCTGTCTGCGGTCCCCCGGGACGAGAGAAGAGAAAGCGCTTCTCGGTCCTGCTCTTCCGCGGCTATCGCTTCGGCGAAAGATGACGAACTAAAATTTACTGTACTGGAAGTACTACTATTGTCCGAGGAAGCGGTTTCGTTCGCGCCGCCAGTTGTAGTTGTATCGCTTGCTGTGCCTCCAGTCGTTATTACAACGCCCGGCTTCATCTCCACGTACACGGAGTTCTCCGACATACCATGCAGACCGCTCTTATTCACCAAGTCATTCAGGATGTGTTTGTGTATGAAACGCAACATGATCTCGCTGACTTTTTCGTTATTCTGCAAACTATCCATCGCGGTGCCTCCTGTTCCGGTCAGTTTTACGGTCAATTCGAAAGGATTCTCGTCCGGCTGCTGAACATCGCTGTCGGTCACTGCGATTCGAGGAGCGTTCGGATCAGTCTCGTTCCCCCCGGTTGACGAATTCTTGTTGTCGATCCTGTTTGATGTCGCTGCAAACGATAAGGACTCGACTTTCTCATGTCCACCAGCACCAGCATCAGCAATGTATTGTGAGGAAAAATCGCCACTCCCCATATCGAAAACGAAATTTGTGATGCTGCATTTGAGTACACAAATCGACTTGCATTGCTAGAAGGCCAAGAGCCGCAGCTGTGGCCTCGCTTGCAGGGAATTTGTCATGCTGTTTCCCACTTCCAGCTGCCTCCTGTTATGCTGAAGATGCGAGGCTTTCCCATGCCGCCAAGCACCACAGTCGGCATCTCTTCCCTTCTAGCTTAACAAAGCTGATTTGTGGCCACAAATCTGCATCACAGGTTCCCGTTTTGATATGGGGAGGGGGGATTTTTCTTCTTGATACAACGTCCTCTTTCCTAATCAGCTGCAGCTGTAGTGTGGAGGACGCGTCAGCAGCAGCAGTGGCAGAGGTAGCAGCATGATCCTCGCCCTCAGTAGTTGTACCAGGATCACTTTCATCCGTGGTCTTTTGTAGTCCTCCCGGAGGATCCGGTGCGTGTTTATTGAGACTAGTTTGAATCGCCCGGCGGAGCTGCTGATCCAAGCTATCTGTCGTGTCGTTGCCTGCGGTTTCCAAAGACATTCTCGATAGTGACACCACGACCGGGACATGATCAGGTGCTCGTCCGTCTGTAGAGGTATTCGTGTTCTTGGTGTGCCCCCTTATGATTTCTGGGTCTTCTTGTTCCTCTGCTTCGTAAAAAGACCTACCGTCAGTGTTGCTCCTAGATGTTCTGCTAGGGTCGTCCTTGTCCTCTCGTCCGTCGAACGTCAAGAAGCTGCTCGCCGTGCTGTCTCCTGCGGACTCTGCAGCACTCTTGTTCACTTTGTTTGCGTACGCCTTCAACGCGTCCACCTTTTCCTGCTCCTCCGCGTCTTTCAGGGCCTTCAGCTTTGCGTCTTCAGTCGCTTGCAACTCCGCAACGGCCTCGCTACTCAACACAAGCCGCACCTTCAATTCCGACTGGCCCTTCATTCGCGCGCTGGTTTTTGTTCCCGCCAGCAGCGACTCGTCGGTGGGAAAGAGGTGGGATAAGTCCACGTGCGTGCTCACTTCCTCCACAGTAGTGACTTCCTCCACATTCCGGTTCTGTTTCAGCCACACTCGGTTCCCGGGAATTTCCTTGGTTTGTCCGTACTGGGTTTGCGTTGCGATTAACAAAATCTTTGCATCGTCGTAATTGCCGTAGAGACCGGCTGGGTAAGTGGTTATATCGGAGGTGGTCGCTGCAGTTCTTGCAGAAGTTCTTGCTCTAGTACTACTGCTTCTTCTAGCCGTGTAGTACGCGGCAGAAGTTTCTTGTGCGAGGGACATCGTGGCCGAGGACATGTTGGTGGTGCTACCACCTTCGCTCGTGGTTCCATCATCTCCTTCGCCCGTCGTAGTACCCGCTGCCGCATTCGTGGGCGAAAGGACCAATGTTCCGCCATTTTTGAACGTGACACTGGTAGAGACCTTGGCACACTTGATCGTCGTGTCGATCGAGGACAAAATCTCCTCGTCTGTTGTGTTGCCGCTCCCACCTGAAGCATCAAACTGAAAATGCTTCTTTGAATCAGCGTCGTATTTTCCGGGCGGAAGCAGAAGACTGTAGTTCCCGAAAGTCGCCTCCACGTTTGCTTCCAACTTATCAGAGTAGTACTTGGCTCCAAGCGTTCGCCCATTCCAAATGTTTGCATCAAATTGGTAGCCGAAACACACCGCGGTGCTTTCGAAATCATGGTCGCAGGCGTACTTCGCCTCCGCCGCGGAGCCGTAGAATCTCGGCGTGTAGAAGCCATCGCAGAAGTAGTCCTCCTTCGTTTCGTACTTTTGGCAACAATTCTCCACGTCCGGCTGATCTTGAAACTTCGTCCCGTAGTTGCAGTGTTCGGTGGTGCAGAAGTTCAAGATCCTTTCCGAAGAAAACGCTTCCTGATCCGTAGCAATAGAGTGGTCCGCGCAGTTCAGATCTGTCAGCTCTGCCTGCGCTTCTGATGGCTGCAACGTGAACCATTTCGCTGGACTATCAGTTGCTCCTGAAGCTGTCGTGAAAATGTTGAGCAAGTCCGGTGTAACAGCAGTGTCAAACGGACAAACCGCCCTTCTCGTGCAGCAATTGACTTCGTCCTGCTCCTCGTTACAGTAGTGGTCTGTGCAGTGCTTCTGTGGCCTATTCGCGTTCTGGACAAACCCCTCGGTGAAACTCGGGCAACTCTTCGGCCCGGCTACCGGGGCAAAAAAGCCCTGCGCACAGGTCGGCGTATGGCAGCAAGTTGCTTTTTTATTCGGGATTTTTGTCACGTCAAAATTTGTATCGAGTAGTGTTGTCGGTGGTATCCAAAGGAAAAATCCCTCCTCCCCATATTATCGAAAAGGAGATTAGTGATGCTGGATTTGCGTACACAAATCTTCACATCTGTCTTCTAGTAAAGGACAGCACGCAGACACGCAAGATTTTTACTACAAATCGCCTGCATATTATTATTAACGTGGCGGACAGCCTGCGCTTGCCTTCCTGCAAGACGGGCGCGATTTGTGGCCACAAATCTGCATCACAAATTTTCAGACGGATGCGTTTTCAATAGGGGGTTGGAAGATTTTTCCTTGCAATAGGCGGCTTCGGGTTTCCGTACGCGTGTTCCACCGTGCATTATCCTATGTAAAAACGTCCCCACCCCATAATCAAGATGGGGAATCGGCTACACCAATCCACAAGCTTTGGCTGTTTTGCATGAGAAATCTGGACTCGCAGCGTAGTGCTGTTGGAGCTAGATTAGCAGCGTCACAGATCTAGTATATCATGAAGATCATTGGAGCATGGCAAATTGCAAAACACGACTATAAAATCCAATGCTGCTCATGGGGCTCCGCATGAGAAACATTCTGAGCATGCAGATTTGCATTACAACTCTGGGGTGGGGGCATTTTTAAATACAATATGCACCAGGTGTGCCCCACGTCGTCCCCACCCTCGGCTAGTTCTTCTTTGTATTTGTCGATCCCCGCTTGCCCCCCTCCTGCCGTCTCTTTCAAAAACAGCCCGCCACACATCGTGCCCCGGGTGCAGCACGTGAACGCATCCAGCTTCTGACCCGGTTCGGCATCGCGGCTGTAGTTCGGTTCGTAACGATAAGGTTCGTCGGGTGCTGGAGGTACTCCGCGTTTGAGTGCGCCATACGCGGGACCAAAACCCTCTGTCGCACAGTCCCCCTTGTCGCCTCCGGACCCGTCGCCCGCATCCAGCCAGTCGATGCAGTTGTCGTCGCAGCCCCGCAGCTGGACAAACTCTCCTATGAGAGAATACAAATTTCCCCGATACAGCATGTACAAGATGCACCACAAATGATTTCATCAATGTAGAGTGTAAGAACGCTTGTCATGCTAAACGAGCATCGAAGCCCAGTTTTGTCATGCAGAGACTGCGTTTGTACGTCTACGTCGTGTACGGAAAACTTACTTTGGTGGATAGCTCCTGCTGCGGGACAACGGAACTTTACGCCGGACGTTGCGTAGCCGTCGCCTAGATGCCACCCGGTATGGAAGCGTCAGGACCGAAATCGACAAAATATTTGAAAAATAAAATCTTTTTTTTCAGCATGCATATTGCAGCAGAAAATTAATTGCACAATACAAAAAATCGATTGCCTGATATTGGACCTACAGTTTAATATAGTCGGCGCACGACCAATTTTCCCCGCGCTGGGACCGAATCTCTCATGCTGTTTGGGGCAAAGGAGCTCCCTTCTGTTATGCTAGTCAACAACCCACCCCTTGAAGATCAAGACCCTTAGCAGGACTAGAATCAGCCTCCCTACTTGCATCCTCTGCAATGGAGGGACCCTCTGCGTCGCACTTTATGCATGACAGATTAAATTACTTATTTCAACTTTGTCGATTTCGAAGATCCTGACACTCCCACACCCGGCACGGCAGCCGTACTTCCCGGCAACAGCCGAGAAGACTTGTGGGCCCTGCTTCCCGGGGTAGAGGTTCCCGTGTTTCAGGATTTGTTTCCAGGTCGAGGGATCCGCAATCGCGTAGGGCTCCGTTTGCGTGTCCGGTCCGGTTGGCGCTTTGCAGGCCTCGATGCAGCAGTCGTTGAGGCAATCCTGCTTGTTGAATGGCCGCGCGTTGCAGAAGTGTTTCGCCTCGTCACGAAGCCAGTAGGTTCCTGGTGTCGGGGAACCGTCCCTCTCGCTGCAGTTCACGGCATCGCATTTTGCCCAGCACTTCACTTCCCGCCGGCCCTGGAAGGACTGGCCTTGCGGGTTCGGGTCAGACGCGGTGCGTCCCACATTTTCGCGGAGTTTGTAGTTGCTGTCACATGTGGTGCAGAGCTGGAAGTTTTTCCCGGGGCAGTCATTGGTGTCGGGCTCGACCACTCCGCTCGCGCATTGACACTGGAAATGATCACAGCTGCCATCCATTGCGGTCGCGGGCTGTCCCGGCACCGCGCAGCGAACTTTCTGGTGCGTGTGCGGCTGACTCCCGACAAAGCCCGAGGCACACTGCATGACGTGGCCTGTCCCGGTTTCGGGGTACATCTCCGGGTGCTGACCGAGAACATCATGCCACTTGTTTGGTGAATATTTCGTGCCCGCGTGGTTGACTTTGTCAAATCTTTCCTTCGTCGCGTCCGTGGGTGGCTCACATCGTTGTTTGCAGTTTTTAAACTTCAACTCCTCTCCTTCTCCAGGACACTGGAATTCCGGTAAGCCGATGTGCGTACCTGTGCAGCGAAAACCTTCTTCGTAGCTTCGCCAGCCAGTCCCGGGCCTTGCAGCAACGCCGAGCGACCAGGATCCAAAAAGCCAATCGGGCCCTTTTCCCTGGTGCATTTCGTACCCGGTGTCCGCACTCGGCCAATGGCAGGCAGTCTCGCAACAGGTCGCGAAGTCTTGATGCCCGCTATTGCTACTACACTGGTTGCTCGCGCACGTTCTCTGGGAATTCGTATTCGCGTCAGCCTTGAGCCAGTTGATATTCCCGCATACGTCCTGATTGCACTTCTCGTAGCAATGTCGAAATTGAAGCGCCCCTCCCGCGGTGGGACAGCGGTATTCGGGAGTGTGGGAAAGCTGCCGATGGGTGGACGCGCAGATGAAGCCGTTGCTGTACGACTCCCACCCCTCGTTGGCCGTGGGGTTTTGCAGCGGCCGTGCGCCCTTTGCACTCGTCGAACGGAACAACTCGCTCTGTGCTGTGCTGCCTTTCATCGTGTAGCCCTCTCTCTCGCTCTCGGTCGTGGGCCAGGAGCACCTGCTCAGACAGCAGTTGTTACGGTCCGCTGCAACGGCGTGCTGACAGGTCGCACTGGCGCAGACCAGCGTGGCGGCTCCGGGGCTCGCTTCGCCAGGATTGCGGTCCCAGTCGTGGTTTGCACTGCAAACGTCACCCGCTTCTGTCCCCACGCCGCATTTTTGCAAGCAGCAGGTGGCTTTGTCTTCGGCATCGGTACCGCATCTGTTCGTTTGACACAGGTTGTTCGTCCCGGGCTTCAGCTGAAAGTTGACAGCAGCACTGTTGCTGTCACCACTACAGGCCTGGAGGGTGCACCGTTCTCGACACCCCTGGAAGTGCAGCTTTCCGTTACTCCCTGTGCAGCGGTACTCCGCTGTTCCGGTATGCGTGCTCGAGTCGCACAGCACTTTTGGGGCCGGTGCCCGGTTGGCCGCGGTGCCAATTATCCAGTTCGTGACCCCCGGCTCATCCGGCACGGCAGTCCGGATTAAATGCGTAAAGGTCCCATTACACGCTGGCGTTGGTGGATAATTTTTGCCGTCCATGAGGTGTGTGCACTGTTCTCCGGAGCCTACTACTTCGAACATGTAGCCCCGATAGTGATCCTTACCCCAGACGGGTGTGCAGCCAAGGTGGCAGCAGGTAGCCACGTCGGGCGCGTCATCCGCGAGCGTGTAGTTCACATTTATAACCCCCCAGCTCCTCGGCGGGATGAGGCACTTGAAATCCTCGCACCTTTCATTTGCCCTCGCGGGGTTGTAGAAATAGCGCCGCCACCCATGTGTGCTGTTTTCCTTTCCTTGCAGCCTCAGCCAGTCGTGGTATCCGACGTCATTGATCTTTGCGAAACCGCTGGCACAGGTTTCCTGGCAGCAGACTTTGGCGTCAGGACCACTCCCATCGCCCTCGGCCACATTACACTTGTCCCCTCCAAGCGCGCACCAATCGTCGTCGCCTTGTCGTTTCAACCGTCCGCCGCCACACGTACCCGTACTAGAATGCCCGCACTTTTTTACGCAGCACTTCTCTTTATCATCTGCGTTGGAGTGGGAGCATCGCTGCCCGGCGCAGACCCCGTCTGGGTTGCGCTTTTTATACCACGTCTGCTCGTTTGTATCCGCCGTACACACCGATGCTAGGCTCGCGGAGCCGCACTTTTCGTGGCAGTTCCTCAGCTCCAGCGCCACTCCGCCTCCCGAGGGACATCTGTACTGCGCAGGCGAGTTTGCGTTTTTCGGCGCGTGCGTACTGGCGCAGCTCATTCCGGCTGTCTGCCATCCGGATCCAGGTCGAACAGCCCGGTTGTGTTTCGCGTCCACGAGTTGGGCCCATTGGTAGTCCCCTTCCAGTGCGTACCCGTGAGTGTCCAAGTCGCTGAGAGTGCACGCCGGGAGCTGGCAACACTTTTGCCGATCCAGTGCCACGGTACAAGAGGATTCGGAGCACAGGTCCGCGTTACTACTCGACAGCCAGCTATCGGCCCCGCAGATCTCGTGCTGGCTACTGGACTTGCACCTCTCCCGACACTTGGAAACCACGAGCTTGTGAGTGTCGTCACACCCCGAACAGACATGGGCGCCGTGCGAGGTGCAGGCGGAACCTACTTGCGCCGTTCCACCGGGACAGGTGCAGACCTTCCACTCGCACGAGAAATCGCTGCGGAGTTGGTACCCGTTGTCGCAGCTTTCGCAGTGGTTCGTGTTGTGTGTGGGGCAGGCGGTTCCGGAGGTCGGGGTCCCGTTCTGGCAGGTGCACACCTTCAACTCGCTCTGCTGCACCCCGTCCCGATTCACGAGATAGTAGCCGGGATTGGCACTCTGGCAGGCGTTAGGACGCTTCGCCTCCGGCGTGTTTTCGCATTCGGGATTGATCAAAGGTCTTCCGTTTGCGCACCCGCACTCCGCGACAATGGCCACCTCCTCGCAGCAGATAGTCAGTATGTATCCGCAGGTTGTGGGCTCATGTGCCTGGTTTTTCGGCTGCCGGTTGCAATACTCGGGCTTGACCTTGACGTCGGTCGTTCGCGCTACGCCGTTGCCGCAACCACGGGTGTCGCCCTGTGTGTACTCGGCACTCACAGACGAGTCGTCCTCCTGGACCGGGTCACTGCTAGAAAGGTATCCGGTCGAGAGCATGTTGGTAGTCAGGTCGCACACGGTTGCGCTCTCTCCGCACTGCACCGCCTCCCATTTGGAAGTGGAGCCATCATATCCCAACGCGTAATGAAAAACTTTGCCCGCGGCTTGCGAGCGGAAGTCCCAAAATTGCACAAGGTTTCCCTCGGTAGGCTTGACGAACTCGATGCCGCGCCGGCCGTCGCTGCATTCGTACGCGTTGACGACGTAGTTGTAGTTCTTGCTCACGTTCTGAAGATGCGGAAAAAGTAGAAGTGCCAACTGTAGAAAAAAGAAAAAGAGAAAGCCATCTTTTATCCGTCGCGTACTAGCTCTAGCGCAACTTCTTGCGGTACGCAAGAATACTAGAAACGTCACGGGGAGTGGAGGTCGCGCTGTGGCACTAAAAGAAGTCGCTCTTGACGTGGTCATTATGTCGTCCTTTGATGTGCGACGACACAGCGGAGGACGTCGTGGACGAGGTGAGAAAGCGGAACAGGGGAGCTGTTGCCGGGGCGCTCGCAAGTACTCGCTGCCCACCTCCACCTCAAGGGTCTACGAGCCGTTGGAATAAATTTATTTCGCGCTCTCCTTCCCAGCATCGAGCCATCTTTTACTTTCCGGCGCATCATAGTACAGTACGGAGCAGCGGCCACTGCAGATTCATCACCTTCCACTACTTGCAGCGTTCTTCTGAATCAAAAAAATTCGAAATGGTTTTACTGAGATTCTGCAAGAACTGTCGTGCTAGTACTCATAGGATTTTAGAAAGAGCGTCTTTTTGGGGGCGACGGGATGTTGAAGTCGTTTTTTTTGCAGCTCAATGCGACGCACAAGGAAATCCACAGCTCTTTGTCTTACCACAAGCAACATCAAGAATGGATCACAACACAAAGATTTTTTACCGCCAGTACATGCATCAAAAATTTCCTTTCCAGTAGTCTCGGAGCGGCATCGCATAACATTATTGATATTTTGTTCACATTTTTGAACGTCGCGCCTCCTGCTTCTTTTGTTGAACACACAATCCATCACACAGGAAGTTTGCAGCTTCCGCTCCGCGCAAAACAAAGTTGCCGGTCTGCGAAATACACATATACAAAGAAGAACCGTTGTCTGCTGCTTGATAAAGTTGGCCGAGAGAAGCAAAAATTGATATTGAATCATCAATGGTGGCGCCGCATCAGTTTATTTTCAATTGCCACTCGTGAGTAGAACGGCGTCGCGCAGTTCGAAGCTCAAAACGAAGCCTCTACAGAGACATGTTGCTTGGGTATCTCAAAATCAAAATCCGGACGCTTAGTTGTAATCACGAAGGGTGTTGTTCAATACCCCAGAGCAGTGTTTCTCGCATCTTCGTATGTTTGTCTAAACCGCATGACAAAGTGCTAGCGGGGAAGGACCAATTCTTTTTTCTCCTCCGGCGGCATTTCGTTTTTATCACCCGTCCGTGGCTTGACACAGTCGGTTGCAATATCAAATGTAAAAATGTCTGGGTCTGGAAGATTCTGACTCTGAGACTTGTCATGCATGTTTTGCATGACCCAGGACGTCGTCTGTAATGCACGCCCTAGCATCACAGATTTTTAGAGAGCTTCCTGATGCCTACTCCGCATGACAAACGCCCTCCTCGCGTAGCACAAACTAGACTCCTCTTGCTGGTCATGCAATACAGAGTTTCTCAGAGTCCGAAGCTAGCATCACAAGTTCCAGCCTTCCAGACCCAGACATTTTTGCATTTGATATGCAAGAACCGAAACCGAATCGTCGTGCTTCCATTTCACGCGGACACGCTGTGCGCCATCCTCCTCGGTCACCATCCCAAAGTGGTCGCACGGCTTCCACTATCAACTGTAAAAATGTCTGGGTCTGGAAACTTGTGATGCTGGGTGGCGCATGATTGAAGCGCTTCCAATGGCAGCCAAGCATGACAAGTTTTTGAGAGGCCTTCTGATGCCTAGCACGCATGACAAATCCGTTTTTGCATGACAAAGAAAGCTTCTCTTTTGCTGCTTATGCAACACAGATTTTCCAGGAATGCATGACACGCATTACAAGTTCCACTTTTCCAGACCCAGACATTTTTACATTTGATATCCACTTCTCTTCTGGCTGAAAGTAACCCCACAGTCTTTTCTTTTTCTGCCGGATGACTACGTTATCACCAGCCAGGACCTCTTCGGCGTTGTCGTGCTCCCACCGGACGAGAATTCTTCTATTTTTCTCCTGCTGCGTAGTAGTTATCCTATGCAAAAACGTCCCCACACCATAGTCAAGATGAGGGATTGGCTAGACAAATCCACAAGTTTTGGCTGTCTTGCATGACAAACTTGGACTCGTAGCGTAATGCTGTTTGAGCTATCTCAGCAGCATCACAGACGTAGTGCATCATGCTGATTGGAGCATGACAAATTGCAAAACACGATTAGAAAATGCTTCTCATGGGGCTCCGCACGAGAAACAATTTCGGCATGCAGATTTACAATACAACTATGGTGTGGGGACGTTTTTACATAGGATAGTAGTTTCATCTTCCGTAGCGCTATTCTTGTTCATCTTCTTGTGACGTTTCATTTCCGCCGGCAGTTCACGCACGAACTCGCAATTCTTAAAATCCTCTGAGGGCTCATGCCGGCCGAACAGCTTTCGCTTATCAAGTACAAATTTTTTTGGGTCTGGAAACTTATGATGCTGAACTGTGGGTTGTGATGACTGAAGCATGATTCTCGAATGCAGCCTGGCACGACAAGTTTGTTGTAAAAGCGCTAGCGCTTTGTCGTACAAAATTCTACATGAGAATGAAACTACATTTTTCCATGACAAAAGTGGATGTGCTTTCGTTTTTGGTAATGCAGAGCCGGTAGTTTTCTATTTATTCAAGGAATGACAATGATGTCACGCCAGCATTACAAGTTTCAATCTTCCAGAACCTAGCATAATATTTGCAATGGATAGTGTCCCGGAGTGTAGGATGGTCCTTTCGACGCCGGAACCGAAGAGGCAGCCCTGAGTTCCGCCACGGGTAGTTTTTCATTTGCGACAATAGCCTGGTGCTTCGGCAACGAACTGGAGGTCGGAGCAGCCACTTTGTTGCCTTCCGCGGACTTTTATCAACTGCAAAAATGTCTGGGTCTGGAAGAATGCCAGACTTGTCATGCAGGTTTTCCATGACTCATGAGGTCTGGTATGTAGGACATAGCATGACAGATTCAGTGCGAGTTATATCATGCCTATCCTGCATGAGAAACTGACTCTCGATTCGGTCAAAAGTGAACAGCTTTTGGTAATCATGCAACACAGATTTTTACATGATTCAGATCTAGCATGACAAGTGGCTTTGTTCCAGACCCAGACATTTTTGCATTTGATAACTTTTTTTTGCCTTCCACGGACTCCACCGCTCCGCCTTGTTTTTTCACCTTTTTTCGCGAATAGCGGTCACTTGGATTCTTCAATGAGGAGAAAGAGAAACAACACGATTGGTTTCTCTTGCGTTAGCAGGTAGACTACTCGAAGATGAAAAGAAAACTCGGTGGTAAACTTTTGGTTGTGAAGATCACGAAAGTGTTCTTGCCAACCAGAGATGAAGACACAAACCCTGACAACAAATCAAACTCAAGCAACTATTTAATACCAGGTTTAAACCTCCCTGGCTCCCTTTGCCAGTGATTGCGACACCAAAAGGATTGGCGAGAATGCCGGTCAGGTTATGCATTGCAAGGCTTTCCACCCCCTATTTCAACGCAAAGGATAGTAGCAACCACTTCCATACAAGACAAGTTTACTATCTAAATCATAATTGTGAATCGAATGGTGCAAATTGCCATTTCCCCGTACTCTGTAATGTCATGAACTTCGTACTTGCAATTCTGTCATTGCCACTTCCCCGTACTTGGGACGAAACGCAAAGATGAGAGCACGGAGAAAAGGATTATAATTCTGGCAAAAGACCAGGTGAAACTCTACCCCTGTGGTCTTCGACTGGCCGCGAACTCACATGCGTCGCGCAAATAAATAAACCAAAACGACTCTAACATGCAGCGCTGCATGGAATTTCTGTCTGCTGAGTCTATAGGAGGCAGAAAATTTTGCACGAGCATAAGTCACGAAAGACTTTTTGCAGGACGTAGTGTAGGACTTCGCCTCTTTCTGGTTCTTGTTGCCTTTCTTGGTTCGCGTATGCCCTCCACCATCAACTCCAGCATCTTCGTCGTCCCCCCCTGCCGCTGGCAGAGCCGTGTCGTGTTTCTGCTGGATTTTTCGTTTTTTGACTTGTGGCGCCTCCACCTCCTCGATGCTGTCGTCTTTTTTCATTACCTGTCGGTGTTGTGGTGATTATTGAAGTCCAGTCAGATGTAGATGCGTGACGCTCGTCCTGATAGAGCTCGCGCAACTTGCTGGGCTTGTATGTGCTTTGTGTATCCATAAAGCACGCGAGCCCTTGCGCTTCTTGCGCAAACAAAATGCCGACCAATGGAACACCAACAAGCCAAGTCTGTAAGTCGAAAAGTAGCCATGGAACTACTAGCAAAAGCACACGCCGCACCTTTTTCGCCTTGTTAACCTCCTCTCGGTTTGTTTTCGCAACCGTGCCTGCGTAGGCGCCCAGAATCTTTTTCCGCATTGTCTCCGAGTTCACGTGGCAGCTGGTGCTCATCGTGATCTTTTCGCCATGATCGAAAAAGTCCTTTTTATTGAGCACGTTGATGACCTTCAGCGTTAAGCAATACTTGTAGCAGCGATATGGGGTTCTCAGGCCTTACATTCTCAACTGTTAAGTGACTTGTCCTGCAAAATCAACCTCGATATCGACACGACACGACGAAGCTTTTTCGCATGGCAGATGATTCTCGAAGGGCTAAACAACATGGATTTCTGCGCTGAGTTTGTGGCGCGAGAGTAGCTGCAAGATCTTCCCCTTCGGCTTTGCTATTTTTGCATCACAGGAGCAAACTCATGGAGATGCGTTAACAGTTGAAAGCGTAGCGCTTCAGAGCAACACCATAGGCGAAAACTCCCACCCCCCTCGTTGCCCGGCCCTCCTTGGCCTGCCCGTGCTTTGCCGGAGTGCATATGCATTGCAAGAGTATCGTCCTCGTTCTCGTATAAAAAAAATAAATGCATTTACAAACTTCCTCGCAAATAGTCTACCTCAAGAAAAAGATTTGCAAACGCATGAGTAATCCTTAAGAAAAAGATTTGCAAACGCATGACTGCAAAAATTACTACGAGCGCGATACTTTTGCACATGATAGTACAGCTCGATTCCGCATTCCTCGTCTATCCAATGCAAATATGTCTGGGTATGGAAAGGTGGCGCAAACTTGTGACGCGTATCTCAAGAACTACACACAAGAATCTATCCTGCGCGGACAGCAAAAAGTGTCCACTTCTTGGCACCGACAGAAGGGATCTGCCTTGCTGATAGTTAAGCACTGAGGCCCCTTCTCGAGTAGACTTTTGACTCTAGGACGGGGCCTGCAACATACATGGCAGACCTTCCGGGTTAGGCTCATGCGAAAAGAACATGGCGAGCACTTATCTGCATCCATCCAGCAACCCCAGACATATTTGCACTCGATACCCTCCGCCACCTCGCAAAACGCGACTGACTTATCGGCACCCCGTCCGATGACGACGATCTTCGCCCCCTTGGGAAGAAAAAACTCTCTCACAAACATAGTTTGGCGCAGCTTTTCGTTGGCGTCCGACTTTTTTTCCGCTTTCTGTTCGCCGCAGCGAAGCGAGTGCGACTGGAGGATCGGCGAGACGACTGCGAGGGCCTTCTTCAACGTGAGCGCTTTCCTACCGACTTCACCTGCGGCCTTCCCCAGCTCTTTCTGCAGTTTTCTTAGTGTGGACTTGTTCGCCCCGAAGCCGTCGCCTTTTTCTTCGAAGGGAGACCAACCTATGCAGCTGCTGAATGTTTGCCCCTTTGGAATCTGGCTGAGCTTGAAATCTTTGGCGAACTTCTCCTCGAACTTGGCCACGATAGCCTCCGGCTTCGCCTTCTTCTTCTTTTTCTGTTGGAAGTCGTCGGCATCCTCGTTCCCCTTGTCGTTAGCATCGTAGTTCTCGCTGACGTGGTCCTCATCGTCCACGTTCTTGCGCTTCTTCGTGGACTTCTGTAGCAACAAAGGTGAACGAGAGTCCGCCTGTTGTGCAAGTTGTGTGAATGTACGAATCAAAAGTCAAAGTTTTTTTATGCTCAATATAGCATATTAGCGCTAAGACGTGTTTGTGAATCAAGGTGGCAACAAGAATGAAAAACCTTGATTGTGATGAAACGCAGCTCAGACTCTATCTTTAAAGCGTACACGTAGCTGCGGCTAAGAACCCAGCATTTCCAAGGCGAAGATGAGGTTGTAAACTCGAGTCCAGGGCGAACATAACCGTTGTAAACATAAGCTGCGATTTACACAAAGCAAAAATACGTTCTTTGGGTTGTCGTGAGTTGCCTTCTCCTCGTTCTTTCCATCGTCCTGTTCGAGTTCACCCGGTACCAGGTTGAAGTTGGGGCTTTGCTTTTTCTGGTCATTAAACTCGAGCTGCGCCACCTCCTGCTTCTTGCTCTTCTTCTTTTTCGGTATATATACCTCGACTTCGTGCTCCTTCTCCGGTGGCGGAGCCGCCTGTTTTGGAGGTCGAGCTGTGATCAAAAATTTCAGGGGAAACCACAGAAAGACCCAAAATGTCTTCTGCAAAGAATCCACACCCTCGGAATATCTATAGGAAGCAATCAATGGGCTGCCGTATGTTGAGGACTGTGATGTTTTCGCAAATGCTTTTCTAGCTTCAGCCTCGTCGCAGACACCTGCTTAAGCAGGCCCATCCGCGTAAGCTTCAACGCGAAACGGTGTACTATACGACATACCTTCTTGTTGTTGGCGAGCTCGCCTTCGTCTTTGATTTTCAGGCTTCCCTTTTTCAGCTTCTTCATCTCTACTGTGCACCTTGTAGGGAACAGCAGGCTGCGACGGGTACTCGCAAAGTGCGATCACGGGAAGAAGCAACCTGGCATGTAGGGCGGAAATGTCACAGAGAAAAAAGAAAACTCGAAATCACCACGGTGTCGGTGACTTTTCGTCGTAAATAAAATCCATCCAGGGCGGCACAGTGCGATAAATGTGCATTTATTTATCAAATAAAACACGACTTTGCGTGCGCTTGTTCAAGTCGTAAAGCTCCCTCCTCCCTCCCGCCCTAATGCAAAACAGCACAATTTCCTCATGCCTTCGCGAATACGAATAGAAACAAACGATAAACACAAACTCGGATCCAACATAGCAGCTGTTTTACTTTTCGTTTTTTCCCGAGCTAAACGTGTTGTAGTAACAGTATGAATATCCCTATCATAATGGCGGCGGGACCACGAGATGATTACTACGAAGTGCCATGTTGATCTACTTCTTTTTTATTGATCGATGGTGATCAATAAAAATTGACGATCTCAAAAAACAACACGCGGACCTTCGTGATCGGCGTAGTTGATCTCTGTTCGTTCCATACATTCAGGGGGCCAACAACTGAAAAGTATTAAAATCAGCACCAAAACCGCGGAGTGCGTGGCGATCCCGATGATCTCGTATCGCGCTGCACCTGTCGACGTGGTCCTGCTGAACAATTGATGCAGAAACACTGACACTGAGTTGGAGTTCCACGACCTCCACGATAGATCATGGGCGGTTTTGTGATGATAAACGTGATGACCAACGAAGAGCATTCCGGCCCTACATGATCGGCAATGCCCCCGATCATCCGAATGTATAGCAAAATCAGAAAACTGTTACTCGTACTCATACGGTGTGCTCGTCTGAATTGTTCCACTACGGAATTACTTTTCAGTTGTTTCATCATGATTTTCATTTTTCCATTTGGCAAGCACAAGGTCGTGGAGCTGCGGAACAAGAGATGACTCCGAGTCGCGGAACAACGTTAAAGATATTTTTGATGCAGAGACACCAGTTGATGTTGCGGTTTCGAAAGCCGTCGAAGACGAAGGGGCAATTGTCGCAGATAATCTTAATCTCATTCATCTGCAGTATCTATAAGTTGTTCATCGTAAAAATGATTACTATAGTTGCGTTGCGTTTTTTCGTCTGACCTGCAGCACTGGCTTTATCATTGATTTCTTTTTCTCATCAGCTTAAGCCAATTCGCATACTTATTACTGTTGTCGTTTTGGGCTTCGAGTCCTCGTCATGTCGCTGCACTCACTACAAGCCAACTGCGAGCGAGCGGGCGGTAATCATTCATCAGCCTGAGGAGCAAGCGGCACTCCTTCGTTTCAATCGTCCAATGGTGCTTGAAGTGGATCATTCAGAGTGGATAATTCCGTCATGTGCTGCAAAGACCTGTAGGCAGACTGAACTTTTTTCAATAACGAATCCCGACCGGAAAACCGCCATTTTTGGGCGGGCAAACTGCCCGAAAAGCAGTTTGCGCTGTCCCCAGCAGGCCGTCTGAAGGGGACGGGCAAACTGAACTTTTTTCAAAAATCAATCACGAGCGGACACCCGCGATTTTTGGACGGGCAAACTGCCCGAAAAACAGTTTGCGCTGTCCCCAGCAGACCGTCTGAAGGGGACGGGCAAACTGAACTTTTTTCAAAAATCAATCACGAGCGGACACCCGCGATTTTTGGACGGGCAAACTGCCCGAAAAGCAGTTTGCGCTGTCCCCAGCAGACCGTCTGAAGGGGACGGGCAAACTGAACTTTTTTCAAAAATCAATCACGAGCGGACACCCGCGATTTTTGGACGGGCAAACTGCCCGAAAAGCAGTTTGCGCTGTCCCCAGCAGACCGTCTGAAGGGGACGGGCAAACTGAACTTTTTTCAAAAATCAATCACGAGCGGACACCCGCGATTTTTGGACGGGCAAACTGCCCGAAAAGCAGTTTGCGCTGTCCCCAGCAGACCGTCTGAAGGGGACGGGCAAACTGAACTTTTTTCAAAAATCAATCACGAGCGGACACCCGCGATTTTTGGACGGGCAAACTGCCCGAAAAGCAGTTTGCGCTGTCCCCAGCAGACCGTCTGAAGGGGACGGGCAAACTGAACTTTTTTCAAAAATCAATCACGAGCGGACACCCGCGATTTTTGGACGGGCAAACTGCCCGAAAAGCAGTTTGCGCTGTCCCCAGCAGACCGTCTGAAGGGGACGGGCAAACTGAACTTTTTTCAAAAATCAATCACGAGCGGACACCCGCGATTTTTGGACGGGCAAACTGCCCGAAAAGCAGTTTGCGCTGTCCCCAGCAGACCGTCTGAAGGGGACGGGCAAACTGAACTTTTTTCAAAAATCAATCACGAGCGGACACCCGCGATTTTTGGACGGGCAAACTGCCCGAAAAGCAGTTTGCGCTGTCCCCAGCAGACCGTCTGAAGGGGACGGGCAAACTGAACTTTTTTCAAAAATCAATCACGAGCGGACACCCGCGATTTTTGGACGGGCAAACTGCCCGAAAAGCAGTTTGCGCTGTCCCCAGCAGACCGTCTGAAGGGGACGGGCAAACTGAACTTTTTTCAAAAATCAATCACGAGCGGACACCCGCGATTTTTGGACGGGCAAACTGCCCGAAAAGCAGTTTGCGCTGTCCCCAGCAGACCGTCTGAAGGGGACGGGCAAACTGAACTTTTTTCAAAAATCAATCACGAGCGGACACCCGCGATTTTTGGACGGGCAAACTGCCCGAAAAGCAGTTTGCGCTGTCCCCAGCAGACCGTCTGAAGGGGACGGGCAAACTGAACTTTTTTCAAAAATCAATCACGAGCGGACACCCGCGATTTTTGGACGGGCAAACTGCCCGAAAAGCAGTTTGCGCTGTCCCCAGCAGACCGTCGGAAGGGGACGGGCAAACTGAACTTTTTTCAAAAATCAATCACGAGGGGACACCCGCGATTTTTGGACGGGCAAACTGCCCGAAAAGCAGCTTGCGCTGCCCCCTGAAGGTGGTCTGCAGGTTGCGCGGTTTACGGATCTCTCGTCTCGAAAAGCAGTTTGCAAGAACTGCACGAAAAGCAGTTGCACAGCTGGTAAACGAATACAGCATGAAGAAGCACGAGATAAACCTCAAAAACACCAAACCCAGAGGGGACGAAGAAGAACATGTTGAACCGAAAATTGAATCACAGCACAATCAAATCAGTTTTCACGATGCAGCACAAGTGACAAAACGTTCCTGATGGTGCAACACATACACCATCATTCAAAACCGACTGCCACGACTACGAAGATGTGCGGATCCTGTGCTCGTTGCACCTTCAAAACGAAAAGCACCTTAGACAGATAAACAATCCGTCTCGCCGCGGCAGACCCTAATGCCAGGCAAGCAGCAGGAACAGGATCAGAAAACGACAACGAGAGTGGAAATTGACGACTTCGATATATCCTTCATTCATCACAACAAGGACCGACGCCGCAGAAGATTTACATATGCATATCATTTGATGTTAATCGCGATGCCGATTCCGAGGCCTAAAAGTTCGCGAACTGCACTAAGTACTTCTTTCCGAAAATTCTTGTGATCGTTCTTCGAGCACTGCTGCAATGACTGGAAAGTTGAACAACCAAGGGCAGCGATGTGCAGGCATCTCGCAATTCTGCCACAGACGGCAGACCATCAAACTGGCGGCGCCTTTTGTCTGTTGCACTCGGATTTTTCGCAACTCACATTTTCCGATGTTCCTATGCCCAAAACATTCATCAGATGTACAAGAGTTTGAAGTACTTCTATTACTACGTACGCACGACCCAACTTTTACAGAAGTTTCAACAATATGGATTTGATTTTTGACTGTTATTATGGCGATCTTCAGACAATCGCTGCTTTCATTGGCTTCATCGACGTTGGAAGCATTGACTACTTTCGTTTTTCCTTTTGAATTTGAAATTGGTAGAAGTAAGAAAATTATGCGACCTTGTAGTATTTTACGCACGACCTCGCACTGCGACAGCACTTTTGGCGTCGCCTGAGTACTATCGGCATAGTAGAATTGCGCCTCTCCTGATTGCAACGGCACGGATGTTGTTGCACCGGATCAGAAGAGTGTCGCGCTCGGTGGCCGAGGGAAGGATCTCCGAAGGATGATGTAGCTGAAGGGGAAACCGGGCCTGTTCAAACAGCGCAAGAACTCGCGCGACTTTGTTCTCGCTACAGCGTCAGTTTGCTTTTGCTACTAGTAGCCCCCGACGACGTGCTGATGGTGTTGCTCTGCTTGTTCTTTTCCATGATCTTCCCGTTCTGCTTGAGCAAGTTGCTCTTCTGCTTGTTTTTTTCCATGATGAGCCCGTTCACAGCGAACGGATTATCCATCTCTTCTTCCAGCTTGAGCTGCAGTGGGTCGAAGGCGTCCTCGCGGTCCAACTTCCCCCCGCTTTTTTTCCTTTTCGTCGGCTTTTGGTTTTTCATCTTCTTTGTAGTCATCTTCGTCGGCTTTTTCTGCTGCGCCACTGCTGCGCTCTTCGCCTTTCCGTTCATTTTCTTCGCTTTATTTTTCTTGCGCTCCACATTCTGCCGCATCTCCTCCGCCTTCTTGTGCGCGAATGCCGGATCGTTCTTGAGTTTCTGCAGGAGCTGCTTTTTTAGCTCGACGAAGGACGACTGTTGCGTGACATAGGTCAGAAAACGACCCTGCACTTCAGTGTTCGGATTCTCTTTTCGCCATTGCTGCGTATCGCGTTCTCGACTGTTACGTTCTCAACTGTAACATGAATTTGTGACGCAAGAGTGGCATAAGTCAAAGCAAGGAGGGAGGTTGGACCTATAGCATTACAAATTTCGCACAGGAGGTATAGGCCCTGTTTGGCCTTTCCAAAATTTCTCATGCGAAGTAGCTCCACCTTGTGGAGGATGTTGATGTTCATTTTGCATCACAAATCATGTAACGGTTGACAGTGTAACATTTGAGAGTCCCATACGTCAGCGCAAGGCTTTGCGCCAGCAGATCCGGCCTGTGGCGGAAGCTGGTGATCGCGATTCTTATCCAGTGGAAATATGACTGGGTCAGGGGGGTAATTACGAGATTTGTCATGTTGGTCTAGCATGGATCTGAACTCCCACTCAGTATTGCGTGGCTACGAAAAGGTTCTCATCGTCTGCCATGCAAAAGCACACCTTCTGGCTCCGATGTCATGCGGCACAGATGACACAGAGGCATGAAAAAATATGTCATACTCAACAGTGCACTGCAGTGCGCATCTGATCGACTCTCATGTAACATCACAAATTTATTCCAGACCCAGACGCGTTCGAAAATTGCATAATTTTCTGCTTGTTCACGTTGACCTTCCCATTCCTCCCGCTGCGGCTTTCCGTGATGGACTTCTTCTTTCCAGGTATCAACTGCAAATACGTCTGTGGCAGGAGGAGGAGTGCGTTTATTCCGTGCCTGCGAGAAATCCATGATCTCGTGAGGAGCGGTCGCTTTCTTGTCTTAACTGCAAACCAAGGCTGCATGTGAGTGCAAAACACGTTTTGCGCAAGACCTCAACGTATGCTCTTCGTTTCTTCGTTTTGGTTTTCCATGCCTATTGTGCATGACAATTTTAAAATTACTTGTGGACATGGTAAGGAGGCATCAAAGTTCGTTCGGCGCGTGCCGCGTACGACGAGTTTTTGTGTGTTCTCGAGCAGCCAGCATCGCAAGAGCAAGCTTGCGCCACTCCTCCTTCCTACCCGAGAGATATTTGCTGTTCGTAGTCGTCCTATGCTTACAAGTTGTTCTGCGCGGTTTGGAAGGTTTTTTTTCTGCAGCTTTTTCGTCATGATTTCCTTCCGGGTCAACTTCATCTCGATCTGCAGCCTGTTTGAGACAGAGCCTGCTTGAAGCGGGGCGCTTTTAGAAATTCCAGCCACAGTTCTACAGCTACTTCAAGTCCCATCCCTACTTCAAGCACTTCTACTACTACTACTTCCCAACAAATCAAGCCCATTCACAAAAAGGGGCGAACAATTACAGCGAAAAAGCATAGAGCGCATGGCTGTACCTGGCTCCCCTTCTTCCTCTTCTTCGTTTTCTTGGCCTGCTTCGCTTTCTGCTGCTTCCGAATGAAATCCCCCACGTCATCCTCGCCACTTTCTTCATCCTCGTCACTTTCCGGGCGGCCAATCTCATCGCCTGGCAGGAGTACTTGTTGTTCGAGGCTGGCAGGTATCAAGAGCAAATATGTCTGGGTCTGGGTGGTCTTGCTTCTTTGTCATGCTTATTTTTTCTGCGATCACGCAGATGCTGATCTGGAATGCGGACACAAAACGGGAAGCAGTGCGGCTCACTGTGTATTCCGGTGCTTGTGTCACAAGCTGCGATGGCAGTCTTCAGCCTGCGCAACAAGCTGCAATGGCAGTCCTCAGCTTGCGGCACAAGCTGCAGTGGCAGTCGCAGTCTTCAGTTTGCATCACAAGGCATGAGTCATCTTCCAGCTCCAGGCGCATTTTCACTCGATAACAAAAATACCCGGATCCATCTCGCTCGAGGAGGAGGAAGAGGCTGCGGCGGCCGGTCTCTTGCGAAGGATTTGTTGTTTTTTCGACAAGGTTTGCTGCTGATTTCCCCCAGCAAGCTGCTGCTGTTTTCCCCCAGGAAGCTGCTGCTGATTTCCCCCAAGTATCAAATGCAAATATGTCTGGGTCTGGAAATTTGTAATGCTAAAATGTGCATGATGAAAACTACACTTCCTCACGCAGGAAAGCATGACAAGTCTATCATACGAACTCCGCATGGGAAACTGCGGCTTTGTATGACGTGTAAGGCTGCCACTTTTGTTGGTGATGCAATACAACTTTCACAGGAATGGGCGATCAGCGTTACAAGTTCCAACTTTCCAGACCCAGACGCTTTTACATTTGACACCAAGAAGCTGCTGCTGATTTCCCCCAAGAAGCTGCTGCTTATTTCCCACAAGAAGCTGCTGCTGATTTCCCGCAAGAAGCTGCTGCCGATTTCCCCCAACAAGCAGCTGCTGCTGATTTCCCCCAAAAAGCTGCTTCTGATTTCTTTCAAGAAGCTGCTTCTGATTTCCCCCCGGCGCCAGTACCTGCAGTGCGCTGCTGCTACTACCCAACTGATCTCCTTCGGCGTCATCTTCATCTCGATCATGTTCATCTTCATCAAAATTCGTGTCGAACATGTTCTCCTCATCGTCATCTTCATCAAAATTTGTGTCGAACATGCTCTCTTATGCAATACAAGACTCTTGCATCGCATTAGCATAAAAAATCGCTATACATTCATATACAAATTTCGACTTTATCATAAACAAAACTGCTATTTGTCATGCAGACCCCTGCAGAGCACGAACACCAGTCAGATTTGTCATGCATGGTTGCGATTTGCATAGATAGTATTTATTAGTAGAGCCGCGATGCTTATTTTGCAGTGGATATGTCCATCTGTTTGTGTTTCATTGCCTGCAGCGGATCATTGCCGAGTGGAAGCAGCGCCGGCACCAGAGACGAGGACGCAGATGAACTGCTTGTGGGTTTGGTGAAACGAGCCAACGCGGAAGAAGATGATGCTCCGGCTCTTCCTAGCTGTGCGGAAGAAGATGATGCTCCGGCTCTTCCTCGCTGTGCGGAAGAAGATGATGCTCCGGCTCTTCCTAGCTGTGCGGAAGAAGATGATGCTCCGGCGGTTCTTGCCAGCTGGCCTCGCCCCATTTTATGCACCGAGAAAGCATCGTCGCTGCAACAGTTCTATATTGCAACGCGCATTGAGCTCACTACTCTTGCATGCCAAAGACAGGCTCTACTTCACTATGGATGCAGGGATTGCGCTTGCAATTACTGCGAGCATGAAGATGGTTTTGTGTGGGATAGATGTCGGACGCGGAGCTATCTACCTGCAGGTCACCCTCACCGTCCGAGCTATCTGCCCCTATTCTGTGTAAAAACGTCCCCACCCCAGAGTCAAGATGGGAATTTTGCAACACAAACCTTCGAGTTTTGGGAGTCACGCATGACATAAACAGACTGTGCAACTACAGGATGGCATTGTGTTTCGGGTGAGTTGATCAACCCAAAGACGCCGCCACCCCGCATGACAAGTTGCACGCTGTAGTTTATTCGTGCAGTTGAGCAAGGAAAGCCGCATGTCAAATCCATCCCCCTATCCTGTTTACAGCATTACAAGTTCCAAAACACCACGCTGGGAAATGCCCTTATGGGGATGCGCATTACACGTGCTCTTGTGCTTGCAGATCTGCGTGACAACTCTGGATTGGGGATGTTTTTACACAGGATAGCACTTTCGGGGTGTTCATCTTGCGTTTTGTAGTCCGGGTCATTCGATTGGCTCGACGGACAGCTCGGCAGGTACGAACTGCTTGACGTATCGAAGCGTCAGGACCGAAAACGACAGAGTTGAAATTCTTTCATTTCGTCATGCATAAAATGCAAGCCGCAAAAACAAAATGCTTGTATTGGAGAGCTAGAAAGCAATGCCAATAGTACCCTGAAGCAGTTCTTTTCTTTGCCCAAAAAACAGGACAAGCTGGATTTTAGTTCTACCAAGATTTGTCATGCGCCGCTAGGAAATTGGAATTGGTGGCCAAGGCAAAGAAACAAACTGGCGTCGATCACGAGGCTATCATGCTTTAGAGATTAGCACTTCAGCTTACTTCTGTGATTTCGGTCCTGACATTTCCTACGTCCTTTCGCTGTTGTAGTTCCCGATGTCCCGCATGCCACGGAATTTTTTCTCTCGCGGTTCGATATGCAATACAAAAGTTAATATCGAATGCGTGCTTGAGCTTGAGGACGACTTGACTTGACTTCTGGTTAAGGAAGACTTGCCTTCTGGTTGCAAGAAAGCATGACAAAACTGGCCCCCTCGGCATTAATTCACCACAACAAATTTTTCCATGCGTCACGCGGAGCAGGTTTGACGTCTTTCAAAATTCGACTACTACCAGAGTAGCACTTTTGCAATGCATATCCGACGGCCTTCTGCAACAGCGGCACTGTGTTCTTGAAATGGTGTGGCCGGCCTTCAAGCCACTTACCCCGTAGCTCGTCTTGTTGTGGGCGCGACATCTGAAAGGCGTTGTACTTGTATGTCTTCACCAAACTTGTATTTAGGAACTCACGCAAACATGACTGAAAAACAGGTCGTGAATGGCCGGCACAAGATGAGACGGATCATCACCATACATCAACTAGAGCTACTGCAACTGCTTCCTTCTTTTTTATAAGTACTTCTGGTTCATCTTTGATGAAAAGTGAAAGTCGCTTCCATGCTAGAGTGCGAGAAAACTGCCCTCGCGTGACTAGGGTAAAAAAAATCCAATTTTCCACCGAGGATGAGTATTGCAATCGGAGATGTAGAAGTTGGACCGATGAGAGTTTCTTGGACCTGCACCTGACGAGCCGCACTTAGGTCTACCAAGCCCCCCTGCCGCTCACATAAGAACAAATGAGTAAGTGACTCGTCGTTGCGGTTGCTAGACCCTCTTTCGCTTGCCCCAAGATGCAAAAAGTGAGAAAAAAAGAAAAACTGCGCTCACATTGAAACAAAAGACAGCCCCGCCGAAGCGCGAAGCCCAACTCATTTTCTCACATATATAAATAACGGCTGTGGTAGCTGCACGCATAGGTTTTTGCCGAATGCTCACTCTCGTACCTGCAAGCAAGATCAAACCTCATGAAAAAAACTACGTCCTGCAGAGCGGCCGCGTATGTAGGCAGGCTGAGCCAGCCGAAGGGTGAACGCAAAGGAAAAAAAACGAACAGAATGAAAAGAGAAGTATAGGGCCTCCACGAGTAATGACACGCCCTTGTAAAACCCAGCGCTGTGCGCTTGCTTTTCGATACTCAATATTTTGACGTCTCTGCTGGTGCGGTGAAACTCAATCATCGCAGCGCCATTTCTCTACTTTATCGTGATATTTAAGGTGGAGTTGTTCCTCTCGATATCATCTTTAATTATCTTCTGCGCGTGCGCCCGCTCCATCTCCTCCTGCCGCCTTTGCTCCTTCTCCCGCAGTAGGTGGCTCTTCACCTGGACATGAGCAGTGGGGGTAGTGCTTCTCCTGCACTAGGTGGCTCTTTTCCTGGACATGAGCAGTGGGGGGTGCTTCTCCGGCAGCATTTGGGGGCGCTTCTCCGGCAGTAGGAGGCTCCTCTTCTGCCAGTAGCATGATACCGTAGAACGTAACGCAGCAGGCGAGATGGAGTTGATGAATTCAAAACTCTCAAAACGTCATGTTTTTAGGCATCCAGCACAACTAGAATTTCAATTAGATGAACGGAGACCTGCTCCTCGTTGTGGATCAGTGATGAAGAGAGCACACACAGCGCACCTGCAGCTGTAGTGGTGCCATGAAAGAGCAGAATTCGTGAAAAGAATTACGCAACTATCTAAGGTAAGTAAATGAATGTGTATGTGCTTCATCATCTATCAGACTAGAAGAAAAGTTGCCTCATTGTACTCCTGGAAGTTGTCCAAATTAATTTTATTTGGCTGCGATCAGATTCAGGACCGAAGATCGAATTTCATGAGGAAACCGCATCAGTTCTCACGGAAGCAAGATAGATTGAAGACACAGCGACAGCACATGATCCATCATCATTAAGAACCGCTTGCCACGACTACGAAGATGTGTGCATCCTGTGCTCACTACACCTTGAAGACGGAAAGCACGAAGACCGATAAAAAGTCTGCCTCGCCGCGGCAGATCGTAACGAAAAGCAAGGAGCAGGTAACGAGGGTGGAAACTGACGACTTCGATATATCATTCATCCATCACAACAAGGACCGACACCGCAGATGCATATTTATACCATTCGATCTCGATCCCGATGAGGATGACTAGTTCGCAAATTGCACTACTTCTTTCCGATGATTTTTGTGCTCGTTCTTCAAGAACTGCTGCGATGACTGGGAAGTAAGTCGAACAAGGGCAGCGATTTGCAGGCATCTCGCAATTACGCCACAAACGGCAGTAGACCGACAAACTCGCGGCGCTTTCTGTCTGTCATGCTCGGCTTATTTTTCGGGTTTGTGGACAACGCTAAAAACCGCCATGAAATTCATCGGAACAACAGCGCGGGTTGTTGTTCGTCTCGATATAGCATTTTTTGTGTTCAAGGTATAAGCTGCTCATCTCGATGTAGTCATCTCCTGCTCCCGCTGCTTCTCCTCCTTCTCGCGCTCCTCCCTCTCCATCTCGAGTTCTATCGCATGCACGAGCTCTATTTCCAATCGCTCTTCCTCGGAATCACGGTCAGGATCATACTCATAGACGAGCGGGCCGAACATGTCCGGGTTATGTTCCGGCACGAAGTTCGGGCCCTCAGGAAAGAGCTGTCCATAAGTTGCCCACAAGAAAGCCTCCTCGGTTTCTTCGTCCTCCACAGCGTCCTCTGCCCCATTTTCGTCGATGTTTTCACCAGCCGGGTCGATTTTAGCCACGTCGCGGAGGAACTCGTTCTCGGTCTGGCGTTCGTTTACCGTCTATCACATGCAAAAGTGTCTGGGTCTGGAAGATTGCAAGACTTGTGGAGGTGCAGATTCTCGATGACCCATGAGGCATCATGGCATGCAGCACCTGGCATGACAGATTCTGTGAGACCTCTACTATGCCTGTCCTGCATGAGAAACTGCCTCTCAACTTGTCCAGAAGTGGCCATCTTTTCGGTAATCATGCAACACAAATTTTAACTTTTGGCACGATCCAGATTTAGCATGACAGATTGCAACCTTCCAGACCCAGACATATTTGCAGTGCCTACCGTCGTCGCAACTGCATTAAGAGCTTTGTCTTGCTCTACTTCGCTTCGATTTGCCAAAACAACTCCAGCTGGAGGTGCATCTCCCGAGGACAGCAGCGGCTGCCCGAGCTGCCCGGTAGAAGTTCTACTACTTCTCGCCGGACCCTCTGCTTGTTGTGCTTCTTCTTCTAAAGCCACCGGATCGGCTCTTCCAGAAACGAGACCTCCTTCCTGCCCCGACTGCAGGTGCAGCGCCGTGGCGACGACGTTGACGTTCAGGTGGTCCAGAGCGGGGGCATTCGAGGTTTTACCCAACTCTGTTGCAGGACGACCGGGAGCAACCTTTGCTGGCTCGTGCAATGACACCTTGTTCATCATTTTCCGTGGCTCCTCCCGGACCACCGCAGCCTTTGCTTTCGGACCTGGTGCGCCATCACCCCCTTCTTGTAAAGATTTTATTGTCATCTTCCCTGTAGTTCTCTTCGCTGCCACTTTGGTGGTGGTGGTGCCGGTGGTTTTGATGTTCTTTCCTGCCTTTCTCCCGGACTTATTCGAGCCAACAATGGAAGATGAAGAACTACTCCCCCCGCCATTCGAAGACTGCAACTCCGCGCTCAACGCGGCAAAATCGTCCTCCAACTTGTTCGCTTCCTCGTTGTCGTCGTCGATTTTATTAGCCGGGTTGTGCTGCTCGTGTTCCTCTTGTGCGATTGGAGAGTCGTCAACATTGTGGTCGTACCTGTCGTGGTCTTATGCATTGCAAAAGCATCCTAGGTTACCCCTATCGCACTAGCGCTAATTGCATGACCGATTTTGATTTAGATTTTCAGCTTAATTATATCAAAAACAGAAAAACCACTTGGTCATGCGCATGCAGATAAGAAGAGTCTAGATCTGCCACGCAAAAATACAGCAGTTATTGTTTAGGTGTAGGGCACACACTTTGGCACGCAGGATAATATGTCGTCGACATTAATATTCGCGTCTCTGCCCCACTCCTCACGGTCGTCGGCGTTCGCGTTGTCGTCGTTAGTATAATACTTGTCGTATGCATTGCAGAAGTAAAATCGTTCTAGTAGTACGTAAGTAATTCTTGCATGATAAACAAGTTGTCGTCAAAACCTCAAGAACAAAAATGCAACTTGTATATGTAGACCAAGGCAAGAGCTCCGCCTTAAATCTGTCAGTGTCACACAAGAGAGGCCGCAATTGACGCGACCAGGAGTCGGAAGCAAAAACTTTTGCAAAGGATAGATCGTCGCCACTGTCGCCGCCGCCCTTGCTCTCCTGGCACATGTAGTCACTGCCCCCGTCGCGCTTGTGGTTGCCGTCATCTTTCCCGCTGTCCTCGCTGGCGTTGCCGGCGCCCCCCGCGGCGTCGGCGGCGTCTGTGGCGCTCGAGGGGTCCGGCCCCCTCGGCGGCAGCGGGAGCGCCACCGCAGCGGGGGCACCACCGCACGAATCGCCGTCGAGCAAATCCAATTCGGGTATCGCTGCGTTTCCACCACTAAAATCCGACGCGACCGAAGTTTATCGATTACAAATACCTATGTCTGGGTCTGGAAGAAAGCAGATGTTTGTCATGCACATTTTGTCTGAGTCTGAACCGTTGCGTCGGTATATGTAAATGTATGCCCTAGAAGCATCACACATTTTCCAAGTTCCCTATGCCGCATGACAAATGTTCTCTCCGTGTTGCAAAACTCGCACGACTCTTGTTGCTGGTCAGGAAATACAGCTTCTTCTACTTAGATTCGTTCCAAGAGCAGCAGCGCGCTTCGAACTCTACCGCGAGATGACCCAGACGCTTTTGCAATGCGTACAGTCCCTGCAGTGCTGCGCGGACGATCTGCCGCGCCATTGTCCGACCACACCTCGTCCTGCGTCATCTCCTTCGGCACGAAAAATTCGTCACTCGCTTGCTCGCCAGCAATCGTTTCCTTGTCTCTGGCTGCACCAGGGGCGAGGCTTTTTTCCGTGTCAGCCTGAACCTCAACGTGTTTACCCTCCGAAGCCGGAACGTGGTCCGATGTACTCCCGGCTTTGCTCTTGGTGCCTTTCTCAGCTGCTGCAAGTTCCTTTTGTTCTTCTTGTGGATCCACTACAGCTGCAGTACCAGCAGGAGTAGCAGTGGGCGGCGCAGGCGGCTTTTCCGCAACCTGTAGCTCCATCTTCTTCTTCCCGCTGTCGCTGGCGTTGCCGGCGCCCGGGGCGTCTGCAGTGCTCGATGGGCCCGGCCCCCTCGGCGGCATCGGGGGCTCCACCGCACGAAAGGCCTCGAGATCCCGAATGTATTCCTCGTAGGCTCGGCGCTGGGGCCCAGGCGCCCCGAGGAACGCAAAGGGCGCTGCGGCCGCAGAAGTCCTCGTCTCCCCGGCCGCTTCTACC